ATACCTGGCAGAGTTTATAATAAGTTTTACTAAATATAATAGTCTTTATTTTATAATCTGAATAAATCTTGTTATATATACTTTTATATAATTTTATAGTATTAAAATATTAGTAAAGAATATTAACTATTATATATACTATAATACTAATATATATTTAAATAATATAGTAAGAGTAAGTATTAATTATAATATAAATTTTAATATTATACAGCTGCAGCTTTATATAATTATTCATTAACTAAAAGAATTTAGAATTAGAAATAATATATAAATCTTATTATTATTAAAAATTATGTTTTCTTTATTTTATAACAGTAGAAGTAATTATACAGTAAATATTAAATAATTAATTATTAAATTTTAAATAATTAGTAATAACTTTTAAAAATATATATAAATCCAGACTATAGTATAACTAGATTCTAGCTATATATATAAAAATAAAAAAGCTATTAGCTATATTTTTAAATAGTTTTTTTATTAAATTTTTTAAAAAGTATTTTAGTAATTTTATCTGTTTAGAATTACTGCTCTAATAGATTATCTATCTAATATATAAGTCTTAGTATTATATAGAATTTTTTAAAAGTTCTTTTTAAAATAGAATAATCTTTTTTTTTAAATACTAAATAAAATTCTGACTTAAAGAGATTTTGCTGAAAAAATAACTTTTTTTAATTTTTTTATATAAAACTAGATTAATAATAGCTGTATAATCTTATTTTTAATTATTTTAAATATTTAATTAACTTTTAATTATATATTCTGCAATCTAAATAGAGTATCTTTTTTTAAAAAATAGAAGCAATGCTTATAGCAGACTTATTCTATTAATAAAAAAAGATAATTTCAGCTTTAAAAAACTTAAGATTAATATATAGAAGCATAGCTGATGGAATAAGAATAATATATATATATAAAGAGAAGAGAGCTTTATATTATTCTTAAAAAATAAGCAGTAAGATCTGCGGTCAAAGGACTTAGCAAAAAAAAAACTTATTTACCCGATGGCGGCAATCGTCTGCCGTACCCATACCCAGTTTCTGTGTCCAGTTTATAGAGTGCTCTCAACGGCCTTACATCTTGATTATTTCTTTCGGATGCAACACTAATGCCACCCGACTCAGAGATTTCTTCTTTAAATACAGCCTCAACGTCCTTTTCGCTGCTTGTCCAGTAATTCTTTGACACCTCTCTTACCTTCTAAACGCATTACTTACGGTTTACAGTCGGTTAGCATGCCACTCAAGATAAATGACAATGTCGAAACCAAGTATGTGCCTTCGATCCGGAGTCTCAGAACAAATACTTCTGGTCGAGATAGGCGTTTTATAACCAGAACACGGCAGATAACTAAGGTTGCCAAACAGAAAAACCACAAAAGATCGCATGTAAGTTTACAGCTATATACTTCCAGCTGCATAATGTCACACCCGCGACCCATGTACTATACTATCAGACTGACAAAAAAAGGCAGGGAAGTTTAGTCATTTGCTTCAATTACTTTTGCATTCGCCAATCACATCTTACACCAGGCGCCTCCTAAACTTCGCAGCAAAGTAAAAGACTTTGCGAAGGATAGCCCTGACCTGCTTACTATATTTAACAACCGACAAGCCGACCTTATAGCGAGTAGTACAAGGCCTAACAGACCTAGACTTCTGATCTGTAACTACGATACTATATTACTTAGTCAGTTTCCTCTGATATTAGCCACAACAAAACCACAATTAATAATATTTATATATTATTATCAGTCCTCGAAAGCCTACTTATTTATCGCACCCAGAATATTAACATAAATCACGTCAAACAAACAGAAGTCGGAGATTAAATAAATATACTTAATTAGTATTAATTAACTTTGTTTTTTAGTCTGCTGTCGAATACTTTTCTTTAATTATACTTGCTTATAAAGCGTGTTACTTATAGTAGACTTTTATATATATATGTATTAAACTTATCTAGCAGGAATAATTTTATTTTATATAGTACAAATCTGGGTTCTTAAGAAGATGGTTATATAAAGCTTCTAATATTACTAAAATTATTTTGTAAGACTATCGGCTTTTAATTTAGAGTCTTTAAGACTGCTAAAAAGTTAGAGTTAGATTATAATTAAAAAATAGCTTGTTTATTATAACCAGCAGTTTTAGCTATTAAAAAGTATTAAGCTTTCTAATAATTAATATATCATAAATAAGATTAAGCATTAATTAAATTATACTAAAAGCTATATTTATAATTTAACTTTTATTAATAGTTTAACCGTAGTTATAGTTTTTTTTATGACTAAAAGAGATAAAATATAGAATCTAAGAAAAATACTTATAATTATAAACAGCTGTTATATTATAAGTATATTAAGTTTCTTATAATATACAGTATATTAATATTCTAACTTTATACTAGAAACAGCCTAGTATTATTTTATTTTGGGATTACTATAACAATTGAAGAGTATAGGTAGTGACACTAGTATCCGGAAGAACTATAACCTCTTTCATTATAAGAAGAGAACAAAATTATGGCCTACAAGCTGTACTTTGTTTACAGTAAACTTATTATCTTAATTAGAGTGGATTAACCTGACTGTTATACCTTAATCTTAACCTGGCCATAACCTGGCGGTCAGGTTAAGGTATAAAATCAGATTAACCGTCAGATAGAATAGTTAACTGCGGTTAACCGTTATATCTGGACTAGTTCTAAAAAAACTAGTTTAAATAAAAATCAGATAGAAATAGACTAAAATCAGGCTAAAATCAGACAGCTATATTCTGCTCTTTTTTTACCGTCTTCTAAAATAGGCTTAGTTACCAAGAAATTGGACCCGCCGGTTAACCGCAGGTTAAGCCGGTCAGGAATATATATATTTTTTTACCTGACCATAACCTGCGGTCAGGTATAAAAATTTCAATAAACCTGACCTGACCTGGCCGTTAGCCACTCTAATCTTAATACTAAACTAATCCGGTATCTCTAAATAAAATATAAACTAAAAAATTTATTCTTCACTATATTTTAGATTAATAATACTAATTTTTTTATGGCTTTTATTTATAAAAAAGATTTTCCCTAGTGAACGATAGGGTTACTTCTAGGGACCGTGCACGCTGTTCTTATCTCACATGGCATGGTATGTCGGAGCGCTTATCTATTGTACCAAGCGATGCCGTGCCGTGATAACCGTGTAAATACTAACTAGTTAGTGGGTGCAGAGCATAAAATTGTAATAATATGCATACTGAGTAGCTTCTGATAAACAAGATATCTTCTTATTTTTTGACGACTTCCCGCAAGTTTCAAGTCTGATCTTTGTAAGATTATCTTTTTTTCTGAAGAAAGAACTAGACGAGAAGAGTATTTGAAAACTTTTTCCAGCTGGCTGCCGTATAAGATAATCTTTTTTATATAAAAAAGCTTTTAAGTTAATTCTTCAATAATTGTAACAACCCCGCCCGCGGTTATTATAGTCAAACTATACTCCAAGCGGCCTTAGTTAATAGATATTTTAGTATAGTCGAGACGCTTTTAACCGCCGGGTTAAGAGTAGATATTTTTAGAAACAATAACAGCGGCTGTACTGCGCTGGTCCTTACTGCAGATACCAGCTATTTTAGTATTATTTACTATTTAATTATCACTACAGGCGCGGATATTAGCTATTTGTCTATATAATTATATAAAGGAGCGTTGCGGTGTTCATCATGTGGCCGAGGTGCTGGTGGAATAAATACAATGTAAAGGGTCCCTACTTCTGAAAAGTCCAACCGGATACAGTGCGGGGGAAACAGCTTTACGTCACCACCATCACCAATTCAAGCGTGGCTCTGAACAGATTCCAGCGACTGGGAAGGAAGGGTCTTCGGCGCGTGAAGACGTTGTGCTCTGGTATGCAGATTGACTGCGCCGTTCGGGACGGATGAGCCAATAGTCGGTGATATGCGATGGTCGATAAGGAGTGAGGGTGGCGGAGCTGATGGGGAACCATGATTCAAACCTCAAACCTCAAGGCCGACATGGTCGCTCGCCTGAATCTTTTCTGTTAGAACAAACTAGTCTCCCAGCAGATTAAGCCTGATATTCTCCAATAATCACACTGGAAAGATGACCCAATGGCTCTCGGTCTTACCACCTCATACTGCCTTGAATTTACTCCAAGCATCTAGTTTCACTGATCTAACATGCCTGCTGGGTGTTTTCTTGCGCTTCTCGCATTCCCCTCATGGAGCGGCTTTTTGTACAAAATCTCGCCTATGGGTAGCACTATTCTTCACCTCATGGAATAGATTGGAAGACAATGGCAATTCGGTCTATCTTGTTTGGCCATTTATTGTGTCCTTCATCGAATCACTTTGCGCCCTTGGGAATTATGTAAAGAAGAGGCAAAAACGACTAAAGGGAGAACCCAGTTATGGCTGGCTTTCAACTGCTTCACGTCACGTTCCGACAAAGTGCAGTCGAGGCCCTATTTTCGGTGGCTTGCAGGGGCGCAGCATCGCAGCGTCTACTAAGCGCTCATATAAGCCTTGTCATTCTACCCAATCATCTTAGCCACCAAATCCGTGATAGGATGATATTTCTTGCCCACAGATTGTACTTCGACGCCCACTGTCTCCTCATGCCTGGATCTTCTCAGCCTTGCATCTTTTGATCTTCCTACCTCTACTGTGGTTTCATGACAGAAGATGGACATCCAGCCTTTGCTCCCAGTGGGCTTTCTGTGCACTCCCCTTGTCTTCCCCACTGTCTAGCACAGTGTACCAAAACTATGTGCAGCGAGTGAACCCAATGACGAGATTTATCACAGCCCAGTGCGCAAGAGACTTAAGAATGCGACCTATCCCATCCGGAATTGAAATGTCTTCTTACCATTTTCCCTTTCTCAAAACTGTTCTCGCTCGTCTCCCACGAACCTCATCACAGCATCCTCTGGTCTCGATTTGTGTTAATAACCTCCTGCAAGTCTCGACCACTGTTTCCAAAGTGGAGCCATGGAACATAGCATCGAGGAATTGAGAAAGATATATGCTGAACTGTGTGCCACCGAAGCCAAGAGAACGACCCTGGTTGAGGTTTGCGAAGAAGAGCTGAACATACGTCTGTTTCAAAATCACTAACACAGATGCTCTTAGGGCCTTTTTGCGCATATTGACGGTCTGCAGCTTGAGCTGAAAGAATCGAAATGTCAAACCGAGGAGTATAAAAGGCTTTATGATTCCTACCGGGGCGATTATCTGGAGTCCGAGAAACAATACCAGGCCGTACTTCATTCTCAGGTTCATACTTGCTACCTGCCCCAACCCCTAGTCAGGAGCCCGCATGCTGACTTGCAATCCCTAAGGCCAAGTTAAATTATGTCTCTGTCTTGATTGACGGAGATAGTATGAACGTCAGCCCTTCTTTCCCCGAACCTTGCAAGGAAAGCTAAGATCAGTTACTCACTCCCGACCACAGTTCCAAGAATCCTTGGTCCGAGGCGAAGAATCGGGCGGGAACAAGGCGGCGCATCTGCTGATCGAAACCATACAAACCCATCTGCGTACAGTTGATCAGGATATCTCACCCGATATATCAATCAGGATTCGTGTATACGCCAACGTCGAAGGTCTTTCCAAGGCATATCGCTGTTCCCAGATCTTGGAAAGCGATAGTTCCATGAGAGCATTTATTCATGGCTTCAATAAGGATAATAGACTGTGTGATATCGTGGATGTGGGCTATGGAAAGGAGTGTGCTGATCGTAAGCTGGAAGGTCAGTCAATCCTTCCCCTGAGATTGTCCCCGGCGCCCAACTTGTGTGTAAGTCTCTTGGCTGACGATTCTCGGCCCGAACAACCTTCGCAGCTCTCTTTGTACAAGACATTCGTGATGTTCACTGCCGTCGGGTCATATTCTGCGCCTCGACAGATAATGGCTATGCGCGTGTCCTCAAGCCGTATCTGGAGTCTGGGCGTATCTCACTCGGTGAAGGACCACCATTTGCGCGTGAGATGCAAGGTCTGGCAGAAACCCTACCCGTCGTGTCTCTCGGAGATGTTTTTATGGAAGAAAAGCTCAAGTCCGAGCGACGCGGGTCCTTTGGTACCTTCGAAACGGCAGACACTCCACCACGAACCCCGACACGGAGCTACGCATTGGCCGCCGCGAGGGCAGCCCTTTCGCCCCAGCCGGTGTCGCCGCTTATGACAACCACGCCGGCTTCCACCGCTACGCTGAAAGGCTTTGATGCGAAGGTGTTCCTGAATGCCAAAGGCCAACGGGTCGACCGAAGTCTGACGTACCCTAATCATGTCGCCGCGCAGTTGAGGCGTGAGAAGCTGTGTAACAGGTTTCACCTCCTGGGAGACTGCTCTTATGGCGATCAATGCACCCACAAGCATGGAGAGTCACTGTCTCAAGAGCAGAGAGTAGCCCTCACCGCTATTGCTAGACAGTCCGTCTGCACTATGGGATTTGCGTGCAGGGATGAGAAGTGTACCTCGGGCCATCGGTGTCCGAGGGAAGGTTGTTCCGGGCGGGACTGCAGGTTTCCTGCTTCTATGCACAACGTGGATACCAGGGTCGTTTAACGAAGCCGGTGTTGTTGCTGTGTTCTGTTCCGCTTGCTAGTCTATCTTTTACATTACGCTTTTGTTCGTTGCTTCCGAGGAGCCATGAACTATATATTCCGGCTGCAGTAGAGACTATTTCTATCTACAGCAAGCTAGAGGCTACCGGCTACTAGTTTTACTATACAGCACCCAGCTAGTTGTCTAGCTGGCCCAATACCAGTCTGTTTCCTATAAATATGCTCAGACTTAGATTTAAACATTAAAAGAAGTAATCGCCCGGGTCGGCAAGTCCTATACCCCCGATTACTAAAAAAAAGATTATCTATCTAATTAAAGATAAAGCAGTCGTAGTCCCGTCAAATAGCAGCGTCTAAAATACCGATAGTAAAACAAAGATATAAAAAAAGCTAGGCGTTAGAAATAGTATCTTTACAGATTAATAAATAAATAAAATAGACGGTTAGCTGGCGGCTGCAGGAGGATTTCTTCGCGGGAAAAAATATATACTGAAAAAACATAGGATTATCGGATCTAAATCGGAGAAAAACCGGAAAAATAGGAAATAGTATGCGGATAAAAAATATTGGAAATCAGTATACATAGTTTAAATATCGGAAGTGAATATAACAAAGCAGTTGAATAAAAATGATTAAAAGATAGTTTAATAGATTGAATTAGGATAGAGTAATATAAGGTCTTGGGGAATTATGAAAGGAGAGCTCGGGAATCTACTGTTCTGTCCAATACTTTCTTTTATAAAACTTCTCCAAAATCTGAGTCTGACTTCTAGAAGAAGAGCTTGCAATTACTCAGAACTAGATATATATTTTATAAATTATATACTGGACAACTTGGTTCCGTGCTGTGGCATCGGCGATTGGAGTTTGCCGTCTTGGATGGAGCCCGGGTCGGTGTTTGCCCCGGTCGTAGAGGACTTCTTCAGTGAAGCAAAATCGGATTTTCGGAGAAAACCCAAGAGTTGGCGACAAAAGAATTATTTCAGCCATGAGAGTACACTTGGTTGTACTCAGAATACAAGTATTTACCTGATCATTAAATTCCCATGCGAGAAGACGTCCCGTCCAGTTGTTGCCTTAGGCCTGAAATTGCCACTGATAAAGCTCTACTGCCTATCAGTGCAACGTTTATCAAGACACTGGCTTTCTCCAGTGCCCGGTCCAGGCTAACAATAAGAGCATAGCGTCAACAGCACGAGGACCGATTTATAGCCGCAACGATTCCTCCTGTGCAGCAGGTGGCCGCCGCCATAACCCCGGGGTTCTCAAGGCTGCTCGTGCATGAGATCATTGTCTCGGACCAGAGGGCCGCCCAGTTCCAGGCGCAGTTCGATATGACTATGATGGCGTTCAACGCGGGGATCGAGCGCGCCCTTTGCAGTGGCAAACCCTGCTGGAGGCGGCCGGTCTGGCGGTGGTTGGGGTCTGGGATTCGGTCGATGAGGGCGGCGATGGAATTGTGGAGGCCATGAAGTTATCGTACTGTACTTAATCCTGAATACTAACCGATTGCGGGGGTCGTCCACGTCCCTAATTTGAAAATTGGTGCAGGACCCTCAAAAGCCATGATCATAGTTTGCTTGCATGTTACTTCCGGTACATACGACCACAGGGTGTGGAAAATAGGGCTTCCCGTCCGCTCAGCCGTACTCAAGCCACACGCCGGGAGGTTAGTAGTTGGGTGGGTGACCACCAGCGAATCCCTTCTGTTGTATGTTTTTTTGCCCCTTGCCCTTCTCGTTCCTATCCTCATCGATGGATCCATGATCTTTTTGCCTAGTTCTTCTTTCTTTCTTAGTAGACACTTCAATGAGTCTAGGTATGATTTGTTGCGGTGCTATGAAGAGAAATGGTGGTTGGGCGGCACTACCCATGAAGTATATACATAGATTGCAATCCCGTACCAACCCTATTACTTGGCCTGGAGGCGCGACCTTCTCACGCATCGCTCCATGAACAAGTTGTCTTTTTGGGCAAGCTCTAAAAGGGAAGATCTGTAATTCTTTCACAGAGGCAATTCTGCTCACACTGCTAACAATATGTATGCGGTGGATCGTCGGATTGTTGGAGCTAAGCTGATAACAATCCCAGGCGTCCAAGAACAAGCTGAATATATGAACCCCAATACATCAAATCCGACTCGATCTCTGATTGCGGACCCACACAGCAGCGAAACCAATATTCGTCGACCGCCATCATCCTGGTAGGAATCAAAAAGCCAAGCAGTCCGTCGCAAAGATCGGAAGCGTCACCGTGTACAGAGTCACCGAGTAAAGGCCGGTCACGAACGCGTCCACATCAAAAACAAAGTCGCTCGTGAACCAGTAGCCATTGCTGCAAGCACCCGTTCCAGTCACAGCCGTCACACCCGTGGTCGAGCTGACGTCCGCGGCGCCCGCCACCGAGAAGCTATTCACGACCTCGGCCCTGGCCTCGACGCCGGCGGAGACCTCGAGCAGACCGTCGAGGACATTCACCCCCACCGCGAGTTCCACATCCGCAAAAGGGTTCAGCTGCGCATCGACCTCGCCGGAAAGGGTCGCTGATGCAGTCTGTGTGGGAGTCCAGCCCGACGACGTGGAGGCGCCGCTGTGCAGCAGGTCGAGGTAGATGGTGCCGCTGGTGATCTGCGTCGATAGGGCCGCGGTGATGTTGGCTTCGCCGGTGACTCCGAATTCGACGCCGACGCCCAGGGTCAGGGAGGGGCCGACACTGAGGATCCCGGTGATCTCGAATGCGGAGACCGACAAGGCGTCGTAGGTGTAGCTCCAGAGATCCGTGGAATAGGCGGCGGTCGCCTGTGCAGACACGTTCAGCTGAGCCAAAAGGGCAAGATCCAGCTCCAGGTAGAGGCTTGTCGCCGTCGAGTTGGTCACATCGAGCTCCATCCCGCCGCTCAGGTCCAGGGTGGTGCTCAGGCTGACATCCTGCACGTCGATGGCCAGATCCTTGGTATCGATCAGCTCGCCCGACCACTCGTCCGAGACGGAGATGGTCCAGTCGCGCTTGCGAGATGCCACCGCGCTCGCACTGAAGAGCACCGAGATCGACTGCGCCTGGTCCCGGAACGAGCTGCGGGTGGTCTGGGCCGTGATGGTGTTGTTGGCGCTGCCCACGGTGCTTGAGTCGACCAGGTAGACGCCGCGTTCGTTCTCCGCGTCGCAGTTGCCCAGGTGGTTGGTGAGTAGAATGAAGCTGGACGAGGGCCATGCGGAGACGCTGCGCTGATAGTCAGCCGTGCTGGAAAAGACGACTTCCACTGCATCGGCCGAGCAGCTGACACTGGATATGGTGGTAATCTCCTCCAGGACCACCGTTGGCAGTTTCATTTGAGCATCCACCGTGGCGGCTGTCAAGGGCTGACTCGCGGCCTGGTAGTACAGCGTGATGTCTTTCTCGGGGGCAATGCCGGTCTGGCTCACGTCTGCGGCGCGTTTGAAAGGAAGAAGATGTTCAGTGGCCAGGGCACGAACTGCCACCAGACAGAGAACGGCGAACAGAGACATCATGACTCGGGAAGAGGAGACTCTTGTGGGATTCTGTAGTAAGATCAGACGCTTGGAGCTAGAATGCGACCAAAGGAAAAGCTTGAGGGAATAACAAACTACTGGGAGTAATAAAGATGTTCTCAGGGCCACTATCCTACCCACTCAACCCCTCTTTCAATCATGGGTGGTGCTGATGGATTGTTTTCACACCATACCAATACTTCCTCCAATAGCCAAGCTAATCCCAATGCCCCTCCTACCATGGAGGGGATGGACTTCATTTAACCAGACCATTAGGCACCGTACTTAGGCACTCAAAGCCTACCTACCACCCAGTGGTAAGATGAACCGCCAAGCATGCCGGGGGATGATCGATTCGATTGGTGGCGAACATCACCGTCCCTCGGCAGGGTTAATTGATTAATTTATATTAATGATGATGTAAAGTCACGCACGTGCATCTGCCTCCCGTGAAGATTCGGTCCCAAATTTCACAGATCCTTTGCTCACGCCGTCATGAAACCACGACCTCCACCACTCCTCCGAGCCCACCAGTTGGAGGAGCTGGTCCTCCGCCACCGATAAATGACAGACAGCATTCCGGGCCGTCCAATGGACCGGGATGGTTATAGAGGTGGAACTCACACAGCGTACCCAGTTTCTCCGGGGACCAGATCGGCGTTTTGACGATTCCTGGGTGATGGGGATGTCTTCATGCTTCATGAAGTGGGCAACCGCTAGCTGAGTGGTATGGATCGAATGGAACTAGGTTGATATCTAGAATGGAGTATTAGTTGTATGAGGGAGAGTCTATTGATCCAACGCTGCCAGGAGGGGCCTGGAAGCTACTTTCTTCCTGTCGAACGAGCAATCGCAATCAGCGCTGCAGCTATCAGTAATCAGTAATCTGGAGGGAAGTGAATTCGTGCTCGGTGCTGAGGGGGTAAAAGGCAACGCGGGACTTCCCGTGGCGCTCCTCAAGTAACTCAGGCCCCTTTCAAGACGGGAATTTACCGTACAATTAGTAGTTACAGTCAATGATGTGCTGTACCAACCCGCATCAAGCAGGTTGCAGCACACAGATCTCTGGAAGTCGATCATGAATCTTGTTGCAGGAGACTATACGGTTTCCAGCACTTTTTACCCCTGACCTAGACTCATATACAGACTAGTTTATAGGCAATGTGCTTATGCCATGTGAAAGTAACCCCCCGTTCTGCCGGCAGAATGCCTGAAAACAACCCTTATCAGCCTGAACAAGTTAGTGAACTCACTATAATTGAATGAGATGGCTATGGAAGCGCTGTCCAAAGAAGGTAGAAATTTTAGGTAATATAGGTATCAAAGCAAGGATTCCCAAGCCTCCGTTCCTCGGGGCGTTGTAGCCCCTGGTGCCCTTCACCCATCCAGCTGCTTACTACACCACCCCAAGGATAGAAACTAAAGAACTGAATACGGTTAAACCATAAAAGCCTATTCAGCACAGTCTCGACATACGGTTGAGATAGTATGCGCAATAAATACACGGATAACACTGACCCATCGTCGATCTCCACAATGGCACCCACCCATCACAGCAGTTGCTAGATAGCACAAAGCCAATCTATGGGTTGTTTAAGATTGACACGCACGGACACACGATTCATAAGTCTTGACCCCGTCGCTTGTACACTGTTTGTTTGCTGCCTCGCATTCGCTGCCCAGACCGCATTTCCCAGCCTCTCCGCTGCACTTCTCGCCATTCAAACAGAGATTAAAAAAGCATGGGGCCAGGCATGCGCCGTACACGTTCAGATATCGATCAAACTCCCCACATCCGATGGCAGATTCAAATGGGGTCTCCGTAGGCGCTGGTGGAGGGGAATCTGCCGCAGGTGGAGGCGTGGCAGCAGGGGTGGCCGGTGCCTGCGTCTGTGGTGCATTGTCCTGGCAATCCTCCTCGCAAGATTGCCAATTTTCCTGGTTTGCGGCAAGGCAGTCGTTGCGGGGCGCGGTCCCATTGAAGCATCGGTCCACGCCGTCCAGCGCTGTCTGCAAGCAATTGCCGTTACAGGTCTCGAGAGGCCCTTCGACCCGACGCGGACATGCAGCGTCGCACCCCTTGAAGCAGCCCTTGATCTCCTTGTCGCATTCGAGAAAACACCGCTGCCGGAAGAGCCCCGCGTTCTTTCGATTCCGCATCCTCCTTGCTGTCCCCCGGCAGTATTCAACGCACTCATCACTCTCATCCACACAATTTCTATAGCATTTCTGCGCGGAACATTGACTATCCTGCGCCTCGACAGCGGCCAGGACAAGAGGCCAGACCACAATGAGAATTCTCAAAATGTTGACGTACATATTGCGCTTGTCGAGTGGATGATGTTTGGCTGCTCAGGTTGAATGGTTCTGTAGTACGCAGGTATTTAGGACACCCAGGCGATGTGCTGGTGTCGGGAGCAAGAAGAATCGCAGCATCTATATACCCTAGCAGTCACGTACCACGAGGTTCTAGACAACTACTCATAGCTGTCATAGCTTGGGGCTAGGCCTGCTAGACAAAGACGACGAGACAGTCGTTAGGTCATGCCAAGGAAAGAACCTGATCAGCATAGGGTTCCGAGGAAGTTACCAGCCTCTCCTTGTTCATTTGGAACGCACTGATCCGAAGCGCGTGACGCGTCGCTCGTACCAGCTACAATCTACAGCTCAGTCAGCAAGAGTAGCGGAAACTCGACTGGCATTCATGTGACGCATTCAAACAAGCCCTCCGCCAAATACGATGCGCCCAGAGAATCGGAATCTTGATGGCAGTCAACCAGAGGAGCGAACCAGTCGAGTTCGATAAGCTCGCATCTCCAACCGTGGTGGCTGGACGGGTGGCCGAACCCTAAATGCTGGAATACCCACGGGAGAACACGATTGTTAAACGAGGTTGAACAAAGTTGGAATAAACGTTATTTCGTAGCCGTCAAAGTCTTGACCACGAAGCCCCCTGGTCGATACGGATGCGAAGTAGATTGTGCTGGTGTTGCGTGTGTTCAAGACAATACGACGGTTATGTGATTGACTAACGCCGAATGCAGTCCTCTCTGCAAGGCTCTTGCCGGGTGAACACGACGGTCACAGCCCACCTATTTCGAATTTCTCCAGGGTCTGCTTGGAATGGGCTCCTACTAGGACCTTTTGACACCCAATCTCACTCAGATGATTAGAGACACACCGTGCCTGTGACTTGTCAGTTGAAATACTTTAACATTGCCGTGTGGCCCAGTTCCGGACAGATCTGAGCTGTATAGAGAGCTCTCCAATTCAATGCCAAGTCCTCTACCAGGGAAACCACGTCGATCTTACTCCGGCTCATGTTGGAAAAACAATAAATTCAACAAATAAAGGAGAAAGGAGGCGCAGTAAAAGCCTCTTATGTTCGCACTCGTTCCAGGCGGCAGGGAGATTGTTTTAGGTTTCCTGCCCGGACGCCGGAAATGGAAGACGGAACGTTAATCCATGATAAGTTATACGAGCGTTCTAGCCCCATTGTTACCATAAAACCATGAGTCTAATTGTCTTTCCATCAGGATCTCATATCTCTTAAACTCGCATAGAAAAGCGCGCGTGATACCTCTTACTAAGTAGAAGTATTTACGGAATATTAAAACCAGGAGAGTATAAAATCGAAGCCACGCCGTGTTGACAATTAGTTCTCTCTTGCTGCATGCGCTTCAACTTATCAAGCCCCTACACTTCCGACAATATCCCTTCGCTCGAGGTGTGATTCCTTCGGATGTTCTGCAAAGCCGATAGCGGATATCATTGCCACATTCTTGTGATGCGTACACAGAATAATAGTATATTCTCGTGCTTAGATTCACGTACGAAGTCGCTGGCAGCGGCGGGTCTCTCTGCCCACGACCACGACTCGTTTCCCTGGGCGCCATTGAGACCCATTCGGTGTCGGTGTGGGTAATGGAGAGAATGGGTAGGGTTCAGACTGTAAAGCAAGCAGCCTTGCCGGGGGGAGATGTGTTGGCTTGCGGGGAGCGATAAGGTGGAACACGCAATAGTTGTGCCAGAAGTAGGAGCCGGGGAGTAGAGTACCTAGCTCTCACCTACTTATCTCAGTCTGAAATACATGTATATTACTGGTCAAGAGATGCCCATGACAGAGCAGAGCAGTTAGGGCTGTGTGTGGCCCGGGGACGGGAAACCTGCCGACGAAGCTCGGAGCCACGGGCCGAGTGCTGCCCGTCTGGATTTCTACGAAACACCCCGGGGTCTCCCCCAAAAGCTGTAATCTCCACCATATGATGAATGAGTTGTGAGATGGCTGCTAAAGGTAATCGAATTCCCTTTTTACTAGTATGCCTAGGGCTAGGCCTACTTCCTTTCAATCTATTCTTTGATCATCAATCCCTTGAATATCAAGTTCGAATCCATCCTCCGAAGGCATAGTAGAAAGGTCATTAGAACTTGGTCAGAGATCATTCGAGAGTTAGCACTGTACAAATGGCGAAATGCATGTTTTACAACTATCAAACCGGGGGGGGGGTATCGGTTAGTAAGAAAGACGGATAAGAACATCCTTCGGGAACCAGGTTTCTAAAATGTATGCTCAATTATGCTAAGTAAGGAAAGAACTAGGCCGCTAGAATCCAAGGGGATCATAGGTTTGTCTATGCGGATACAGACCAAGTAAATTCTAGTCGACTAAAGGGGGAAACAAAAGCATATCCCCTACTCGGAATGCGTTTCGGCATAGGAAACCAACGGCCGGATCGACAGCATCTCCGTCTCGACATGCGCCGCCAGATGCCACTTGATGGCCTCCTCCGGGCCGTCGCCCGAAAACGGTTCCTTGCAGAGGGGACACTCGATGAATTCCAGTCGGGCCGCCGGGACGTGGGTGATTGCGATGGCGGGCAGCTTATCCCAGCCATGGACCAACTGCGCATGCCTCTGGACTTTGTCGCCGTCGTCTGGTCCAAAGGAGACGGTCTCCTGCTCACACCCTGGCGCGCTGCATTCCCAATGCCCGCCGTGCCCCCGCATATGGTTGACCCAATCGTTCGGGCGGGCGAACGTGCAATTCCCCCAACACTCCTTCGCCAGGCAGATGTATGGCGAATAGTCGTAAAGCACGTGGTGCTGCCAAATGGCCGGGGTCTGGTACACCGAGACTGGCAGCACGTCACTACAGTAGGGGCACACGTGCTCTGTCGCATCAGCAGGGGGTTGTGGCGGGGGAGGCAAGAGAAGCCGCCGCTGCTGCTGCTGGGGCCTAAGAATGGTAGGATTCACCGTGTGAGACCCTAACCGATTATCTAGCAAGCGGAAGCTCAGGAGCTTCCAGCAGGCGCTCATTCAGTGCGCGATCCGTTTGCAGAGATCCAGATCGGCCCTGGGATACCTGGCCTGGAGTCCCCGCAGTGCGTCCGCGCGGAACTGCTCACCGCGCTCGTTGCGGTTTAGCAGCCAAAAGTCTTCCCATATGCTGTCCCCACGCTGCTCGGCCTTCGACTTCTCCACCATTTTGATTCGACCTCCTCTTCGAGCTCCTTCAGGCGAGTGTACACTCTCTCGCCGACTTTCCGGAGGGGCTCGACCCCCCAGAAGAGCAGGCCCAGGTTGCGGATGACGCCTTCCGTCTCGAGCCGCAGGCGCGCGTCGCAGCTCTCCTTGAGGGCCCGCAGGGCTTCCTCCAGGAAGACCAAGTCCAAGCAGATCGACTGCTGGGCCATGGTGAAGATGCGTAGCTTGCTGATCTCCGTGAAAGTGTAGCCGTCACCAGTGCCGACGACAGTGAGGCCCAGCCTCTCCAAGCGATCGGCGACATGCTCGTAGCCATAGAAGAAACGGAGATTATTGGCGTTAATGTCATCACCAAGGTCCTTGGGCAGGTTGTTCAGGATCTCGGCCTCCAGCGCCGTGCACCGACGCGCCTTCTCCATCAGATCCACATTGTTAGGGAATCCCGCGTGCGGTAGGTTACAATACGCCACCAGATCACCACCTCAAAGATATGGGGTTCCATTGACTGTGCAGTTCACTTCCTCCGCTTGAAGGATCCCACAGTTTTCCATTGGCCTGCGTCTTTGTACTGGCTTTTTCATATCCGGCCTGTGAGTTGCCAGACGGCTAGGGACGCCTGCGATAACCTGTCAAACACAGATTCCATGTTGATCCCTACGACAAATGCATGCCCACACTAACAGGCGATTGTTCATCATGCTAACAGAGGAGGAACTCTGCAGGTAGAAAGAATTCTCGGTTTGATCAACCAGCGGACACACCGACAATCTGCGCAGGTGTGCATTTTGGGCTTGACATTTCAGGGGGAAGCTAAAGAATCGTGAAGATGTTGACATGTTGGTATGTCCGATCCCCCAACTTCAGACCTGGTCTTCGACATCCGCTCCCTTCTGGTCATTTGACGGGGTCTGCTTTGATGAACGATCATCCCCCTCTAGGCCTATACCCTTGAAGTAACCCCTGTCCTATCAAGCCATGGGCTACCATCTTGCTTTGTCTTCTCCTCATTCCGCTTCTCCTTCGTGCCAGACCCGCCATAAAGCTGGGTCATGGTGATGAACTGCGCCACCAGTGCAGAGGCTGTGAACCGCCCCACCACGCCGAGCGCGTCCAAGGTGCCGATGAACTGCACGGAGGAGAGCACGATCGTTCCATACACCACATGCACCAGCCCGCAGATGTTCGCCAACCCATTGTAAAACCCTTCGCCGAGATCCACGCTTCGATCATGTCCATTCGTGGGGGTCCCTGCCGTTGTGTCTGAATGCTCCCGGGAAAGAAGCCTGCCCAGGCAGTCCCCAAGCACCGCGAGCCCCGAGTTTGTCAGCGCCACGAGGGGTGGCAGAACCAGCATCACGAGAGATGGCACCGGCGCGAGGAACACCCACGCCAACTCCAGAAAACCCATATTGCATTTCCAGCTGATGATCGTCTGGCTACCGAGCCGGATGGCGTTCTCCAGCACGTTAGCCGCGGCCAGCGCCACCGCGAGATATTGCACCACACTCCGGTACACATTGGGGTTTCTGCCTGCAGTATGCTCACGCAGCCACGTGGTCGGTTTGTCGCCCGGATGGTTGGGCTTGGCCCAGGGCCTTGCGAACGTCAGCGACGGGGCGGCCAGGATGCCCAGAAACCCGAGGATGGGCCGCTCGCGGAGCAGCTGCAGGCGCTCCTCGATCGTCGGCGCCACCGTCCCCAGAATCGACGGGGTGAGGCCCAGGAGCACCGTCGCCGAGGCCCAATCCCCTTTGTTCACCTCCCCGGCGCCTTCGAGCAGGCACTCGGCCATGTGCTTGCAGGTGTTGGGATCGGAGGTGTTGCGGGCGGCGAGGGAGGCATTGTAGTAGGCGTGGCAGTCGGGTCGTTCGGTGGTTAAGGTGGTCCGGTAGAAGGGGTAGAAATTTTGGAACTGGGTTGCGCGGCTAGTATCGAAGAGCAGGGCTGCACTGTAGAGGAGGGCTAAAGAGGGTATTCAATCAGTATATCTCCGACAACTGGTAAGATCCGCCTGATTAGATGTGTAGGCGAGGGGACATTCACCAAGAGTGAGTTTCATCGTGGTGAAGTATTGCCATCATCCAAAAATGTGAAGACTTTTCAGATGTACACAAGGGAAGATAGTGCATATATTAAGGGGCCAGAAGAGAGACAGAAAAAGAACTGAGACGTGAAAAACCAATTCCAAAAATAACTTATTGTTTTGTGAGTGTTAACGCGGGGCTGAACGGCGGCGGTAAGGTCAGCACTCAGCACCTATCATCGATCGTCAATTATCGCTCATCAATTCCCTTAATGGAACGCAGATGCAGCTGACGGAAACTCAACAGTACAGTACACGCTAACCTTTGAAGGAAACTGTATGGGTAATGCCCAGTGGTTCGAGGTTGGAGGGGTTGGCTGTGCGCCTGGCGCGTATTTCCTGCACATGCTGTGGGTATACAAGTGGGTAGGTAGTCTCCGGTACTTTGACGTGCTTCGAGACAGAGGTCTGTCGACTCAGCAATTATGCTGTTTCACTGATCTGGCACTTCAAACTCTCATCTACGCCCGGCACTGGAAAGACGTGATGTCAAGATATGAAGAGAAGTACGGAGTTGTTGATTCTTGTAATGTGAAACACAAAGGTCGCCATATACGGTCTACACCCTGTACGGGAGATTGTATTGACTCCCAACGCAGTACCCCCACCAAAATGGTGACACAAACCTCCATCTGTGAGTTACAGTCCTCTTCATGGATATAGTAACTCTTGTATAAATGCTCAGAAGCACCAAAATTAAATTAATTCTCACCCTTTTCCGAGGGTAGCGGTACGCAGCCCCAGCTTCCTGTTGTAAAGGGACCAACCAGTTCTCCACCCGACAGCGTAAAACAAGCCCACCATGCAAGGAGTGACAAAGTGGCTGGAAGAGCGAAGTCAGCTGGCCTCCATGAAAAATCAAAGCAACCACTAGAGCTGATGATGATGATCAACAAGAGACACGGAAATACCAAAGACACCCTGCCAAGCAACCCGCGCAGCACAGACCCCTACCTCAGCACCACGACCCCCTCACCCGCAGACCACCAGCCCCTTCTTGCCGCGTCTCCCCGCAGAAACCCATCTCCAGCACTACGGCTGGCTCTTCGGCCGCCGCTTGCCGCACTACTCCAATTGGTGGGACGACTCCGCGCAACGATGGCGGACCCTCCAGCACGGCTGGTTCTCCCTCTGGAACCACATGGTCAATGACACTTAAACCTATATCTGTGGACCCTGCGAACGTCGAGAAACCCCGTTGAGCGGAGGAAGAGTGCGATACTTGAATGGATCGCGCGCCGATGCGCACGTGTCGGCTGGCGTACATCGAGCGTTCGCGCGGCAGACCCCACGCGGGGGCACCCGCGCTCATCCGCCGGCCCACCTTGCGCTGCGAGCTGTACTGGACAGCATTCGCTTCCCGCACGCAAGCCCGCGCAGCCGCACCGACTACACGCGCGTCTGGCGGGCGCTGGCAGCCACGTTCCCCCACCTGCGCAAGGTGCGGATCAGGATTTGCCCCCGCTTCGGGGAGGATGAGGGCTTTGAAAAGGCGGGGGCGAAGATTGCCATCGGCGCGGATTCATCAGGAGCAGTAGCAGCTGCTGCTGCGGCGGCGACAACAGACCCGGTCGGATAGTCGGCAGTTCATCGACGACGACGACCTTCCCGAGTTTCAAGATGCGTGGCTGGAAGGCATGGAGTGGGCGGTCGGTCGTCTATCTGACTTGGCGCTCTTCCAGATCGTGCTGCACGTGGACATCTATCACCATCTGCGGGCGCGGGTGAAGCTCTTCCTGGCCGCCCGGCAACGACAGCAGCAGCAGTAGCAGCAGCATGGCGGGTCATCTCAGATTCAATACAGAATGTGGAACGCTCCGGATGACCGGATCCTCTCCACCAGAGGCGATACGCGACCGTTGTCGGCGGACAGCTCCGTGAAGGGCCTTGACCTCCGCTCCAACATCTGGGTGGGAGGCAAGGGGAAGTGGAAGAGACAGGCTGGGGGCAAGGTGACTTTTCAGACGGATCCGGAGCGAACCTAATATGTCTGAAAACCTGGTTGTTGAATGCTCTGTGGAGTGGGCGGAAGGATCTGTTCATTAGTCCTTCAAATCTGCCTCGCAGTATAGAGCAAAACCGGCCATACCGCCCAGTTGTCAGCACAGGGTAATAGATACCTACGAGTCCTACAGTATTATATACTGTACATAGATTATCCAAAAAGGTTCCCAGTCACCAAATTGGACGTGTTATCGTTGTCCTAATCACAATAAAGCTTATTCAGGATCCAGTGGGCCATCGTCAGACGGCAGCAGCATAGGATGAACAAAGTCTGTCGGGACGGCGTTTGTCTACTCTTCGTTCTCTCACTACTCATTCCTCCGCAGCTATGAAGCACTCAGGGAATCAGGCCTGAGCTGGATTGTAGTCATAAACTTGCGCCATCCAGCCACGCTCGGGAAATCAGAAACCAAATGGGAATTAATCTCATGGAGCGTGGTAAGACTTAAGAGCCGTCAGCGGTAGTGCTCGCTCAGCTTAGGGCTTCTCCGGACGCGCAGCGAGGCAGCATCACATGATGTGAGTAGCCCTGGGAGGGTGCGGAGAATTGCGTCTTTCGGAGTTCCTTCGTGCGTGAGCATGTTGTGTATACACTCGCAGAGATTCTAAATGAAATGGTCGATGTTTGAGTTTATTCTCGAGTAAAGTGAAAGCTGATGTTACGGATACGATAGCTGAGTCACGATCACGGTCCATATGAACTCAGCTGGACGCTCAGTCGTGTACGTGAAGCATGTTTGATGCATAATAATTCTTATGATTGCTATTGTTCAATTCTTCTTTTTTCATTCAAATCTTTCTTCTCAGGAAGTAAGAGAAGATAATCTCTTCCACTGCCGAGTATAAGAAATAAAGTACGGATAGCTAGCCACAATTGCAGCGAGGGGTACTGTAACCCGTTCCCCAGCGTGCATCCCACCTCATGATGGAATAGAGGTGGGATCTTTGAGGATTGCCATCACGTCCAGGTGTGGTGGTCATCACTCCCCTAGCGATTCTCGGAGAGCAGATCCATCATGAAATCCAGGATAATCTGCACGAACGCGACATCCGCCGGCGAAGAAGCCGTCGGGAACTCCGTCTGGCCATTCCTCCCGGTCCAGAGCACTGGCGGATCCTGAGGGTCGGGCGACGCTTCGTGGAAGAACCGCGCCTTTTGCAGCGGGTCGAACGTCGCCACGCCCGCGAGGATCGGCTCCGGCGGGTACGTGTGGTTCTGCCGCTGAGTGCGCCACTCGTGCTGGAGGAAGCGCGCCGCGAAGCCCCATGGATCGCCGTCGGCCAGATCGGCGGGAACGTTGAAGCTGAGGATTGGGGGTAGCTTGCGTCGGGTCCCCGGGGCGGCCTGGCTGGTCTGGAGACCGCGGGCGGCCGTCAGAGTGTCCTTGGCCGTGTGGATCGAGATTGTGTGGCCTTCAAATTCCGTCTGCCACGTCTCGACTCCGACGCCGGCGGCGAGTGCTGCTAGATCCATTTTGTGTGGGTGTGGGTGTGTCTCGGCTAAAGCTTTTGGCTTGTGTTTTCCGGGTGAGGGTGAATGCTTGGAGTTGCAGTGCAAGGGATGATCACAAAAAGTAGTCAGTGCAGAAGGGAGGGAAACGAGGTATTTATAAGCCAGCAGAAGTCACCCTCTTTGCCAGCTTGGGGGTGTAGATCTTCGATTGCGTAAATAGGATAAAGGACTGAGTTTATTGAGGGCATACAGAGAAAGAATGATAGCGGGAAGATTTCATGATAAGAGGTTGATAGAAACAAAGACTGTCAGAGATATGAAGATTTCAGTATATCGGACAACAAAGCGCTTTATCTTGGTGCTACCGTCAAGTATTTGGATCAGAGTACTGTGGATTGACGATACCCGCTTAATGTATAATGAGGAACTGATGGCAATTAACCTATGCCTCTATCTGTTACCAAGTAAGAGATCCCAGTCTAGCGGTCCTAGCTCTGGTAATCCGTCCGAGAGCGTGAAAGGATATATTGGGCTTTGTTCAGTCCTGTAGGGCCGATGATCTGTTGTGCTTTCTTCTTGATAGGAAGGAGGTTTCGGGAGCGTCCATTTCTTCCTTAAGCGACAGCAATTTGATACATTATATTTCTGACTAGCTGAATGCGGTAGTATCAACACAGAGTGTGGATATCGAACTTCTTCAGGACCAAAAGAAATTCCAGTATCCCTCAAAATAAACACCGCTAGAATCAACTCAGCTTCCTATCCACATTTCCTCTGCTCCCCACTCACGCTGCCGGCTAGGTGAACAATAGCAGAACTCGACTAATCGTCCAAGACTCGGTATTAGCTTATTCCTGCGGATTTATTAACCTTATTTTATTTCAACCATAACTATATTCTTGCCCTTTACATCTACAAAAGCATAGAAGCCGCTATATGAAGAGAAGATACTGTATGTTAAATTTAAGATTACTTGTATAACTTGATGTTATCACTAATCCTGGTTTTGGAACGCAACGAGAAGAAGGAAAAATTATTTAAGATCGCGGGATTCTGTATTGATCGATTTTGAATTGACTTGTTAACTGGTTGAAGATAACCTCTTACACCAACAAGAGTAGAAAAAGGAAAAGGAGCACAACGAGCTCAGCCAGCTACCCTGCAGCCCCGACGACGGAGACCACCCCCTGCCAACCTAGCCGGCATGTCAACCCAGAAACCGATCTGTCAGCCTCTCCACTAAGTCGAAGAGGTCCTGGCCGAGACCGTCGTCCCACTTGGCCGCCGCATCCGCCTCCGGCCCCCCCTGCTTGGAGAGGAGATCCATTCTGAACGTCAAGATGTCCCGCACGAAGGAGAACCCATCCGCCGCCGAAGGGGCCGGGAACTCGGTCTGGCCGGTCGGGGACGTCCAGAGCAGCGGGGGGCCGTGGTGGGCCGGCGAGGCCTCGTAAAGAAGAAGCGCGTTGGCGCTGGGGGCACGTCGCGATGCCCGCGAAGAGCATCTCCGGCTGATAGGTGTGGGGGTGGTTCTGCCGCTGCGTGCGCCACTCGTGCTGCAGGAAGCGCGCCGGAACCTCAACGGGTCGGCGAGAGCGGGAGGCAGCTCAAAGCGGAGGACCTTGGGGCCTGGGATTACGACCCCGTTCACGTTCACGTTGATGTGCACGGTCCCGTCCCCGGTGACGTGAATCGTCGGGTTGCCGTTCCCCGTGCTGTGACCCTTTGTGAGGACGGTGTTTGTGTGCACGGTGATCGCGTGGCCTTCGAACTCGGTCTGCCAGGTTTCTGCTCCGGTTTCGGCTGTGGCTGTGGTCTGTACTTGACCCATTGTGATAATAGTCAGCAGGTGTTCGATGTGTTTCTCTTGTGAGGGATGGGGTGATTTGGGTCTACCGTGTGAAGGATGATCGGGGAAACTCACGGTAGTGGAGAGAAATAGCACAGGGGCTGTTTATAAACCAGCCGGGTTTAGGGTTGAAGCTATCGGTTTGCAGGGTTTTGAGGCGTTGTACCCTGAACTCTTTATCTTTGATCGAGAACTCATAGTGTTGCAGGATTGCAGGCGAATAAGCAAATCTGGAAAGTCTCATCAGGCAACAAAGGGCTTTGTCTCTTGGCTACTATAAAGTGTTTGTATCAAAGGAGTGTGAATTCTCATCCTCGCTCCACGACTTGTACAATCAAGAGGGCCTATAACAACCAACCCATTCCTGCATCTGTCATCTGGGAAAAAAAGCACCGTCTGGCGGTTCTGGCTCTGTTCAGCTAGCTCTCAGTTGTTATCACAACTACCCCACTTCATCGCCTGCGGAGTCGTCAAAGCCTCCTCGTCCTCGGCAAATATTACCACATCCTCGCCCTCCACCCCCACAAAGGTGCAGAAGCCGCCGCCCGGGGAGGAGATGCTGTACACGATCATGGGGTTGTCTGCACGGGTCGAGTTTTATCAGTGATCCTGTTTTCCAAACCCAAAAGAGGAGTGAACGGCAACAGGCAAGTGAACGATAACAGGCAAGTGAACGACGCAAATGGAAACATCTGAAACAGAGACAGGAAGCACGTACCGATCTGCACAGCAGTGGTGTCTGTAGGAAAGAGGAGGGAGTAAGACTCGTCCTCGGTTGCGCCGTGGAAGGTGACGGAGACATTGAAGGCTGCGGCGCTGAGGGTGAGGAGGGAGAGGGCGGAGAGGAAAGCGGTTCTCATTCTGGTGGTTGAGAATGGACTCTTTAAAAAAGATTCCCAAGGATGCGCTGAGAGTGAGATGTTTTATGGTGTCTGTTGCGGGTTTACTGAGTTGTTGGGAATGAGGACGGGGTATGATCCGAGCAGGATCATGTTTATATAGCACTTTCTCGACCATCACCGAGGTTCCTCTACCGTGATTAGTGAAAAGGTCTCAGACGTAGACACTATATTTAGGCCTCAGCTGTGAGCTCAGAAACCTGACGTTGTACAACAGTAAGCAATCTCGCACCGAATGGTGGCAGTCTCGGGGTTGAGTTTAAGACCTGCATGGCATAGTCCCAAAAATAGCACGGATCGTATGCCGATGCAGCCAACCTGACCAGCTGGTTGGATCGATCCTGGAAGCTCGGGCATTTAGGCGGGCTAAGGCGTCCAGTGGCACGCGGATGATCCGACTCGATCTGCGGGTGTGGCTTGAGGCTTGGAACTGAGGAGGGGTGCAATTCCAAAGCTTATTCGTCACGAGATGGTCATGCCCAGAGGTCTTCGGTCTCGACATTTGTAATTGTTCCAAGTAACTGTAGGACGTGCTTCTTGAGAAAATTTCAAAGTTGTGACTGGCGGGTTAGTCCCTTCCTTCAGTACTGAACTAGCAGAAACTTCGCCATATCTGGAGTGCTGGTGTGCTCTCTTATGTTCTCAAGACCACTCCAAAATCAAAATGCTATAGACCATTCATGTAGACCCTACTGACGAGAGGTATCCTGCTCGTTCACGAGACTAATCTTGGATAAAACATTTAACTTGGTGAGGGAGTCTTCACTGGCACAACTATGGGGCCGGGTCACCTGAGTCTTCAATCTTACTCCCCATGCTTACGCCTAGGTTTGCGCTATGCATACTGGTACGCCAGTCGGACTGCCTCCCGGCCTGGAGGGGGTCTGTCTTTCTTTCCTCATGCTGTCTCTCATTTTCTGGCTTATTGGATAATTAATATTAGCATACAATCTTAATCATTAACTCCATCGGGCCACGGGGTTAGGTTAATTCAAACGCGGCATATCCAGACATAGGGTTGTCATCCCGCCGCCTTCGCTCGCTTGGTATGTATACCTCCCTTCTTTACTCCTGCGTCACTTTCTTTAATCCCTGTAGTCGTACTTTCGGATACAAATACTCTACTCCAATGGATAGGCCGATTTCTACATAGTGGTTGCAGAATATGTCGAGATCGATTCAAGCACGGCTTCGTCAAGAGCTCCCAATCCGGCAGATTCCACAACAGTAGACCGAGCGATCGCGTCGGCGGTAGCAATATGCAATGGATGCCACGGGGTCGGCAGTTTAGGATTTCCCCATTCCCCACTACCGCTGTGCAAAAGTGCAAGACTTCCTCTTGAGCTCGTAGAGGCCTCAGTGGCTGGAGCACCAAGTGGGCGGCGATACGAGGGTGGCAAACCATGAGTTAAGTAACTTGCCTTTCCCTCGACAAGGAAATATTTATCATCCAGGAAATTCAAAAGTATTATTTAGGCTAGACATATAACGCAGCAGTCCAAACAGGAATCATCCAAGCACGACCGAGAACCTAGTTCTCAAACTCCAAGCCACCCTCCTGTCTGACGGCGCCATAGATACCCGCCAAGTCGCCCTTCTCGCCCTGCTTCTCCTGCACCTTCTCCATGTACTTATCGGCCAACTCGACGCCCCGCATCGTGGCGCCCGCGGTACGGGCCATATGCAAGGCGTGTCTGGCGTCCTTGCGGACCAAGTCGATGCCGAACAGCGGCTCCTCACGCTTGTAGTAGTCGCCCGTGCGCATGCGGTTGGCGTACGCGACGTAGGGGCCAGGGAACACGTTCTCGAAGAACTGCATGAGCGCGTCGGTGCCCAGGCCGGTCTTCTCGGCGACGACCAGCCCCTCGGCGATGGACTCGACCATGCCGATGACGAAGGTGTTGCCCAGCACCTTCAGCTGCGAGGCCTTGGCGGGCGCGCTACCCGAGAAGTCCAGGAACGACTTAGCGATCACCCCGGTCGTGTAGGGCTTGACGGCCTCGACGTCCGCGGGCGCACCGGCCAGCACGCAGATGACCTGGCCGGCGGCGGCCATGGCGGGCGCGCCGAAGACGGGGCTCGCGACGAAGCGCGCGCCCGCGGCGGTGAGCTGCTGGTGCACGCTGGCGGTCGTGTCCGGGTGCACGGTGGAGCAGTCGACGAAGAGTTTGTTCTTGACGTCGGTGGCCAGGGCGGAGGTGACCAGGGAGGTGATGGCGGCGTCGTCGCTGACGCAGGTGAAGATGATGTCCGCCTTGGTGACGGTGTCGGCGAGGGAGGTGGAGACGGTGGTGTTGGGGGTGGCCTTGACGAAGGCTTCGGCCCGCGCGGCGGTGCGGTTGTAGATGATCAGGGGGGTGGTTTGGGGGCCCTTAGCGGCGAGGTTGGAGGCCATTCCCTGCGTTAGGTTAGTTTGAGGCTTTTTGGTATATATTAGGAGTGACGTACTCGACCCATGTTGCCGAGGCCGATCCATGCTAGACGAGGAGACATTGTGAAGGTTGATATATTGATATGTGAAGATTTGTTGGGAAGGAAGTGAAAGAGGTGAAAGATAAGGCAGTTGTGGTGAGGAAACTGCTGATGATGATGGTGATGATGATGGGAATATGCTTGGATCTTTCCGGTGTTCTTATAGCTTTTCGAGGCAATTGAGGCGACACCTGGATTAAGAATTAGCCCACGCTTACCAAGAAGGTAGAAAGAGATATGCCGCAAAGTAATCCTACCATCGAGTATACCACTAGGGTACTCCCCCGTGTACCCGGGCCTATACTATAGCTTACCAACTGGGCGGACCCTGCCAAGCAAGAACAAACTGCGGGGACCTAACCGCTTCGGGATTAGATTCCGCTGCAGAATCTGTGGCATGGTGGAAACTAATCCGTTTCAGGACGATCCGATTTTCCAGGGCTGCCTCAAACAGGCTCTCAAACTCTCCTGCCGATCCCGCTAGAATCTTCTAACTTGCTGGTTCGGATGGGTCTGATGAGTTGGGTCATGATGTAGGTTGCGGAACGGATTTCTAAGCAACACTGCTAAGGGTGTCGTATAAGACACAGTTTCGTCTCTCCCAGTCGGTTGTCGAGTAAAGCTTGCTTTGCAAAGGAACATTAGGCATCATGCAGATCTCTCACATTGTTTTGCTTCAATTCAAGCCCGATGTTGGTTCGGACATCCAAGAGAATGTGCGTTGTTGGAGCTGGCGGCAAAGCGGGAATGCCGGCTGACAATTGCTTCCAGGTCGCTAGTCGGATCAAGGGTCTTAAAGACTCCTGCATTCATCCCGAGACCGGCAAGCCGTACATCGTCAGCATGAAGGGCGGTGTGGATGTCTCCATCGAGGGGTTGCAGGTAAGGTGCCCAGTGGTGTATTTGGTGTGGTGACCTATAGCAGCTGACCTTTGGCTGGCAGAATGGCATCAGCCATGCGTTCGTCTCCGTGTTCGAGAACGCCAGCGATCGCGATTACTTCGCCAAGACGGATCCGGTGCACATTGCCCTGGTGAAGGATGTCTTGCAGTATCTGGAGCGGGTGCAGGTAGTGGACTTTGTTGACGGGCAGCTGATTTAATGTGCTGATATCATGGTACACGGTACTATGCGGCTGGGATAGGCAATGCGCTGGCTGCGTTAACATCCTCTCAAATCTCGGTACTCAAAGACGAGTTAGTCCGGTCTAGAATCACCTGAATATAGAGCGATCTTACTTTTGTTTAATTGGTGTCGGCTGCCTTTGCTTTCAAAAATGAAGCTTGTGATCTGGGTCTGATCCGGTAATCCAAGGTTATTTGCCCATGCTGGGGATCTCGAAAAACCGTACTAGGAGTTGAAACATTGTCGGCCTGTCTGCCACGTGGAAGTTGGGGCACCCTGGATTCTATTGGTTTCGCCCGAGTGGGTTGCATGTAGGACGGGTGTCCCTTGACATGCATGGGCTATTCAGTATGTATGAGTAGGATCTTAGTGCCGATGTTGTACAGTAGCTGACAGATCCAGCCCAGGAACAGATCCCTGAATGCCCTAATCCAATCCGGAGTCGAATCGGAGCTGTCTTAACACGGCTGTCAGCCCTATGTCCTGGCTCTATATACATGCTTATATTTATGTGATGGGAATTGGTGGGGGGTTGCTTGAGCGTTCTCTTTTTTTCCCATCGAGAAAATGAACAACACCACTATCTATATGACTAGGTAGGCTTTTTGTTATTATTCTGCTTATAGCTTACATGCCCATACCTGTTAGTGGTGCTTTGTGTTTACCAAGCATGTGAATGGCTCGAGATTCAGACACCTAGTGGTAAGTATCCTCATTTTCAATTCAAGGTACCAGTCTACTTGTTTGTGACTCACCCTACTCACCGCAAGAAATGTATCTTTGATGTAGAAGTCTACTTGCCCCGCAGCATCCTGCAGCGAAGGCGTGATTAATCCTGTAAAGCTACAAGGATGCTGGACTTCTCGCACCATCCTCGCTAATACTATGGAGCCTCAATACAGTTCGATGAACTGGATGGATCATAATATTCCATGAATCAGAGACAGGAAAATAGATGAATCTCGGTGAGGCACTGATGAACTATCATCTGGGCTTGTGTGGTGGTGTCTGGCTGGTGTTCTTCGAATGGAGGTGGAAGGCGATAACACAATCCGGCAACAAATGGTGCAAGCCAACCCTGACATGACAACATCCCGCACTCCTCTTCCTCCTGCTCCTGCTCCTCCCCTGCCATCCATCCAGCTAACTTTTTCATTTATCACTTCTGTCACCTAGCCTGTCATCCGAGCGGCTTCTGATCTCTTGTTAGCGAGTTAGCGTTGTCCTCTTCGCCTTAGCATGCTGGGCAAGTCCCCAAGCACATTTCCGAGGCGAACAGCCGTGAGCTGGACCTTAGACTATTAATCGAGTCGCGGTTAATTACCACACGAGATGATTGGCTTGCTAGATTGCTATCATATCTGACAGATTAGACGGTCCTACAATTCGCCATTCACTTCAAAGCCACTAGGGTGGACTTGTACAAGAGCTGGACACCACGCTCTTGCACCATCGCTTCCTTGAAGCACGCATGCATACGCTCGTGTGCACCTTCAGTGCGCATACTGCCACCCTTGCACATGCCAAAGTGGAGTATATGAAGCGCACCGTCGCCACGATAAGTCGAATTCCAGGTGCGTCTCCTTGGTTTAGAGAGCTAGCTGGACATCACAGCATCGCTAAGCAAGAATGTCGATCTCCCATCAGACATCGGCCCTGGATGGTAAACATCCTTTGGAGGATGTCCAGGCCACCAGCATCGACAGCCCGGCCGGAGACACCAAGGACAAGTCATCGTCGCTGGCCGAGCCCGACGATGAGCCTCAATCCCGGTCGCTCTTTGCCTTCTTCTCAGCCCGCAAGAAGAAGACGATCGATCTGGATGCCGTCGCGACCACGCGGAGCGTCTTCGATGACTCGAACCTGGCCCGTTTCTACCAGCCCCATGCGGACTACGAGAACTTGCATCGATTCGACCCGTCGGAGCGATGGACCTATCGCGAGGAGCGAGCCGTGCGGCGCAAGACCGACCTGACAATTCTCCTCTGGATCTTCGTCATGTTCTTCGGACTGAACCTGGATCGCGGGAACCTGAGCAATGCCTCGGCGGACAACCTCCTCCCCGACCTCGGCATCAACACCAACGACTACAACAACGCCCAGAACATGTATCGCATCGGCTTCCTGATCGCGGAGATCCCGTCCCAGATGATCGGCAAGCGACTGGGGCCCGACCGCTGGATCCCCGTGCAGATCATCCTCTGGAGTTTGGCCTCGGGCGGACAGTTCTTCATGCACAACCGAGCGGGCTTCTTCGCCTGCCGCTTCTTCATCGGCCTGTTCATGGGCGGATTCATCCCGGACGCCATCCTCTACTTGTCGTACTTCTACACGAAGCGGGAGATGCCGATCCGCCTGGCGTTCTTCTGGTTCGTCGACTCCATCTCCGGCGTGATCGCCTCGTTCATCGCCTACGGCGTCCTGCACATGCGCGGCGTCGACGGCCGCGAGGGCTGGCGGTGGCTGTTCCTGATCGAGGCCCTGATCAGTATCGTGATCGGCTTCCTCAGCTTCCTCTTCCTCGTCCCGGGCCCCACACAGACCCAGACCTGGTGGAACCCGCGCGGGTACTTCACGGAGCGCGAGGAGAAGATCATCGTGAACCGGGTGCTGCGCGACGACCCGTCCAAGGGGGACATGCACAACCGCGAGGCGCTGACGCTGGGGATGCTGTGGAAGAGTCTGAAGGACTACGACCTGTGGCCGATCTACGTGATCGGGATCTTGTTCGAGATCCCGACCTCGCCGCCCAAGTCCTACCTCAGCCTGTCGCTCAAGGCGATCGGCTTCTCGACCTTCCACACCACGCTGCTCGGCATCCCGGTCACCGTCTTCTCGGCGATCAATCTCCTGCTGGTGACGGAGCTCTCCGAGCGCTGGCACCAGATCTGCTACGTGGGCATCCTGACCCAGCTCTGGTCGCTGCCGCTGCTCATCGTGCTGTACCGCAGCGCCAGCGTGCTGTCCCACTGGGGCCTCTACGCCGTCACCTTCGTGCTGCTGGGCTGGCCCTCGCCCCACGCGGCCCATGTCGGCTGGTGCTCGCGCCTCAGCAACGCCGTGCGCACCCGCGCCGTCAGCGCCGCCCTGTACAACATCACCATCCAGCTGTCCGGCATCGCCTCGTCGAACATCTATCGCGACGACGATAAGCCGTACTACCACCGGGGCGACGGCCAGCTCATCGCCATCAACATCGCGACGATTGCCGTGTACGTGTTGGCGAAGGTGTACTACGCCAAGCGCAACCAGTGGAAGCAAGACAAATGGGCGGCGATGACGGACGAGCAGAAGGCAGATTACCTGGAGAATACGAAGGACGAGGGGAATAAGCGATTGGACTTTTTCTTCGATAGCTAGGGAAGGAGTGTGGGATCCGGAAGTGGTCGGAGGTTGTTTGGGTGGTGTGGTGTGCGTATTGGGTGTTTTCAGTGGTGGAAGGAGGGTTGGATTATTGTAGGAAACGTACAGGCCAGAGGAATAAGGCCGAAGATAGATGATTGCCTGTCCTTGAGATTGCTCTGAGCGTGTTCTAGTTATGTCACCAGCTTAGGACCTAGCTTTGCTGCCTCGGGTTATCTTAATGTTTATAGTATAGTGGGAAGGTCAGTGATTGGGCCAACAGTTTTATTCTCTCTCATCTGTTCATCTTTCATCATCCTCCTAATCCAAAGCCACTCCAAGTGATGTCCTTCAAAATGTTGCTGGCCAATTTAGATTGCAAGAGGATTAGCTTTGGCAGCGCGATGACAGTTCAACCATCATTTACGCAGGCATATTAAGAACTCTGCCCTTCCGCCTCGGTTTGATAGAAGGGATCTTTCGATTCTTCTCATGCTCGGTCACGCTCTGGTTTGCCTCATGATTCACAGGCCGCGCCAAGTCGGTTTGGGCCGAAAGGGAACGGTAGTATATTGCTATTGTTATCAGCTAGTAGATACAGTACCAGTAGATTGCAAGTATAGCCTCACACGGAGGCCGAATGACGTGACGGAGATAAGTCCACCAACAGGACCCCATTTCCTGGACCCCTGCTTAGCATCTCGGCTATTACTGCGAATTGCCTGACCCATTCAATAAGCACTATGGTGTACTTTAGATTAACTGCACGATGCCGAACCCCGGGAAGATGACCACCGACTGCCCCTCGATCACGTCTTTTCCCACCTATAAAGCCCTAAGTGATGCCGTCAGCAACAAACAGCCCAGCCGTAGCTATCTGAACTTTTCCCCCTCGCACTTGGCGATCTACCCCTCCATTTCTTTCCAGGCTCTCTAAAACCACCGACCAAAATGGGTTCCATCCAACCTTCCGAGCAGAAAGACCTGGTCCTCCCCCCGCGACCCCCTAACCTGCCACACCCGGAATACCGCACTCCGCGCGGGGTCTCGCCGCTGGACTCGGTGCGCGCCGCCGGCCTGCAGTACCCCAACTACACCCCCTTCAAGCTCCCCAATCTGAGCATCCAACCCTTCACCGACCGCGGCCTCTCCTCCTCCCCGAACAAGCAGGCCCTCCTCTCCGCCGCGACGGAGATCATCCACCTAACCCCGGAGATCGGGACGGAAGTCACCGGCCTCCAGCTCACGCAGCTAACGGATGTGCAGAAGAACGACCTGGCGCGGCTGGTCGCGGAGCGCGGCGTCGTCTTCTTCCGGGATCAGAACATGGACGTGCACGAGCAGATCGCCTTCGGGGCGTATTTCGGGGAGCTGCATATCCACCAGATGGCCGGCATCATCCCGGACCTGCCGTGGGTGCACCCGATCCACAAGGATGAGACGGCGGTCCACGGCCGGAGCCATCAGATCTGGCATTCCGATGTCAGTTACGAGCTGCAGCCGCCCGGGTTGACGATGTTGAAGATGGATACGCTCCCCAGGGCGGGGCCGGGTGGGGAGGAGACGGGTGGCGATACGATCTGGGCGAGTGGGTATGCTTTGTACGAATGTGAGTTTTCTTCCTTGTCAATAAAGTGGGAAGTGGGTGGAGAGGTCCAGGGATGACGGACTGAGGAGATGCTAACTGGCGAGCATGACAGCTCTGTCGCCCAAGCTGCGCGCCTTCCTGGAGACGCTCGAGGCCAAGCACAGCGGGCTGGAGCAGGCGGAAAAGGCCCTGCGGACGAGTGGCTGTCTCCGGAGGGACCCTATCGAGACCAATGTGAGTGTTTCGGTCTTTATTCTGTACTGTCCAATGGCTAACTCGTGGGTCAACGCCAGCACCCCGTCGTCCGCACGCATCCAGTGACCGGCTGGAAGACGCTGTACGTCAACGAGAACTTCACCAAGGAGATCGTCGGCCTGGAGAAGCGCATCGGCGACGGCATCCTGGATAGCCTCTATCGCACCGTGGCGGAGGGGTACGAGTTCCAGGTGCGCTGGAAGTGGACCAAGAACGCGGTGGCCATCTGGGACAATCGCGCCACGTTTCATACGGGCATTTTCGACTACTGTGAGTCATCCTGCTATCGCTGCTATCGCGTGGAGAATCTTTTAGATGGGTGAGTGGACGAGAGTGCTAATGTTCCGCAACTGATAGTCCCCCATCTGCGGCATGGGCTGCGGGTTGCGCCGCAGGCTGAGACCCCGTATTTCGATCCCAAGTCCAGGACCAGAAAGGAGGCGCTTGCAGAGGAGAAGGGCAAGGCGTGATCGTGAATAGCGGCAATAGAGTTTATACGTGGGCTGTGTACACAGGGTCTAGTCGGTGGTGTGATCGGTAGAATCGAAAAATACAATGGCTTTTACCTCATTGACATCAGTTCACGTACTGTAATATCCAACGAGAAATTTCTTGGTCAAGATAGTCCAGGTAAAGCTCATTCGCTTAAACCTGCAGACCACCCCAGCTGCAGGCACCATTTCCCCTTGTCCAACCATTTCACCGTAGGTAATATAGCTGCAGGATTGTTTAAATTAAACCATGATCACGTCAATCTTCTGCAGTCCCTCGCCATGCTCCTCTGCCCCTGTTCCTGAAGACACGCTTCAGGTATAAAAAGGCGTCCAGAGCCCCTGGAATTCTACCCTCAGACAAGCACCAGCGTCATCACAATGCTTCTTCTCTCCTCCCTCGTCCTCGCTGGCCTGGCAGCCGGCCAGCTGATCGGCCCCGTGGGTCCCACCACCGATCTCTCCCTCAAGACCCACGAGTGCAGCATCCTTGACTACGGCGCCGTCGCTGACAACAGCACCGACATCGCCACCGCGCTCGAGACCACCTTCACCGAGTGCGTGCTCCCCAACCCGGGCAGTCGACTGATCGTCCCCGAGGGGAACTACCTGATCGAGCGCGGGGTCGTGCTCAGCAACGCGACCAACTGGGCGTTCCAGCTGGATGGGCTGATCACCGCCGCCTACGGGGGCAACTGGACCATTGAACGTGCGTTGATCCTCCAGGGCTATGCCGGCGTGGACGTGCTCAATTCCACCATCAACGGTGAGGGTGACCAGAAGTTCCTGCTAGATGTGCTTGTAATTGTGAATGGTATGCCTTCCCCCCTCCCGGTTCTATCCTTTCTTTCCTGGTGAGGTGCTGACCCACGACGCAGCGGTCGATTTCGAGTTCTACTCATCCAACGGACTCGGTGCAATCCAGGGCCAGGGATACATCTATCGGAATCTCAACAAGTGAGCCTACTGTTTCAGTCATTGGTGCAGATCCGGGTGCTAATGAACAACTGCAGCACCGATCGCCCCCGTCTGGTGCGCGTCGTCTCGGCTATCAATGCCACCGTTCACGACTTGATCCTGGTCGACAGCCCTAAGTTCCACTTCGTGCTGGACTTTGGCGTGAACGTCGAGGTCTACCACTTGACGATCCGCGGGGCGAACCTGGGCAGTTACGACGGCATCGATGCTATCGGTACCAACTACTGGATCCATGACAACGAGGTTTGTTGTGCTGTCCGGCCCCGTTCCCATAGCTCGTCCTGCTGATGATGGATGTTCATGATGGGTAGGTCACCAACCGCGACGAATGCGTCTCCGTCAAGAGCCCGTCCCACCACGCCCTGGTCGAGAACCTGGTCTGCAACCAGGCCGGCTCGGGGATCTCCATTGGCAGCTTGAACGTCTCTGCCGAGATCTCCAACATTGTATGTCATCCGCATTTCCTCGGTGGGTTGATCACACACTGACCGAAATGACAACGGAAGGTCGCCAAAAACATCAGCATCATCCAAGGCAACAACATCGCCTTCATCAAGACCTACCCCGGGGGCTCCGGGTACGTCACCAACGTCACCTTCGAGAACTTCCGGTCCAAGGCCAGTCTGTACGGGCTGAGCGTCAACCAGTACTGGCAGAACACCTTCGAGCCGGACACGGGCGCGGTGGCGCTGAGCAACCTGGTCTTCAAGAACTTTTCCGGTCCGTCGCCACCTCCCACTGCACAACCTTCCCCAATGGCAGGCCCGTATCCCGGATACTGATCCAATCGCAACCAGGCTCCGTCGCGCAGGGCACCGTCCGCCCGCCGCTCTACCTCATCGCCAACGACCTCACCTACGCCACGAACGTCACGATCGAGGATTTTACCGTCTGGACCGAGACCGGCACCACCGTGGTGAACAAGATCAACAACGTCTTCGGGACGGGGGACAATTCCTACGGCGCAAACGACGGGATCAAGTCCCTCGCGCCCGGGGCGACCCCCACCACGTACACGAGCACGTACACCATCACGGCGTCGCCGACGGGGTGGACGGCCCCCGCGTCGCCGACCTGGGCGGTGCCGAGCACGGGCTACGGGAGTGAGTGTTCCCTCCCTTTTTTCCCCTTCGTCTGAGGATGTCCCCCTTGGGCTGGAAGTGCACGTAGTCGAGTTGGACGATGGCTAATCTGACGCCCCTGAACAGCTGCGTCGCCGATTCCGGTGTACACGCCCAAGCCGCTGTGGAGGCCTGGCGGGGTGGATTATGATCTGCACTACTGGGGGAGCTTTTAGAGGGATGGGGGTTGAGGTCGGGAGTGTTCGGGCTTCGGAGCATAGATTTATGTAGAGCATTCACCTCGTGATCCGTTGACGAGTCCCGGGGGCGATTGCAGTCTGTAACTGCTGGAATTGATTGCTTTCTAGCGGAAGGACTCCTGCTTGAACCGTCCACTGCCGCGCTGCGTCGGCTCGCGGGCAGTGCCTCAGATAGCCTCATGAATGACCGAATGCACTATTTATCCACGTTCTCCATCACCGTCCTTCCATAACCGCAGTACATAAGGTATTCATGTTCTATCACCGTCACTATTGAGCGTGCCACTAGGCAGTCGCAGGCCGTCGATGCGCTGCTGGCCACCGGTAGACAAACGCGGGGTAAATAGCCAAGCTCAGGTGACACCATAGAAGGTGCTTCACGTCGGGTGCGACGCCTCGGGAGTTTGCATACAGCCAGCAGAGGGAGGAGATCAGGATTCCAACGACAGCGAGGCGGGCGACGAGGGTGCTGGAGTCCATGGTTTCAGAAAGTGGTAGTGCGACGGTGTGGGTGGAAGAATTGGCTGGAAGTGAATAGAATAGAATGCAAAAGGGATAGGGATACACGATTTCTGTGTCCTGGGATTTGCTTAACACACGTTTTCAGCTCGGGTTGCCGGACTTGGAGAGGAGACTCGCTGCCTAAATATTCGTCGGATATTGTGGGATGGTATGTCTCACTACAGTGCTCTAGCTTGAGGTAGTCCCTCATCTAGCTTCACGCCGCAACTTCGGCCTAGAATCAATGAAAACATCGACCCACTTTTTCTGAGCAATTTGAAGAGCCCCTCAGAACACCGTCTGGAATCGGTAAAACCACCGAATGAGCTGCGCGCTCGCTTTTCCAATCGACAGCAGTGAGCGCCACTGCCTAAAGGGTCCAGAGTCTTAATCCAAGGGCAAGTGTACAGTGGCTGGGGATATCGTTGAGGGTGTAAGTTAATACCTGATGGTTTGTTAAGAAAGCACAACGATTCACCTACAAGCACAAACTTTCGTTGTTTTGATTCTGTTCACCTGGACCCAAGGAAGAGGATCCACCCGATGTCAGCCCAGAGTTAGGGCTTGCGCCAACTTTCTTTATCAGCTGGCCCAGTGCCCCCCGGCTCCGAATCCACCAAACCTTCCGCGTACACATCAATCAACTGGGATCCTCGATCTTGTCAGCGCCTCAGAGAACATCATTCGAGTGATCCTATACAGATGGCTTCAACAAGAAATGTAACCCTTGACTATTCCAGTAAACCCATGGTCGATAGGGACTTCAATCCCAGGGGGACCCGGAACCTCACCGAACACCGCCAAGATCCGACGGTCCGATCCCTGCTGCCCCGGGGCCACCGGCCACCGATTGACTGGTGATCGTCGACCCTGAAAGATGGCCAAGATGGCGCTGACTTAGGTGTACATGCGAGTTAGTGGAATGAACCCATCCTACAGGCGAATATCACATGGATCTCGTACACGGCCAACTCATGCATTTTCTTGTTCGGGTTGCAGTCTTCCCGAAGGTCGACTACCTATCTTCTGAACCTTTGACCTTTAGCCCCCGTGTCCTCACCGTCGACCCTGTAGACACTTTCTTTGTATGACTTGGGTCAAATCGCTCAACCCATCGCGAATGCGTGTTCCGTCTCGAGGCGCGATTGGTGTATTGGGGACTTTAGGGTTTGATCGACACGGTATATCCACAGATATTACATATATCAACGGAGTAGACATTCATACATGTACATGGAGGTGCGATGCGAATCCTGCGTTGTAGACCTCTCACAACAGCGAACTGGAGGATGTGGGGGGTTCAGGTCTGGCACTGGACCTAGAGGAGGGTCAATCCTTGCCATGTGCCGAGGTAACAAATGAACCAGACAGCGAAGTCGCCCTATGCGACAGCGACAGCAGCACCATCGAATCAATCGTGAAGGGTTTGTTGATTATATACACAGCAGAGTCGTCGCGTGTGGAGAACATGTCACAGGCTGAAGCACCCTCCAATCGCGAGCAGACAAGAAATGCAATTCCTCTTGAACACAAACCGAAACCATCCAAATCACACCCCAGAATCCATTCCCTTCTCGCACTCTCTCTACCACCAACCCAAACCATGCCCACTACCACTTACTCCACCGTCAACCCCTCGACCCCGACCAACTCCGCCTCGCGATTCAACGCCTCAATCTCCGCCTTCGCAAACGGAATCCCCTCCGCTAACCTCCTCTCGCGCATCTCCAACTCAATCTCCCCAGGATAATAAATCCTGTCCACGCCCTGCATCTTCTGCCCCCCCACGACCCTCCGATACAAATGATCCATGCGCGCCTTGAACTCCTCCAACCCCATAAACAAATCCGGCTTGATAGCGACGATAAAATGCCCCACATCCGCCTCACGGGTCGGATCATACGGACCGGTCACATCCCCGGCGAAGGCACTGCCCGAGAAGACCCCGGAGAAGACATCCATCATGATGGCGAGCGCGGAGCCCTTGGGCCCGCCCATGGGCAGCATGACGCCGTCCAGCGCCCTGGCCGGATCCGTGGTGCGGTTGCCGTCGGCATCGAGCGCCCAGTTCTCGGGGATCGACTCGCCGCGGCGGAGCGCCTTGTAGATCTTGCCGCGCGCCGCGACACTCGGGGCCATATCCAGAATAAAGGGGGGTGCGGCGCCGGCGGGCGCGCCGCACGCGATCGGGGACACGCCGAGGAGTTTCTCGCGGCCGCCCCAGGCGGGCAGGGCGGGCGAGGAGTTGGTGAAGACCAGGCTCATCAGGCCGGCGTCGACGGCCTGCTGCACCAGCCACGCCGACATGCCGAAGTGGTTGCTGTGCTTGACGGAGACGAGCCCCACCCCGAACTCCTGGGCCATGGCGATCGCCCGCGTCATGGCCAGGTGCGCGGCCACGAACCCGAATGCGTTGTGGCCGTCGACCTGCGCGGCGACGGGCGTCGTTTGCGTCAGCGTGGGCACGGCGCCCGGGTCGAGCACCCCCTGTCGGATCCGCGCCATGTAGCTCGGGATCCGGTTGCTGCCGTGCGTGTCGACCCCGCGCAGGTCCGCGGCGATCAGGCAGTCGGCGATGGTGGTCGCGTCGGCGGCGGAGACGCCGTTGGCTGTGAGGATGCGGTGGACGCAGGCGGCGAGGGTGGTGTGGGGGATTTTGTGGAGGTCGGTCATTTTGGGGTGGTTGGGTTTGGGTGTGGTCTGTCGAGTAGAGTAGGTGTATGTGTTCAATTGTGGTTGAGTACAGGTACAGTACTTGGAACGATACTTATTTCAATGCTGCGAGTGAAATGGACCGAGTGAAATGGCGGATCGTCCCCGCGCGGGCGGATCCCGTCACGGGTCCGAGCTCGGATGGCTTCCGCTGGGCTATGCGGCTTCTGATTGGCTATGGGTACGGTATCGGCACTGCCTTGTGGTATCATGGATACTGGTGCTACCTACTGCCTTTCAGTATTCCAGCCCTGCATTCAATAACAGATCTATTCGTATCTAAATAATACTCTCTCACAGTCCCGAAGCTATCTACAGCACAGCTCTGATCCTCTCCCCCCCCATCTCCTGCATCATCGACACAATCCCCTCCAACTCCGGCGCCGACCTCGGCACATCATGTCCAGAGGAATGCACCAGCGACCTTGTCAGCCCGCTCTCACACAGCTGGATCGCCCAGGACGACGCGTCCCGCAGCCCCTTCGGCTCGTTCCGGCCCCAGACATGCAGCGTCGGGATCTGGACCCTCGCCGCTACGACGGGAGGGTACAGCAGCAGCGGCGTCTCCTGGACGGGCTTATCCAGGAAGAAGCCGCGCGGCTCGCGGGTGATCGGATGCACGCAGTCCAGCAGGCGACTGATGGCCGTTGTGACCGTGCGCAGCCGGTCCGGCAACGTGTCCAGCTGCGCGTAGTCGCACGAACGGACCTTGCTCCACTCCTCCGGCCGCAGCTCGGGGTACAGTTCCTCAACAAAGGCGCGGTCGGCGGAGCAGGCGAAGATGCACGAGCAGAAGACGGCGAAGCGGAAGGGGTACTCCGCGGGGGCGGCGCCGACGGCCGCGAAGCCCTCCAGCAGATACGACAGGGCCACGGCGGCTCCGTGGCTGAAGCCCAGGACCCCGTCGAAGGGGCCCTGCGTGCGGATCGTGTGGTCGAGCAGCGTGTAGGTGGCCCGGGTCTGGTCGGGGGACATGCTCCGGGCGTAGCAGTTGAACGGGCCGGGGAATCTCTTCGCTAGGCCTGCAATCACTCACGGTTAGTCGAGAGGATCAAAGTGGCAGCAGGAGTGACTTGCCCACGGCGGGATGGCACTCGGTCGGACCGCGCAGGAAGACGAACTCCCAGTCCGGGGGCGCGTGCTGGCGCAACCCCGCCAGTTGCTGGTTCATGCTGGCCGGGTTGGTACCGTATCCGTGAAGGCAGAGAATCCTCATCGTGGCGGTGGCTTTTTTCTGACTCTCTTGCGGTCACCTTGAGCTTCCTGGGGAGAAAAGCCTCGCGACTTTTATAAGTCCTGCGTGGCGAGCCTTCAGCCCGGGTCGGCATGAGTTGCCATTTCAGCCTCTGCTGCAGCATCGGCTAAAATGGCCACCCAACCGTGGGCAAACGAAGCGATACGAGCGAGCTCAGCTGCTACTGGCCTTGTACTTCTTCAGGTATACTCCGTGGCGTCGGGTTGCCGGTCAGATCGCCATGGACTCGTGTGCGACCCGCTTTTCTGCAGGCGATAAGCTCGTCAGCGTCAGCATCGTGTCAGATTATTGCTTGCGGGTAGCTGTGGATTGCAAAGCATGACAAAAGCAGTCCAGGGGAAGACATAGCTGATGCGGTGTGATAACAGGTGCATATATAAGTCGGATTGTCAGGCTGGTTGTTGTGTTGTTGTGTTGTGATGGAATCAGCCGCACGGGGCCCAGTTGGCGGAGTACTAAGTCTCCTCCCACTAAGCTTTCCGACCCCGACAGCGGCCCGCGGGGGTTCCCGCTGGGTATGAGGGGTTTTCTTTCCGCCCAGGCAAATGACTTCGTTGACCTCGGAACTTGCTGACATAGTAAGATAAAGGGGACCAATCTAGCTTCTATATGAAGATACTCTTACACCCGCTACAGGAAGCCTTCACTCTGCCAGACCAGCTAAATTATATCTCAACATCACATAACCCACAAAACACCTCTATCCACTGCTCAAGAGATCCACTCACGCATATCAACCCCCGTTCATGCTTAATCGTGGTCAATCCGACCGCCGGTGCGAACCCTACACCCAATCCTCCAATCCCTCAACAAAGCTTCTTACAGATCATAATAATAAGTGACCAAAGAAAGAGTGTCCCCTTCCCAGGTCCTCTTCCATCAGCCCTGACAAGAGAAAAGATCCAATACGCCCCAAGCCAGCCCCATCAAAACCCGATCAAAAGTCCACACCTAACACAATCCAGCAACCCCGCCCAAGCAACCACTGCACCTACCCATAATCAACCCCAAACATACCCCCAACAAGCCCTAGAACACTCCCCCCTCCCCCACCCTAAGCCACCCAGCTAACTACCCGAACCGAGCCCAGCGCATCCAGCCCATCCATCGCAACCCAATCCCCAATCCCTCATCACGAAATACCCCAGCACAACCTCCCTCACCGCAGGATCCGTATCCGTATGTATACCCTCCACATCCCATCTACACACTTAATCCAATCCCACACTGCTGCTACAGCTACTACTCACAAAATGGTGTATGGTATGGTACATAGGGCCGAGATACTCACCAGGGATGGTCCACTCCACACCCGTCCTGACAGCACACAGCGGCGCTGTGGACGCACCAGGAAGACGGCCATACAATATCAAGCACGCTACTCTACTCCATAAACCCGGACGACACGGTAAGATATCTCCCTGTCGGACCATGATTGCATCTACACTGCTTATTGCGTATTCCAATGAATGGCGACGGTGGATGCAGTGGTCAGCGCGGGACATGGTATCTTGAACCATGCAGGGCGGTTAGCGGGTGGGGTTCAGGGCGTTGGTGTGGGCGGGCGCATTATCTTCGACTGGATGTCTCCAGAGTTGTTTGGTGCAGGGTATGGTTTGACGCTCAGTGGATGGTACTCCGTATCTGTAGTGGTGATTGCTGTCGGAGGGGGTGGGAGGAGGGTTTGAGTGGATGGTTTTATGCATTGCTTGTGCGTGGTATTATGTCACTGTGCATGTGGGGAAGGTGGATGGAGTATGTGGAGGGATGTGGGGAGGTGAGGGGAGGGGGAGGGAGGTGGATGTGGATGTGGATGTGGAGGGATGAGGCGAGGGGTCTTGTGTTGGGTCTTGGTGATTGCGCTTGAGGGTGAGCTGGTGAGGCGAGTACAGTGCCAAGGTTAGGTCATGAGGGTTCAGTGAGTACTTTATAAAAGTGTTCATGGAGACGGCTATATTTTCTTGTTCTACTCATGTCAATAGTGCTGTGGACACGTAGACTGAAGCTGCTGAGGGGTATGAACTAGGCATTTTAGTTGGTTTCGGTGAAAGGAGAAGCACTTGTCTTGCGATCGAGCTTCACCTAACTAGATCTTATCGCATTTGTCCCAGATTGAAGTCTATGCTAAGCCATCACCCTATCTTGCAACTCTCGCCTCATGAGCGATCCCCGAGTCTAGCTGTAAGCCAAGCAATCCGCCGCGAATTATAGTCCCCTAGGAGTATAACCCGGTATACAAATAACTAACTGCTGATAACCATTAGGGACCCTCCAAAGCTAATCACGGCCAGTCAGCCTTACAGCGAGCGTAGTGGGTCTAAACCACGCCGCTGGCCCCAAACATACATCCCTAGTGATCACCTGTTCTCTCCACCCATTTCCCAGCAATATACCTCATGCCCGTTGAATTCCAGTAAAAAATGCAATCAATTCTAGGTATCAAACTCTATCCAAATGCAATGCCCGCTCAAATAGCCCATCACACCAAGCTGCTGCGCGGCCCGTTTACTTGCCGAAGACCTTGAAGCGGTCCTCCAGCGGCGCGAAGGCCTTCTCGCCGGCCGGGGCGGTCGGGGTACCGAAGACCAGCTGGGCATCGAGCTTCCAGGAGGCGGGGAGGTTCCACTGCTTGGCGACCTGCTCGTCGATCAGGGGGCTGTAGTGCTGGAGGTTGGCGCCGAAGCCCTCGGATTCCAGGGCAGTCCAGACTATGGAGGTTAGCGAGGCCCTCTAGGAAAGAATACAGAGTAACCTACTCAGGTACTGGGCCATGGCGTTGGACTCGAGCGCCCAGGGGTTGAAGTTGTCGGCGTAGATGGCGAACTTCTCCTTGATGGGGGCCAGGGAGTCGTAGTCGACGAAGAAGAGGACCTGACAATGTTAGGATGCACACAGCTAGTAAGGTCCTAGGGGAGGCGTACAGTGCCGTAGCCGTTGCGGAAGGCGTTCAGCTTGGGCTTGGTCTGGTTCTCAAAGGTCTCCTTGGGGACCTGGCCGGCGGCGACCAGCCCCTCGAGGGCGTTGATGGCGATGTCCCACAGCTTCTGGTGCTCCTCCTTCAGCAGCAGCACAATGCGGCCGGTCTGGGTGTTGAAGGAGCTGGGGGTGTGGAGGACGGCCTGCTGGACGAGCTGCTCGATGGCCTCGTCGGCGATGGGGCTCTCGGCCTTGAGGGTGTAGATGGAGCGGCGGGCCTTAGCCGCCTCCAGGATGGCGGTGGTGGCGGGGTTCTTGAACTCAGCGGCGGTCATTGTGGCGGTTGATCGGGTTTAAAAAAAAGTGAAGGGTATCAAGAGCGCTGTGAGTGATTGCTGATTGTGTTGAGGGGAAAATGGAGGGAGCAGCGACGACTCCTCCACAACTATATAGGCGATCAACCGGGCGACCGCCACCACATCCTGTTGTTTTCTGCCGTAATTCCAGCCGAGAATTGTGTGCCTGTCCGGAATGCCCCCCCTGATCCCACGGATTATGCACCCCAGCCCCACCTTATTCAATGCTTATCAAATCGCGGAATCATCCCATGCTGGAATTGGTTTTTCCTTGGTCATCGCTGACTGACAACCCCTCCACACTCGGGCAGGATCCCGCAGGTGGAAACTTCCAGACATCCGATCTCCCCACATGGAAGTGCAGACAGAATCGAAGGGAGGTGAATTGGCGCATAGGAATCGATAGAATCGTTATTTGTGGATCTGTAGATTATCCAATGGTGGCCAGCCTACCAGGCTTGGTTTAGGTAGACTCAGGGAAAAACTTGAAGGCCGATGGCTGCTGCCTGAGGCAGAGATGGATGTCCGTGGCAGCTCCGACGGATGCACCCAATCAACGGAGGCCTCGGACTCAGGAAACATCCGAGTCCGTCGCACTAACTGCTGATTCCGCCATCTCCTACCCTCAATGTCCGGATCGACCCCTTGACAATTTGTCAGCTCCACCGACTTTTCACATAATCAGCATAATCACATTGAGGATCTGATAACAAAATCCCTCAGTCGATGGCCGCCAGAAGAAATGGAGGCGCCGTTGCATTCGCCTCATTGGATCCGAGAGCCGACGGGGTCGGGTCACGGGTATCTATGGGCCGGACAAAACGGGTATAGCAACAGTGCCAGGTGACCAAGGTGCTGCGACAGATATAGAACCGGGGCATACTCGAATGACGCGATGGTCAAGAGACACGGGCCACGAGACCTTAGAAGAAGAAAAGAACCCAAAACAAATTGTCTATGTAGAGCACTAAGAAACACCACCAGCAACCACACTCAGCGGGTACTCGATCCATCCCTGCAACTCCACCGGCAACAACGCCCTGACTCCCCCAACGACATGCTCATCCCACCCCCTCATCAGCCAACACGACTGCATATGCCGGAGTATGATACTCCAATGCGCATACACCACCAGCGCATACGGATCTCTCGCCTCTAACAACGCAATCATCTCCTCTCGCGCCCGATAGATCCACCCCATAGCCAGATGCATCAGATGGATTCCGTCCTTGCCGGCGCTGCGGAATGCGTATGCTTCTCGGAGAATGGACATCAAATCCTCGATTGAGGCTGTATAGACCTCGCAGACGGCGACATCACTCACCTGCGACGCGATCCAGGACCGCAGGGCCTGGATCTGCGACAGATGCTGGTCCAGTTCCGTCTGCAGTGCCGGACTGACCTCCTTGATACTGTCGTCGGGGACCGGGGTCAGCACCCCCGTGAAGATGCGTTCGTGGTTGGTGGTCAGGATGGATCGCACCCCGCGGAGCAACACCAGCCACTCGGACTGCCCGCTCTGACTGAACACAAGGTATTCGCCGATGCGTGGCCCCCGGCCAAAGTAGGCCAGGCAGATCAACGCCGCTGACATGTAGATTAGCTGGCAATTCTCCGAGTTCAGCAGCGCCAGCACCGCGGTTACCGACCGCACCCCAAAGGTGAAGTGGTCGTCCGCCTGGGCGAGGTACTCGGCCCGTGAGTCGGGGTTCTCGGCCGCCAGATGAAGCGCCGACAGCGAGAGAATGAGATGCAGGATAGAGGGAAAGGAGACCCCCCAGCGTGGCACGTGGTTGGACCAGACACCATGCGTGTCCCCTTTCTCGTCCGCCAGCGTCTTGTAAGTAGTGGTCATGTAGTGGTGATACAGTTTGAGATCCGCGAACGAGATCCCGCCGGGCGGCTGGCTGGCGGCGAGGTCACATTGGGTTCCGGTCGACACCGGCCCCGACCCCCGAGCCTCCGAGCCGGATCTGGATGCTGTAGATGATTCTGTCTGGGTCGCATGTTGGTACCTCGATCGCCGAAAGCGATACTGCCGCGTGGTGGTGCTTGAGGCGGACGGAGCGGCGGACGGGAGGATGAAGTCGCAGTCGATGGAGTGGCGCACACAGGGACCGCACGCGGGCTTTTTCTCATCACACTGTGAGTACTTAGCCCTTGCGCGCACCAGCGGCCTTTGAGGGATGAAGCAAGCGAACAAGTGCATCGCAGCAAAGCCCATCTTGTAGACCAATTCTCGTGGACACACCAGGAGGCGACAGCGTAGAGCAGGAGAGACAACGCACCTTCACTCGTCTTCGCTTGCAATTCTGACATCCCAAGCGAGATTTATTGTGCGATCGCCGAGAGCGTACTCGTGTTGAACCTGACTCGTCCATGGCGAGGCATGCATGCAGTGGCGCAGGAGCCCTGTACGTGAATCGTATTCGTTTCCTTTTCACCGAGTTGGGGGGAAGAAGGCTCTGAGTTATTGCCTCAGGCACCAAGGTGTGTCTCCCATCACGTGGGTGCATCCCTTGGGTCGGCCACATTTAGCTTTGCAGACTGCTGGTGGCACACATGGTTGCCTAGCCCATGGTTTCACATCCATGACCATGCATGCAAGCCTGAGGTGAAACAGGAGGAGCCATCGCTGTTGACATCTCACCCTAAGCATCCCCTGCACTTCCTGCAAAGCACTAGTGCAGTTCTCCCAGAACTCTTATCTTATCGAGTTCCGGGATCCGATCCGATCCCGGCGCCATGCTCGACTAATCCAACCAATGACATTACTGCTCGCAGGGATATCATCACGACATGAAAGCACCATTGCAGTAATCGAGGGGTCGACTGCCATATATTCATGCATTGCCTTCTCCATTGCAGCACCGCGTCGGCTCCTCGAAGTTCCAGACTCAGACTCATCGTCCCCGGCTGCAACCATGGGCAACAACATCTCCTACACCACGCGCGAAACCCATCTCCCCATCCCCAACACCGAACTGACAATCCAGGGCCTGCAAAATGGCACGCAGTCCCGGCGTTTCACCGGTATCCCCTACGCCAAACCACCAGTGGGACCTCTGCGCTGGCGTAAACCCCAGCCCTTGTCCCTGTCGCAATTAGCCCAAGAATCATCAACCTTCGACGCCACGACCTTCGGCCCCGTCTGTCCACAAGCCAACTACTCCAAGTCGGTCAGCGAGCACGTCCCAGTCCACACCTACAGCGAAGATTGCCTTCGTCTGAACATCTGGACGCCCGTGCCCGACCCCGCAACCCCGAACAAGAAGTACCCGGTGATGATCTGGTTCCACGGCGGATGGTTCCAGGTCGGGGACCCCAGCCAGGAATTCGGCATGGATCCGACCGAGCTCATCTCCACAGGAGGTCTGAGCTGCGTCTTCGTCGCGGTGGGGTACCGTCTCAACATCTTCGGCTTCCTGGCCGGGGACGCCCTGCGCCAGGAATCCGGCGGCCGGGAGGTCGGAAACTACGGTCTCTGGGACCAACGGCTGGCGATCGAGTGGGTGCACGAGAACATCGAGCACTTCGGGGGCGATCCGGAGAACCTCATTCTGTCCGGGCGGAGCGCGGGGGCGTACGCGGTGCAGGCGCAGGTGTTGTTCGACTTCCGCGCGGGGCCCGACGTGATCGACGCCCGGTCGCGGGATCGCTTTCGGCGGCTGGTCATGTACTCCAACGCCATCCCGACCCAGCCCAAGACCCCCGAGGACTGCCAGGCGCAGTTCGACGAGGTGTGCACGTACTTCGGAATCGGGGCGGAGGTCTCCGGCGAGGAGAAGCTGGCGCGCCTGCGCGGGATCGAGGCCACGGCGCTGTGCGACGCCATCATGACCCTCGAGCATCACACCTTCCGAGCGGTCACGGACGGCGTCTTCATCCAACCGGGGATCTTCGGGTACTTCCGGGACGGCTCGTTCGCGGCCGAGTTCAAGAGACGGGGTCTGCGCCTGTTCATCGGCGAGGTGCGCGACGAGAACACCCTCTACGCGGTGACGAACAGCCCCGAGCCCAATCGGGAGTCGTTCCGGCTGCAGGTGGAGAATTATTATGCGCCGGCTACGACGGAGAGGTTGCTGCGGCATTATGAGCTCCCTCCGACGGACAAGAAAGAGGAGTGGCAGGCGGTATTTGGAAATCTCATCGCCGATGGCCAGGTGCGGGCGCCGTCACGGTTTCTGGCCAAGAATTTGCTGGACCACGGCGTGGGTGTCGACGACGTCTGGCGCTATCTGATCGCCTACCGGCTGTCGTTCATCACGGAGAAGGTCGCCCCGGCGTCGTTCGGAGTCAGCCATGCGATGGACAGGCCGATCTGGAAGTAAGTCTTTCCCGCACTCGTGTAGTCACGTCTTGTTGACCGAGTTAGCTACTCGATAATGCACGGCCCGACCCCGGAGGAGAAAGTGTTGCTGGACTCTTGGATCCGGGACCTGGCTGCTTTCGTGAACAACGAGGAGGGTTACTCCTACGGCACACACGTCGCGGATGAGTATAAGGTGATGACTGCAGAGGGTAAGATCGAAATTCAGAAAGATGTCAGGTGGGAGCCTTTGCTCAAACTGATGGATTTTTTCTCTGGGTTGGAGGGGGCTGCCTAGGTAGTTTGCCGCTGGGTGGTGGCTTCAGTCTCATCTCCGCAGGGAAATGGCCGCTGACCGCCCGGAGCTCTAGGCAATCGGCCACTGCCCAGCATCAGCAAAAAGCTCGCTTTGAGAGCATAAGTAGTGCCAGGATCTCAATGAGCTTCGGTTCTGGTAAAGTCAGATAGTCAGCAAGGCAGTATTCCTATTCCTATTGTAGCCGTGCTATTCGTCCGCACGGCGGAAGTGCAATTCAGAGGTGGAATCAACTACAATAGACTGAGAGTAGTTGTAGCAAGCCATTCGACGCTAGAGTAGAGTATGAGTTCTAAATTCGGCAAATGTTCCCAGATGCCATTCTATAGTCTATCAGTCTATCTATATACAGATGTATATCTAGGAGAATCATGACGCGCGATGAAGATTTAGCCGCATCATCGAACAGACAGATCCAACCCTGAACTATTTTCTCTCATCGGCGAGGACAAAGTGGAAGACACCAGGCGCCTCGCTCTTGCCACTTCCTTTATCGGACACATAGATGCACTTTCTGAAAGTCGTCATGAGAGAGTACAAGAAGCTCTCCTGCTTCTCCTCGTGGTAGTTGGCGCCGAGCATGGGCTGGATGGCCTTGGTAGCCTTCTCCGCGTGGTAGAAGGGAATGCGGCTGAACAGGTGGTGAACAACGTGATAGTCAATGATCTCGTGGAAGAAGTGACGGCCGATGAAGCCAATGCTGCGGTCGATGGTGGCCAGAGCGCCCTTGGTGTAGGTCCAGGTCTCGGCACTGTAGTGAGGAACGGCAGGGTGGGTGTGCTGGAGGTACGTGATGGCAACTAGTACTGTCAGTGTGCTGAATTGATCGGACACATTATAAGGTGTACTCACTCAACCAGTGGTGAACCCAGAAGTAGGGGATCACGTATAGGAGAACAACGTTCCAGCCTCCGATCTGGGTAGAGGCATAGTACAGAACAGATCCCATGATGAGCAGACCCAAGTCAGACAGCGCAATGCTGACCCACTGAGCGCGAGTGAAGATAGGGCCGAAGGGGTTGAAGTGGCTGGAGATGCCCTTCAGAGGACGGTTCTCGGGCAAACTCTTCGGGCCAGCGGTGACGTTGAGGAAGAGGTACAGCTGCCAGCCCATGAGCTGGTGACCGATGAGCTGGACGAAAGAGACGATCGGGGTCTCCTCAGTCAAGTGCTTCAACTGCTCGATGCGCACGTTCTTCTTCTTGGCCAACTGCGAGTCGGTCCAGGGCACGAAGACGGTATCCTTCTCCATGTGACCGGTGTAGCGGTGGTGGCGAGCATGGGTGATCTTCCAGGAGAAGTAAGGCACCATCAAGAAAGAGTGAAGGGCCCAGCCGACAAAGTCGTTCAGCTTCTGGTGGCGGGAGAAAGCACCATGGCCGCACTCATGGGCCAAAATCCAGAGTCCCGTGCCAACACAGCCCTGGAAGAAGCCATAGACAGCCCAGGCAATGATTCGCAGCTCCAATGTAGGGAGGAGATAGATGTGGAAGGCAGCGTAGGTCAGGATAGCGCAGTAGAGGATGTCACGGGCAACGTAGAGGAGGGAGGTGACGGCCGAGGAGTCGAAGCATTCCTTGGGGATAGCATCTTTGAGGTCTTTCAGATTGGGAACGGTGTCATCTTCGACTTCCTGCGAACAGTGTCAATAGTTTTCTTTTTCTTTTCGGAAGCATACACTTTGGTCATACATACCACCACCGTCACAATAGGCTCCTTCTTGCGCAACTCGGTCAAAGTCATCTTTGCAGACTATGAATCCCACCAAATATCACACAGAGGGAATTGAATTGTGCGAAAGAAAAGCCGTGTGCAGCTTTCCGAATTTTTGTAGGAAAACCATAATGAATAGGGTCAGTGATCAGCGGCCACTGAGGAGACCCAATTAGGCGCATCGTGTTCCTGGCTTCTTCTGGAAGGCCTCTCGCCACACCTATGAGAAAGCTCCGGTGGAACCACGGAACGGTGTCAGATTCTGTATCCACGCTAACTGTCAATATCTCGGCGCCCCCTGAGTGGCTGCATTCCTTTCTGAGACTGAGAAATCGCAGAAACGGCCTGTCGTGGTTTGCTCCGCCGGTCTAATTCGAGGCCCTCCCACGGATTTTGCCCGTGCACACTGTGGAGGTCGGATTCCCAACAGTTTCAAAGGGGAATCGGATCTGGAGAAAACTTAGATTTGGGAACGACTCTGCGAGAAAACAGGGATATTTTCCTTGCTCAAGCCGGGGTTATCGATAAGCTCTGGAAATTCCATGCAAAAGGGGAACTCAATTCACCCCTCCAGGCTGTCCCCTGAATGTGATAGATTTGCGGGCTATAGATAGACCAGAAGTAAGGGATGCAAGCCTGCAATGGAAGGCCATCCATCCTCCTCCACCGCCCTCGCATGCCCCCAATCCCTTTTGAGTTTAGCCTCGCGTTTTCTGCCTTAAGGTTTTTTTTTTTTTGTAGTTTTTAGTTTCAACGTTTTTTCTTTCTCAACAATTTTTAGCGAGTCGTCAATCTTCGACTCGTATCTTTCTTATTTTTTCTTCTCGGCCGTCTGCATGCCGTCTGCATCTCGTCTTAGGGCTTCTCGAGACACGGGACAATTCAATCTTCGCCTATTGGCCAGCACTATTGTATTGGGCTTGCCCTTGCGGCATAAACTCGGAATTTGCATGACTTCTGACGAAGTACGGAGTATGTACACCGCCGGAAGAGCCTTCAGTAGATACTCCGAGCATGCCCATTGAATATTGGCCATATAGTCCCACTTGCATGGCCTTCTTATGCTGTCAAATCCAAGAACCTCGACAGTAATTGAAGCTCCCCTTCGTAGTTCAGCTCCCCAAGATCTTTGCCGCTAAGAACTGCGCCCAGCTGCTGCTTTGTGACAAACATTGTAAAACCAGCAGCCTCTGGTTTCGCTGGTTCGGTAGTGACCCGGCTGGTCAACACGCCGTTGCTCACAATCAACCTCCACCAGCTCCCCGTGTCTTTCACGTGAAAATCCATGATAAAGGACTCCGTGGCAGCCCGAGGCCCATGGAGTCGGACGGAGAGTAGACTGAGCCACTGCTCCACCGACTGATGGGGGTTTAGCTCCCGAGCCGCCAGCCCCGGACTGTGGCGCTGGGAATCGCCTCCTCCCTGGCGGAGGTCTAGCGCCCCGGTGAGGTAGAAGTTCCTCCACGTCGAGTTCTCCGCGCTGTAACCGAGGCGCTCGAACACGGAAGCCAAAGCCAATCGGGCCTGTTCATTTGTCGGATCCAGCGCGACCGCATGTCCCAAGAGCGTAGCGGCGAAACGACGATCTCCCTTCCGCGCGTACGTCTCAGCTTTCTGAACCACCGCCTCGATGCCGCCCATGCAGTCGACATAACGTCTTCCGTTTTCCACGGGCGGATGCTCCCAGAGATGGGCCGGGTTGCCGTCGAACCACCCCATGTAACGCTGGTAGATACCTTTGACATTGTGGCTGACGGACCCGTAAAACCCTTGTGCGTGCCAGGCCCGCTGCAGCGCGGGTGGGAGAGCCAGGGTCTCGGCGATCTCGATCCCCGTCAGACCCGTATTCATCATCCGGACAGTCTGATCATGGAGATATCCATACAAATCTCGTTGCTCCGCGATCAGTTGCTGGATCTCCTTGCGACCCCAGGTCGGCCAGTTGTGACCCGCGCACAACACGTCGGATTGCTCCCCGAACCAGACAAGCGACTCGTCCAGGTACCGCGCCCATGCCTTCGCATCCCGGACCAGCGCCCCCCTCAGGGTGATGATGTTATGCAAGGAATGCGTGGCGCACTCCGCGATATACAGCGCCCGACGATCCGGGAAGAAGAAGTTCATCTCCGCCGGCGCCTCCGTCTCCGGGACGAGCTGGAAGCGGATGCGCACCCCATCGACGACCCTCTCCTCCCCGGTTGCGGTGATGTGCTGGTTCGGCGGGATCAGCGAGGGCGTTCCCGTCGAAACCGCCATCCCAATGCCGCAGCCAATCTGCCCCTCGGGACTCTTGGGCAGCCGCGTCCCGTACATGAAGGCCGCCCGCCGACGCATCGCCGCTCCCACATAGATGTTCTCGCTCGTCGCTTCCTCCATGAACCCCTCGGGCGCGAGGATAGGCAACGTCCTCGCCTCATCTGGCGACGTGACGACCCCGCGAGCGCCGCCGAAATGGTCGATGTGCGAGTGTGAGTAGATCACCCCGGTCACCGGTCGGTCCCCGCGGTGGCTCCGATATAAAGTCAACGCGGCGTGGGCGCATTCCACCGAGGTCAGAGGATCGATGACGATCACGCCCTTGTGGCCCTCGACGATGGTCATATTCGCCAAATCGAACCCGCGAACTTGGTAGATCCCTTGCGTCACTTCGAAGAGTCCCTGCACGGAGGCCAGTTGACCCTGGCGCCAGAGCTTCGGATTGGCCGTCTCCGGGCATTCGGAGTCGCGTAGGAAGGCGTACGCCTCATTGTTGTAGACAACCCGCCCGTCCGAGCCGCGGATGATGCATGGCTCGAGCCCGGCAACGAAGCCTCGGGTGGCATTCTCGAAGTCGGTTCTGTCGGCGAAGTCGGGCTGGATGGGTGGAGAGGACATGGTGTTCACATTTGGTCGTCACAAGACTCAGTAGTGCGTGGGAGATTTATAGGAAACCACAACATTGCTGCGAAGGTTCCTTTGTTCCGTTGTTGTGCGTAACCGCGGCAGTAATTGACGTTGGTCGCGATGGCGATGTGATGATCCGGGGCTGCGGTCCTATCCCGGCTATACATGTTGCGGCCGAACCCCGATCGGGAATCGGCGTTAAGTTGCAGTGCTACGGAAAGTGCTGGTCACCTGACCGCGAACAAATGGTATTTCCGGCCATGGTCAAAGTAGTACTTGCCAGTAATATGAGCGAGCTACCTTAAAAGAAAGCAGTTTGGAGGATATCTTCAGGATGGCAGAGCTTGTCTGTCTTCTGTACTACTCCGCGCTATGTCGGCCCGAGTACATGCGGTTGCTAAACACCCAAACCAGTTCACAGAATCAGACTCCGTCCGTAATCGGGCATTGACCGTTTCGTGCAATATTCAAGAGCAATTATGGAGAGCGCGTTACTAGATAGCCTAACTGTCTTGGAAGTGATCGGTTATGGAGGGAACGCAGTGCCCAGCAAGCTAGATTGCGGAACACGCAGCGCACAGATAACTATGAGATATCCCTTTCCATTCGGGAAAGTTCAGGAAGAGCCCATTGTTGCACCCATTCGCATTGCATGATTCCCTTGGCAGCTGGCCTCTTCTCAGGGCCGAAGCCAGGCATATCTCCGATCATAGTGAGAAATGCAGACGTTTCGGCATCCCCCATCGCTTGCAGGTTGAATTCTTGTCTTAGCTCAGAAAGAGGATGAAGGGGTTCTTCTAAACTACTGAGTACTCTAGTAATCCTCTTGGAGGTGGTCGAAATAGAACCGGGCATGTCGAAAACTCAACTGTTCCAACAATGCTACACATTTATCAGCCGTATATTATAGTCAACAAAGACTACCGGGAACTGCTTTTACTTTATAACCGGCAAATCCATGCCTTCAAATTATTCTCCAGTTACATCATAGTCTCACTAACATAAGCAACCGTCTGCAAGCGCAACCTCCGAACGAAGATCCATCCCTACAGTAGCCCTCAACGACTCTTATAAAACAACAGCAGCAGCAAGCGCCACAGCCGCAACGCCTGCTACCACCATCGCCTCCCCGGTGATCAAAGGTCCGGCACCCTGGCTCTTCGACGAGGTCACCGCGTTCGTCGACGTGGCGTGCCCCGTCCCGTTCGCCGAGCCAGTACCCGTACCACCAGCAGTCCCAGTAGTCATTCCACCCCCCGAAGTATGGTTCTTGGCACTCGAGCCCGAAGGCCCCGCCGCGTGGGGAACCGTCACAGTGGCCGTGGGGACCGACGAGCTGAACAGCGTGAACACCTCGTCGGTGGTCGCCGTAGCCGTAGCCGTAGCCGTCACGGCGTCACCAGCGGTAGCGGTGATGGTCACCGGGAAGCGCGTGAGGTTCTGGGTGACGAGGGCGTAGCCGGCGGCTTGGTCGATCGCACTCCACGTTTCGTGGTGGGCGTGCATCGGGGACCCCTGGATGTGGGTGGTCTGGGTGCAGGTGACCAGGGGCGAGTTGTCGAAGGCGCAGATGATGGATTCGTAGCCGATGCTTTTGGTCGGCGGGTTAGACAGAGTGTGTGAAGATAAGTAGACAGGCAGCCAGCTAGCCAGCCAGCCAGGCAAGACTCACAAATCGTCCCTCGTGGCGGTGCTGAAGACTTGGGTCGTGGATGGCTCGGCTATGACGGTCACGTCGGCGGCCAGGCTGCATCCTGATGTCGCCGGGTTCGTTTGCTGGGGGGTCACGCAGGTAACGAGGTAGGTGGTTTCGTCCGCGTTCTGGGATAAGGGGAGTTAGCATATCGGTGGATAGGTGGGCACGGGAAACAAAGGGACTCACTTCGCCCACGACGGACGCGACGAGGCCTTCGGTCTGCGGTTCCATGATTCCAATGAACATATCGGTCACGGTCGCCTGGGCGGCAATGAGCCCAGCCAGGAGCAGGACGAGAAGGGTCTTGAGGATCATGATTGCGTTGTGAAAAGGTCAGTTGGACTATGTGGAAGATGCGAAGAACGAAGCGCGATGAATTGGTCAGATGGGGTGTGCGAGAAGGATAGATATGAGCAGAGGATGGTGACAAGAGGAGGTTTGGACAGGAGGCGGAGGGAGGCTGGAGGAGTGAATGTGTTACTCAGACCGGCAGTGCCATACCTCCAGGCTAGTCGGTGTACCTGCTTGACTTAGCAGGGGAGCAAATATCACCGACCACAACTGGAGCATGCTGAATATTGCTCAACATATTGGACGCAACAAATAATCCACAACAGTCTGAGCGTCTATCCTTACGACTCCTAGATTGATTGGTTAAACATGTATAGCCCCTTCTGAGTAGTCCCTTCATTGGCAACGGTCTTAAAAATGGGCAGTCTTATGAGCCGGGACACCCGTGCACAGCTGCTGTTAGTTCTTCTTGAACCCAGTAATAATAGCCGGTCCTTCACTGCTTATAGCCCACTGGGCAAACCTGTCCGCCATCTTGGCGTTTACGGCCCCCTTGTCAACGAGATGTGGGCAGGGTTGGCAAAGGGTCACCGGAACTGTCGGTACCCGCCTTATAGATGGCCGTCTGGCGATGCAGATCCTCTGAGATTATGAGATAGGTGCCGCGATCCGTTACGGTGTACTCCTCCAGAAGGTTGGCGGCGGTCAGCGCCTGAACAAAACAAGCGATGTACTGACGGTACCACGTGGAGTATGTCGTCGTCCATGGAACCTAGTAGCTGGGAGATGAGCATCGGTGCGACCACAGCGGGACTGGAGCAACGCACCTGTCCAATGCCAATCCAGAGGTCGGATTCCTTGATGTTGGTGGCGGACTTGTCATACCGTGAGAGGAACCTGGTACGAACAGGGGCGCCGCCGTTCTTGGCCGCGGTGTAGAGGCTGGAGAACATGGTCAAGATGTCGTCGGTCTTGTTCAGTCGAACTGGGTTGGAGTGAGGGCCAACCAGCAGAAAGTGGTCGCGCCAGGCGTACCAGGCAGGGCCCTTGGCCACGCTCTGTCGGATGGCAAACAACTGGGCGGCGGGATTGTGGGTAATGCCCATGTCCACAGTGTCGTCCTTCAGGTGATATATGGACTGTTGTGTCACTCTTGTACCAGGCGACCTTGAATGGTGCAGAACCGGTTTCCACGCTCGCCTTGATGAAATCATCTGCAAGAGCTGTGACAAGATGATGGGTTAGTCAACTAGGAATTGCAATGGGCGACTTCGTAGCATCTACTAACCCTCAATAAATCCACTTTGCCCAGCACCGCCATTCCAAATGCGAAGCTTCACATCGGTAGCAGAATTGCAGCCTCCGTTGTACAATGCAGTCGGCTCGACGGCGATGGCCAAAGTAGCTAGTGCTCCGAGTAGCGTACTGTGGTAGATCATTCGGAGAATCTAGATGCAGAATAGTAAGTACAAAGGCCGGTGCTTGACCTGTTCCCACTTGTCACTGGAGCAGCAGCACGGCGAAGCGAATGAGAAAAGCAATCTTAGACAAGCTGAAGATGATTGAAAGATCGAATGACAGTGTATTCAGAAGCGCATACGAACGAACTTCTGACCGCGAGAGAAGGATGAAATCCGGGTGCACGCTAAGCCCTTTTCGAGTCCTCCTTCTCCTACCAGCCTCAATCCTCAGGCAAGTCCTAACCTGAATATCATTACAGCTCGAAAGGTATCCTTTCCCTGCTTTACTGATGCAATCGACTTGGTCCCTAGACTCACAATCTATTTTGCCACTCTATCATTCGTCATTAAGCATTACTCTATCAATCATCTCCCGATCTAAGCTTCATAACATCATGACATCATGTCCCTCCATCCCCTAAACCACCTCCACAGGAGTAGCAGGCCTAGTCGCCATCATTTCCTCCTTGCGCCTCCTCTCATCCTCCATCAACCGCTGACAGAACGGACTCTTCCTCCGAATCCACTCCCCCTTGTAGATGAACATCACCGGAATGGGGATACACGCCAGACTCGCGAATCCCAGGATCGACGTCGCCCACCCCACGCTCAATGCAGAGTACATGGGGTCGGCCGCCAGCGGGAACACTGCACCGAGGATACTTCTGGTGATGAGCGAGGCAGACAGCGCGCTCGCGGAGTAGATCTTGTACGCGTCGGTGACATACGTCAGGAGCGAGATGAAGAGGATCTGATAGCCGACGCCGAAGAACAACCCGGAAAGCACCGGGACCAGCCAGTAGACGTGGCGGTCGGCCGTCCAAGCAAGCCAGAAAAGACTGATGGTGAGACAGGGGCCACCAATCAGGCAGATCGGCAGACGCTGGTATTCCGGGATCGTCGTCCACTTCTTGCCCTGGGCTTTGGCTTTTTCGTAATAGATGTCGTAGTAAAGAGAGATGAGGCCGGATGAGGCCGCGCCAATGCCAACTGTGTTTTTTTGTCAATACCATAAACGCAGGTGGGACTTGCAAGCATCATACTGGGTAGAAAGCAGAGTGAAGTCTGCTGCACATTAAAGCCATAGGTTCCTGTATCGCATCATTATTATACCATTCATCGAGCGAGAAAAGATATTTCGAAGTGCTTTACCTTCAAAAATGATTGGGTATGCTGCAAAGCAAAAGAAAATGAGAGCATAGGCGAATGAGATATAAAGAGCACTGAACAGGATAATAGGCTCGAAGATGACCATAGTGATAGGTCTGGTGAAGATCTCAAGAAGGCTGGAGTTCACTTCCACCTTTTTCAATTCCAGCTGGGAGATGTAGCTGTCTGTCTTGAAGGTGCTGTTCAACTCCTTCACTTTCTTTTGGAGAATGACACGCGCAAAAGTCTCTGCTCGGCAGCCTGTCAGTATGCACAAAGTCTGTCGCAAGGCATATCACTAGAAACGTACCCGGAAGAAATAGGGCCCCGATCCAGCAGCTTCCAGCCAGTATCAGGTCGATGCGAAAGGTCCAACGCCAACCATATTGTGCGCTGCACCCCGACATGATTGGCCCCACAATCGGCCCGAAGCTTGCAGCCTGTTTCTCTCGGTTACTTTATGTCCAATTAACCCCAGCAAGTGGTGCCCGATCAACATACAGACATATAAAAGGTCATTACACGGCCACGGTTCCGAGGGTTCGAGAACATGTCCGCATAAACACCACCAACAACAGTCTGCGGTGCAGCACCCATCGCACCACATATGAACCGGAAGATCAATAGCGATGACCAATTCGGAGCGAAAGCACAGGCAAGTGTCGCTAGAACAAAGACTGTAAAGCTTCCAAGTAGGACAGACTTTCGTCCAATGGTTTCACTCAGCGGACTGAATCCCAAGGGACCGACGACATATCCGATGAGAAAAACTCCCGTTGGCAGCACCTTTTGCGACCCGCCATCGACGCCAAAATCTTCCATGATATACGGGACCACATTGCTAGGCAAGGAAGACGATATTCCTGAATTCAGAACAAGGAACAACGCCGCGAGGACTGTATATATTTTTTTGGTCTGTTGGTTTGAAGCAATCGGTCAGCTCATGGAAGATGACACTGCGGGCACTGCACCCAAAACACATACATGGCTCCAGTTGGTAGGATGTGCTATCGAGTCGTGATCGAAATCTACCACAATTTGGTCGTCCATCAATCGGGTCAACTGATATCCCTCTGTAAGCTTTGCACTCGGACCTTCTGAGAAGCCGGAAAGAATTCGACCGTTGTTCCTAATATGCTTTTCATCTGCTATGTCGCATGAGAAGTGAACTCTGCAAGGGTGCGCTTCGAGCTCCTACCTGCAGCAACAAGTCTGGGTTCAAAACCCTCGACTACTGAATCTGAAGCCATAGTCTCTCGTGATAACAAGAGCAGTCGACCTCAAAAACGAATAATGCAAGTGAATCCGATTTGATTTGTGTATACCGTCATTCTTAGCCATTGCGGATAACGAGCGTTATATAGGCTTGTCACCTGCGGGACCCTACAGAGATGAGGTATCAGTGAGTCACGATAACAACGTAACTATGCAAGCATTGAGGCATTTTGATGGAGCTCTTGGCTTGGAGTATGTCTTGAATGCCCAATGGGAGACCTTGTTTACTCGGACCTTGTCAATCGCCAGACCGGGCCCGGTCCGGCCCCGGTGCAGCGGGATGCCCACACAACGGCCCCGACCTGGAGCCGGTTCACAGGTTCGATGTTGGCAACACAGTCTAGAACTTCGTGAGTCCAGAATTCTAAGAGCCCGTCATGCAGCACGCTAATGATCCACTTCAAGGGACGATCACCGGACACCAGGGCACTTATGCAGAGAGTCCCAAGCCCGTTCTACAGCATTGGCTGGGAAATGACCCATGTCCGGTTGGCGAGCCCACCGCAACTTTGTCGCAAAATTGTCTTCTCACTCGCATACCATTCTTGACTTTCTGTCGACATACAGATTATCGCATGTGAATTTCGACTGCGCGACAAGCGTGGCTTCCACAGACGTGTCAGGGATTACCTGTCTTTGTGCGGGCCACACATTTTATCGCCCATACATCACCATCACCTGCCCCCACATAAAGAATGTGCTGCTAGCCATAGTATGCTGTTTCATGTTGTCGGTTACTGCGGCATAGAAGGCATCGCAGGGAGGAAGTCGAATATGTCATTCTGCTCTTCTTCGAACAACCCGAACGAATCTGCAATCGGGTGACATAAATTCCAGTTGGGAGCTTCCATTGGTCCTGGTGGCCGGGGTGGGAACTGCCTGGGAGGGGCAGATCTGTCAGTATTAGGTATCGAAAGCAGGTCGGTGTCTTTGACCCCTTGGTGAATCGTCTCCGTGGCTCCATAGCTGGGCTGCTCTGACGGTGCCGATGCAGACGACATGGGTACTTTAATGCCGTCCAGATTCTTGTTCGAAACCAGCTGCTCATCCACACGCCTACTATCCTCCTGGACATGGAAGCAATTGTCGCCCTGTCCGCGCTGGCTCGCGACAAGCGCGCGACCATAGTTGACAAAGATCGACACGGTCCGGTGGATATCCGGGTAGGGGGGTTGCTTCAGAAGGTCACATATGAGTTGGGCCCGTTCAAGGAGCAGGTCTTGATCAATCAAGTCTGGCCTCCATCTCGCGATTCGTAATGCGAATGTTGCTGTATGGGGTCAGATGTTAGGTGTCACCATGCACAACAGGGATTATGGCTGTTGGGACCACTCACTGACAAATGCGATTGTCAAAGCTGGATATGTAGGAGTCCATGTCAATTGACATCGGTAGGATGTTTCCGATATGATCAAACCCAGTTGGTCCATGGTTGCTGAGGCAAGCGAGCGCCATAAGTGGGAAACATCCGGATCATCTGTTTCTGAGTCCGATTCGATGCTGCCACACTGTAGCTTTTGGATCCGCGCCAACGATGCGCAAAATGCAAATATCCGAGCATAGTTATGCATCAACTTGAGACTGCAGCGTTGAAATGCGCCCGCATGAAAGCCATTATCTTGAAGACACCTTCCGTCAGCGTCTCCAAGCATGTTGGTGCGGAAATGGAGCCTTACTATTATGAATTTCATCCCAGGTATTCCACCATGTCTGTAATCTTGCCATGACAGCCGGTAATTCGATGCCAACGATTTCGTGAATGGTCTTCGAGTTTTCGACAATCATCCGGAATTGGCCTAACAAGTTCAGAAAAAGAACCAAGAGGTAAAGTCAAGCGTGCACTCACTCCGAAGCTGGTGAACTTCAATGATACATATTGTGCGCATATCGCAAGGCAACGAAAGCGGGTAATCGAGGAATTTGCGTAGTTTCGTAGTATCAACAGCGTCAATTCTTGATTTCCGACCTGTGCCGGACGCGACATCCAGTTCGAGTGTGAAACTGATGAGCCAAGTCCTAGTCTGCCACACCAGCTTCCGCTCTTCCAAAGTGGCGGAGAGCGCACTCCGGGGTACATTCTGTTGTGAAAGCAAGGTGTCTAGCGACTTCTCGAGCCCCGAGTCAAGGGCAGTGCGTAGGATCAGCGCTGTGGAGAACCAGGTTTTCTCCGAGTAGGCCGCGAGCAGAACCATCCCCTGGACAGTTTCGACTTTGGTCGGTCGCTCGAAGAAACTGTCCTCGGCGAGTCTCTGTGCTTCATCCTGTAGTACCCGCTGGAGGTGGGTGTTGCTTCGGAGGTCGAGAACCGCCCGGCTGGCTATGTAGATCATGACCGAGAAGCAGAAGAGCGAGCGCGATCGGATCGAATCGAAGGTGTCCCGAATGGGGTCGAACAAGGCAAGGAAGTTCTTACTGCCGTTGAAGAACCTGGATTCGAGGGTCAACGTTGTCCTTTCTCGAGAGTGCTTGAGTGAATGCTATTCTACCTACCGTTCATACATCGACCGTGCCTGCTCCTCGCTGATGATGCCTCGAGCGATGATATCACTTCTCAGATCGGCCTTGTTCGAACTATCCATGAAGATCTGCTGGCGCGGTTAGCGACATGTGCTCTGTACTATGAGCGCGACTTACACTGCTGGACCCGAGCAGATTCACCGACATGGAGTGTACGACCGAGACGGGGGCAATCATATCGTTGGGGCTTAACTGCTGGCTGCTGTCCTGACCGTGTTTCTCGGAGGCGCCTGGAGAGCGGAGGTCCCCAGAGTCAGGCAGGGAGTCGAGCGCACTGTCCAGCGCATTCTCCTGTACGACCGGGCCAGGCGAATATTCTGGCTCGCGGGTCGACGTTGTGCTGAACCCGGTTGGTTCATTCCACGGGGATCTTGCGATCTGCCGTCTACACATGACATGGAGTCAGCCCAGTACAATGCATCAGACACATTTCCGATTCCACCTACCGAGAGGGTCGGGGAGACTCGTGGCGCTGACTGCGCCGCCTTCCATCCACGATGGGATCGAGAACACAGTCGCGACCCGCGCTGCGACAGCGCGCACAGGGGACCTGACTGCGGGCGTCGCAACGCATTTTCTGTTTCCTGCACCAGCGACATGCTTTGAAGAAGCGCGGAGGGGCATTGCCCGACCGGAAGCGTAATTCTGAGATTCTCTCACTCATGATTGTGAATGCCAGCCAGCCTGAAGATGTAAGTTGGGGATTTCTCCGGCTCGGAATGGTTTGCGGGGAAAGTTTGCCAGTGGGAACGTGGAGAACAAATTACGGACCGGCTTCTCGGTGGGATTGGGCCGAGTTGCGCCTATGCTAGGCAAGTTCTTCCTTGGAGCCGAGTGGGGAATCAACAGACTGCCACTACTATCCAGGATCTGTACTGCAATTGTTCTTGACATCTGTGATTGAACTGGTATCCCACAAATTCAGTTGCCTTTCGGACTATACTGCACAGGAGGATTCATAATTACAACAGCCAGAAGTCCGGTACAATCACCTATTCCGGCACCGCCATTACACTACCTAGTAATTCCCATGATATACCTCCCATCTCTCGAACTTGCATTGCAATCGTGGTCAAGAGAAAGATCTGCCCGCAAGAAAGTTTCATCGCTAGATTGCTTATGATAGTACCTATCGGTGCCCAGAACTCAATTCCCGGCTCTCCAAGACGTGGAGATGATATGCACTTGTGATGTCATTCGAGCCCCTTGCTTGCACACACGTGCTGCACAAGTTAAACTGGATTCTAGAGTAATCTCCGATGATCGGAGATCAACTGTGACAGTTGGGCTGGTTCAGGTATGCAAAGTCGAACCTAGAATTGCGATGATAAATGCCTGATAGGGGTTCTTTGTATGTTGCACACAAAAGGAGCCTGATGTAGCTTCATTTGCCTCCCACGCGCTGCACATCCTCGCCATCGTTACCGCTTGCTTGAGCTCGATCATTCTGGGTTGTCTGACCGTGTAGATAATGGCTTGCCCATACCGAATCAAGCATTCCTCTGATTCCATTCCCGATCAAACACATTCAGCGACCGTTGAGCTACAAAGCACATGTCAGCACCTCTCAACTCCTGTAAATGACTGTCAGATTGACTCACCCGACGGAACAATATCCAGCGCCTTAACCGACGCATGCACCGGCTGCTGCAACATGAACACCGCTGCGCGTGCAATATCCTCCGACACCAGAGGCCTAGAATCTCGGATCAGCACAACGCTCCAAGGAGCCCCAACCCCTCCTGAAACCAACCAGTCAGGGAACAACATACTGATACCCCTCGAAAAACTGATCGTACATCTCCTTATCATGCCCCACGCGCAGCGAGTGGAAATTCGTGGCCACACACCCCGGCCGCAGCGCCAGCACCCGGATGTTCGTGCCACTCAGTTCATTGCGGAGCGCGTTCGTGAACCCCTCCTGCGCGGCCTTGTTGGTGTGGTAGACGCACTCCCCAGAGAAGGGCGGGACCTCCAGCCCCGTGACGGAGGTGATGTTGAGGATCGTGCCGGCTTTGCGGGGGATCATGGAGGCGTTCAGCACGGCGTGCGTGACGAACATCCAGCCGTTGATGTTGGTGTGGTTCATGGTGAGGATGTCGGCGATTTTGAGCTCGTGGAAGGGCGCGGGGGCGCCGAGGGCGAGGCCGGCCTATTTTGGTTGGGGTCAGTCATGTTTTGCTGTGTGGTAGCATGGAAGAGGGTTTCAGGACATTGTTGATGAGAATGTCGATCTGATTAAGCTCCTGGGAACTGGATTTCACCGCGGACTCGACTGCTTCGTAAGATTGGATGTCGACTGCTTTGCTGGTGATCTTGACACCTGGGTGTTGTTCCTTGATCCTGCTCGCGAGGGCTTGGAGTTTGTCCTAGTTATGTTTTAGTATGGTGTGTATGTCTTGTCGTGGTAACATTCCACATATTTTCTTACTTCCGACCGTGCAAACAGAATCAAATTGGCACCCTGTTCTGCTACTGAATTGGCAATCGCCTCGCCAATGCCCATTGAAGCTCCAGTCTGCAGCTATATTAGCTTGAACCACATTGAGGAATAGGAATAGGAGATTGTCACGTACAATGAGCACATTAAGTCCTTGCAGCGACATATTGAGAGATGACTTCTCCTTGATAACAAAATAGTAGGTAGTAATTGTGAGTCGGGATTGTGCTGTTGAGGGTTAAACGGGGTATTTTGAAGATATCCACATGAAGAGTGGGACGTCATAGTGGGTACATTTTCAGGGTCTCGATTTCTAATCAATCAAAGCTTCAGCGTCGTCTATTGGCCAAATTTTGAGCCGTGGACTGTCGGGCTCTCAATCGAGTATAGTCATATGAAGTTCTCCATAGTAATGGCAGTTATTCATCTTGGTAAGGGTTCTCGGCTCTGATCTGTTCAGTCCGCCCATTTCCATCGATCCGTCCACACCATACATGGTGTACCTTTCTTAGGTCGTGCGTGAGAAACCATTGTTAAATAAGCTTCTCGGGGACACAACCGAGTAAGCAGAGACTGTTCATTCATTGGTGATACTCCATGTCATCGGTTAGTTTTGTAGTGAACGGGCTTCCCAGGGCCCATAGAATCGAGAATGAGGCATCACATGAAACGACCGTGGGAATTCTCCGCTCAGTGGGGAGCAAAAATCGAGAATGGCATTTCTAACATGAATTTGTCCGAGTTTGCTTGCATGTCCCTAGTGACCTCAGAGGTACAAAATTGAAACCAAAGTGCGCATGGTCCGTCGACTTCGGCTCCTGGAGGTCCTGAAATCGGCAGTCGAAGCAGTAAAAGCCTCAAAACGGCGAGCTTCAGATAACGCAAGCAGCAGAAGTAATCAGCTCGAGGTAAATAGATGCAGAATGCTAGGAATAGGAGTGAGACTAGAAGTCGTGTCAAGTCCAGGCGATCGAGACCTCGAGCCCCTAGCATGTATGGGTCGGTTCTTTTCAAGTCGTGGTCAGCTCCGAATTCCCACACGCGCTGCTACTGAGATGCTGCAATGCAACCTGATCTACTATAGTAGCCGACTGATCCGGGAGTTGTTGCTGCTGAGTAGCTGGGCCAGCCTGCAAATCATCGATTCCTGGCAGATGCAGCGCTATCGACAGGTATGCGCGAGCCTTTGCTCATGTTCAGGAGGAATGTTGGCAAGGTTAACTCCAGTGCGTTCGAAGACCGGTGCTTCGAGAAAGCCTTATCATTCGCTTTGCAGCTACCTGCCGGCTGATAGAACCTCTGGGAAGACTGGCCACAATTGTACGTGAGGGACGACTCCTTGCCTCGGACGCATGAGATGCAGTCATGAGATATTTTCGTCGCGCTACATTCGTGCGCCATTTATGCCAAGGATACTTACAGCCCTTTTCCGCCCTTTTCCGCCCTTGGAAAGGATAGGATTGTATATATTGTGTCTGGGAGGACCGCGGCGAAAGTGAGTGAGTGTTGAAGGGCAACCATGGGGCTCATTACAGAAATAAGCCAGCCTCCAAAGGAGCCTCCAAAATGGTCCCTCAACTCTTATCTGCTGATGAATGCACTCATTTTTGCATTGGCAGGGATATGTAAGGGTTTTGATGAAGGTGAGAGGCAAAACTCCACCGTCTAAGCCATCAAACATCTAATCCAGCAGCGAACATCGCATGTCTTGTCGTACAGTCCCAGTTCCGCGTCGCCTTTGGGATCGATAGACAGTCACCAGACGAATATGCCAACACGAAAGGGTGGATTGTGTCGATTTTCACGGCTGGGGCTATCTTTGGCTGTCTGGCTGTAAGCCAAATTCCAACAGTCCATGAATACCTGACTTGCTAACGGAGTCCCAAAAGTGCCTGCCAGTCAATGACCGCTTGGGACGAAAATGGAGCTTGCGTCTGTCAACGTTGATCTATGCAGCAGGAGTCGCCGGACAGGCGCTCAGTAAAGGCAACCTGTCAGCCTTTTACGCATCCAGGTTCATCGCTGGGTTTGGTGGTGGCGGAATCACTATCGTTCCTTCGATGTATATCTCGGAGGTAATCCATCTTCATCGGCATGAAGAGTGGGAGTGTCGGCTTATCAGGCATCTAGATTGCACCGAAAAGGATTCGCGGGCTTCTCGCTATTCAGTACTCGACTTGCCAACAGCTCGGTTCTGTTTTCGGCTTCTTCATCAACTATGGCATCACCAAGGCGTATGACGGAGAAGACCTGCAATGGATGGTTCCTACATTCCTCCAGCTGGTGCCGGCGGTGATCTGGGGGTTTGGAACGTTTTTATGTGTGGAATCTCCTCGATGGTTACTATACGTCGGCCGGCGCGAACAAGCCATTGCCACGGTATCCCGACTCCGCGGCTTGCCCAATGGTCATGCCGAAGTGATTTCCGACATCCAGATCATGGAATCGCAGATCTTGTACGAGCGGGAGGCTGTCGTGGGAGCGACGCAGTGGGACCTGGTGAAAGAAGTGTTACTTCCAGTCGAGAATCGACGCCGCTTCCTGCTTGTCTTCATGGCGCACCTATTCTCTCAATGGTCGGGCGCCAGTGCGATCACTCAATATCTCCCCACGATCTTCGGCTACTTGAGTATGCCGAGTGAGACCGCCTCGCTAGCGACCGGGTTCTACGCGGTGGTCAAGTTTGTCAGCTGCCTGATCTTCTCGTTGCTGGTGATTGATTTCATCGGACGTCGGAGGTCTCTCATGACGGGAATCACGCTTCAAACGACCACCTTGGTCTACCTGGCGTGCTACCTTGGCATAGCTCGCACGATGACCGCGGCCCACATCGCCAACACCCCGAGTGTATCTCGAGCCTCGACGGGGGCTGTGGCAGCTATCTTTATCCATGGGGTGGGGTGGAACATCGGGTGGCATGGCATGCCGTATCTTATCGGGGCAGAAGTGTACCCAATCCGTATCCGATCGCTGGCTGTTTCGATGGGCATGGCCATTCACTGGGTGTTCTTCTTCGGATGTTCTCGGGCGACTCCTGATATGCTGGAAGTGATGCAAGAATGGGGCGCATTCGCCTTCTTCGCTTGCATCTGTTTTGTTTCGCTGATTTATGTGTTCTTTGCGATGCCGGTAAGTGTCCCCCTAGCGAGATGGTCTTCAGGATTCCACGCGGGCGGAGTTACTAAGATTGTTCAGGATACCACCGGACGATCTTTGGAGTCACTGGATAGTTTGTTCCAGCGGCCCTGGTACAGAGTTTACCAGGTGGCCTATGCAAAGAATGACAATGTGGGAGGTGTGGTGTAAAAAAGGTTGCAGTGGAAGTGGAAGGGCGAGATGGGCTGGTCTAGTTCTATTCCCGTGTAACTCCGGTCTGTAAGCAGTAAGCGATGAAAATGACCTCGGACACGAGACCACAGGCACTTGATATGGTATCGGATGCTCCTCTTGACATTTAACCCTAGTAGTCACACGGCAAGTGGTCAATTTAGCCGATCAACCTGGCACAGTGCGACGCTGAAGTGTAACCACCTGGTTCGGTGTATTCGGAAGAGGGGGGGGAATAATCGATTGGAGGAGGGAAGATTATCAAAGCTGAGCAGGGTCCGAGGGCTCAGCTGCAGTGGTGTGGCGGCCATGTGCAACACTGCCGCTGCTTTTGGGAGACTCACTGGTCGCTCACTGTAAACACGCACCGAATCCCCGGTTGCTGCCCAGACCAGTAGCTTCGGTACCAACTGGGCTTTTCTATTTTTCCTCCATACCTTGTGATGCATCGCCCAGAGCAGGGATTCTGAACTGTGCATCTATTTCATTTCCAAAAACTGACATTTCTGAAACCCTGGACTTCAATCCTGCATACGACGACACATATGAGCAATTCCAAAGGCCTCACTGTATCATCATGGGTCTCCGAATTGCCCGGTTCCAACATACATTTACCATTCAAGAAGGTTGACGTGCATACTACTAGGTACTTGATGGTGAGAATGGTACAGACATCAGACAAAGACACCACATCCATCTTCCCAAGATTGATTAATTCCAGGTTCTATTTCCCTAGAAGAGGAGGAAGCTCCATCGAACCGTCGGTCATCTAAGGTCAATCATCCACACAAGGGGATACATAAATCGGAGCATATAGACTCTACTCTTGTGAGTTCTTGAGCCAGGGAAAATCCTGAAACGTGATGGACCTGGCACGAAAAACCAACCATTGAAAAGTAGTCTCGTTCAGAAGAAGCGTTGTGTATCGGAAGTTAGTATAAACCTAGATACCTGATGTGTTGTAGCAGGGATAACTACCCCGACGCAGATAAAAGCATCGGTTTCCTGTTTTTTGGATAGCACAATCTTGGTACAACAACCACCCCACCACGAGGCAAGACACTGTCTCTCGGGCTCCTCTTCCGAGAAATCTCTCCTTCATGTTCCTACCCCAATTTGGTAACGGTCTGGTTTAAGCATAAGTCTAACCGTGGAGCACAGGGGTCGGTTGCAAGCACGTTTGGGCTCCAGCATGACGACACAGTCGATCATCGGTCTACCTTAACTCAAGGATAGAGTCGATTAGCAGACTAGAGCATGTGCAAGGACAATAAGAAGGACGGCTTCACCTCCCTCAGCTGCGGCGTGGTCGTATGCTCATATGTGCATGATGCCACTACGTCCGAACCCGGCTCTTCAACCAGTATACCCGCAGCCATGATGCCTAGTAGTTTATCGGAGATTCCCCAGCACCCAGAGCAGATTGACTTGCTCCAACATACCCTCCTCTATGTGGTGATCATCTTCTACCACTCGCAATATCACGCTCCCAGCTATCACGTGAAGTTCTCCAAGCATAAACTCTGTCTCTCCCTTCACATCGGCACAGGGCTCTTTGAGGTCTTCGAGTACCGCCTCCGTCGCGTCCAGCTAGGCCATGATAGGATCCTCCCCAGCTCACTGGACGTGGTTTCCTGCCTAGTCTGGTCAGCCACCAGTCTTCAGCTGGTGAAGACACTCCGGCGCGGCGATCCCCAGACTACACGACCTCCCTACCAAGCAGGAGCCATCCTGCGCCCCGTCGTATGTATGCTCGCCTACCTGCTCCAGAGCCCCGACCTCCATCGGCTCTCGGTTTATGCGTTGGACAGCTTCGTCTATGCACGCGTCTTCATCTTCTTCTTCCATTATACCCCGTATCTGCGGGATACGCCTGGCAACACCATATATGCGCTAGCCATCCCCTTGGCGGCGGCATTCAGCATTCATGAGAGCCGCGTGCCCGGGGCGGCGGTGGGGTTCGTGCTGGGCATGGCGTACATCGCGAAGCTGAACGAATGGGTGTCCCAGCGGTCTCGCCAATTGAGGGAGTAAGTAGTCAAGAACCAAGATGGTGTAGTCCGAGGTTGCTTTCGTTCTGACATTGCTCTCTAATCCTGATGAGCAGGCAAAGACGTCCACAGTGGAGAAACACCTGGTGACGGGGTTGCGGAGGCTGGGGTTCGCGGAGCTACAGGAGCTGCGAAAGGTCACCAACCACCAGGCCTTGAAGAAGCCGCTGACGGATGACTATGTCTCCAGTGGCGAAGCGTCTTGTTGAACATGTGTATCTCTTGGCAGTCATATCCCGGAGATAAATGTATAAGTGTAAATCCGCCCGCATTCTATAGACTATATATTTTCGCAGTGCAGTGCGGGATGGGAGTGAGGTTGTTCGATGAATGTCTCATAAATAGTTGACCATCATTTAGATTAGAACTAAATCGATATATCTTCAGTGCATAGCTTGATGTTTAGACTGTTGGCTGTAGTGGATGGTGATGGAGCTTCTGTTGTTGCGTCCGAAAGGCAGGTATCGCCCGGGAACCTCGGGACGGGCACGCACTTTCCAGTTGCACCCCACGCTCCGTGAGCGAAAAGCAGCGTCCGACCAGGCCCAAAGTGGAAAGGCTCGCTTAGCAGGGAAGACGGTTATTGTTGCCGTTGCCAAGGAAGCAAGCATTAGTTAGTCACTTATTGTGCCTGATGATAAATGACATGACAATCATGATCACTCTGCCTGACTCCGTTCTCTCTCCACACTTTTACGATCGATCTGGTGGTGGAGAAGATATGGATGTGTTAAGTTACTTTGTATGACTTGATGATGATGAAGATAGTGCATATACTCTTGATCTCTACGAGGGAGACTACGTACTCGAAACTGCGCGAACATGGCCCGACAGTGGCAAGACAATTCGACCTTTTGCAGCGGCTATCCATGGCTCCTCGAGTCTCGACCAAACCAAGCCTTTCGTTAGCGGAAAAGCGCAAGGGCAGAAAAGACCCTGTTTGATGTCATCTACTGATTTGACTGGTTACTGGTTCACTGGTTAACTCCGGCGCAATTCATCCGGACAGGCCACTGGGCACCCTCACTATCAATTCCCAAATAGATTGATTACCTTCGTAATTATTCATGGCCATCCCGCGGGTCTCCATTTGAGTCCCCGAACTTCCACTCCATCTTCCCCCCCTTCTCCCCAGTTCCTCCGACTCGGTTCTCTCCGAGATACATTTTTCTCCCTTCTAGACTACCTAGACTACATTCTCCCTTACTTTTCTTCTCATCCCGAAGTCAAATTCCTTCGACCGTTTCCTGGAATTCTCATGCGCCGCTCCCGGCGAGACCCGGATCATGGCGGAGGGAATGCGACCAGACCGAGGAGGGCCTGCGGTTTCGCGGGCGTTGACAGTCCCCGCGATCGTCACCAGCACCGCATCTTCCTCTTCCTCCATTCCTATCCACGAGACCTCCACCACCAGCACAACAAACACGAGCAATAGCCCCACGGTGCTCAATCGCAGCGATCAGAGTCCCAATGCCTCCAAACCCAGCCTGATCCGCTCGTCGCAAACCTTTCCGATCGGTAAGTCCGTCCACTCGGTCACGAGACAAGATATCACCACCATCGATCAGCTGCTGACTCGGGCTCCCCCTCCCTACTTTTAGCTTCGAGTCCCTCGGACTTTGCTTCAGCCTCGAACGGACCCCTACAAGATGGCAAACGAAATTCTCATACCTTGCAGTACCCAAGCAATGGTTCCGTGAAAAACACCGCCTCGTCCCCATCCGTCTTCCAATCGACTACCGACTCGAGCGCCATCGATCCGTTATCACAAGTAAGGCTGACGCGCTTGTTTCCGTGGTCTAGATGTCTAGGTGACTGATTGACCGTGCGTTCCCGATAGCATATCATCAAGCGCACCAACACCCACAAGTCTATCCCCTTGAAGCTATTGGGTAGGGCCTCATACGAAGCGGAAGCGGGCGGAGGCGATCATCGTGGCTCCTTAGACCATGGCTCAAACCGGGGCGATGCGAATATGCACCCAAAGGCGTCCAAGGAGAAGAAGTGAGTACGAACCCTTTTTTTTCCCGTTGTCGTTGTTGTTGTTGTTAAAGCCAGACCCTTTACCCCGCATTATCGCCATGCGGCTCACATTGCTTTTTCCCCCCTTCGGACCTGACGGAACAAGCTCGCTGATCGTCTGATCTTCCCGTTATATAGGAAGGGTGTTTCTTTCCTGAGTCGTATCATACCCGGAAAAAAGAAGGATCAATATATAAATGACGAGGATGATGTCTCGGAGCCCGAAACAACTCGCATGGATACCGACGCCGCTTCGCAGCCGATCGGGTTCTTCCCTCGATTCCCACCTCCTCCCAAATACATCCGCGTAAGAGCACATAACAAGAAGGAAAAGACATTCAGTCGAGTCTTCGTGGCGCAAGAGCTCGAGGGCGCAACCGGTGCTGCGGGTGGCTCGGACAAGGATGACTCCGTGTCGTTCACAGGAGTACCAAACGAGGCCAGCACGGGCAAGGCGATCTGGGCGCTCGTGTTCTCCAATGATGGCAAATACCTGGCAGCTGCTGGTCAAGACAAGAAAGTGCGTGTCTGGCAAGTCGTTGGCTCCCCCGAGGACCGCGACCCAGCCGATCCGGCATCCGATAGTGATGATGGTCCGCCCCGGTTGAACGCGCAAGTATTCAAGTCTCGTCCGGTCCAAGTCTACGAAGGCCATACGGGAAGCGTACTGGATCTCAGCTGGAGCAAGGTACTTTTCACTGGCTTGTCCAAGTTTGAATCGGTGCTAACGCAGACTTCTAGAACAACTTCTTGCTCTCTTCGTCAATGGACAAGACGGTCCGACTCTGGCATGTGAGCCGACCCGAGTGCTTATGCTGCTTCAAGCATAGCGACTTTGTTACATCGATCCAATTTCACCCGCGAGATGATCGGTTTTTCCTGGCAGGATCACTGGACACCAAACTGCGGCTATGGAGTATCCCGGATAAGAGTGTGGCGTTTGTGGCGACCGTCCCCGATATGATCACGGCCGTTGCCTTTACACCTGATGGACGGCACTCCATCGCTGGAAGCCTCAACGGGCTGTGTAATATATACGAAACAGATGGATTAAAGGCCGTTGGACAGATTCATGTGCGTTCTGCACGTGGTCGCAACGCCAAAGGCAGCAAAATTACTGGTATCGATACTATGACCTTGCCATGCAACGACCCCAATGGCGAGGTCAAGCTTTTGATCACCAGCAACGACTCCCGGATACGGCTGTACAACTTTCGCGACAGGACGCTAGAGGCCAAGTTTCGCGGCAATGAGAATACCTGCAGCCAGATCCGCGCGTCTTTCAGCAATGATGGAAAACATATCATCTGCGGCAGCGAAGATCGCCGGACGTATTTATGGCCGGTAGAATCGATCGAGAAGGACTCCGATAAGCGGGCCGTCGAGGTGTTCGATACACACTCGGCCATGGTTACAGCCGCCATCATGGCCCCCACGAAAACAAAACAGGCACTGGGACTCGCCGAAGATCCGATCTTCGACGTATGCAATCCCCCACCGGTGACTCTAATCAGCCAGGCAGACCGGGAGAACGGGCGGGCGCATCCCAATTCAGGAGCCAGCAAGCAGGAGTCGCCGGCGTATCTGGCTCGTTCGACCCATCCGGACGGGAACATCATGATCGTGGCCGATTACTCCGGCAAGATCCAAGTCCTGCGCCAGGACTGTGCCTACCAGAAACGGCGGTACGACAACTGGGACGCGCACAGCACGATCTCCCGCAAGATTCTCCGGCGCACCAACTCGGCCCGCCACAGCATCGCATCCTCCACCGGGAAGGATTCCACACACAAGACGCCATCGGAGCGCATCATTTCATGGCGCAACTCGGTCATTCGTCACGGTACCAGCAACAGTCGGTCGGGAATGCGGACCCCGCGCACTCGCAGTCCCTCCCCGCACAAGTCGATCCGCGACGGACCATCAGGGTATGCGAGCCCCGGCCGCGCGTCGTTCAATGCGGCACGACCGGACTCCCGGTCGATGTTCACCACCTCGCCACCCCAATCGGCCCACAAACAGTCCATGGAGAGCGGTCGGTCCAGCGCCGAGACGTCCCGCGTTCTCGCCAGTGGCATCGAGGGGCAACAGACGCCCCCGGCGTCGACGACCACGTTCGTCAAGCGGGAGGACAAGGACAACCCGCTGTGGCTGCAGGGCGAACAAAGCTACGCGTTCTACAACAAGATCGCGCGCGACGCGCTCGCGATGCGAAAGAAGCGCAAGCCCAGCAGCGGCAGCGGGCTGCCCAGTCCGAACCACCTGGCGGTGCCGGGGGAACGCAACATGAGCCTGGGGAGTGCCTTGAGCAGCGACTATGGGTCGTCCAACGGCGATGGCGAGGACGGCGAAGTGCTCCGGTGCGAGAACTGCGCGGGCACCAATTTCCGAGCGACCAAGGGGCGCAACGGGAGACAGCGGCTGGTTTGCGTGCGATGCGCCCAGCCGATCACATAGTTCTGGTGCGTGTAGATGGATACCTAGTAGAGGGCGGGACATGCTGCAGAGGATTCGATGTAATTAGTTCATGTTTTTGTATGTACGATAGATGGATGGTCTATACATAGCCTACGCTGTACAGTAGGTACGAGGGACGAATGACGAATGATTTGAATCAACCAGCGCCATGTGCACGATTGCAACCTACCTAGTACCTAGGTACAGTACCTACTGTATCTATCCCGGACCAGCAGCTCGAGTACTTGGGGGCTTCCAACCCGGCAGCCGGCAGATCGGCCTCGAACTCTCACCGCCCGGGCCAACAACAGCACCTCCGGAGTGCCAAATCCACCAAAACCCGCAATGCAGCACGCATGCACATCCAGGTGACACAATTACCTTCACCTTCACCTCAAACACGCCCATCTCGTTATTTCCTTACTGTGTTCAACTTCACCCCTCATCTAATACTCCGCGGAATCCCGAGACCACGAACTCCCGAATCAAGATGCCATACCTCCCCACCCCCCAAGCCTACCTGGAGCAATCCGCCCTGCTCCTGCAAGCATATCCTGATGCGGTACGACACAACACCCCAAATCCCTCCCCTCTCCATCTTCCCCCGCAGCTCACCAAGCTCAAGCCTACCTCAATCCTATCCCCTCCCCTTCCCTCCCCGACCTAACCCCAAACCCCTCATCAACCACAGCAACTAACGATAACCAACCCCCCAGAAAATAACAACAAAATACACCTTCTCCCACGCCACCCGCTCCTCCACCAAGACCAAGACCAAGACCAAGACCACCTCCAGCACCTCCAGCCCCTCCGCCTCCACAACCGCACAACCCGCCCAAGAAACCCAGCAATCACCAACTCCCCAATCGCAAGAGAAACCCCGCATAGCCACCCTGACCCTCAAGACCTTCCACCCCGGCTCCGGCATCTGTCTGAAATACCGGACCAACAAGGGCGCCGAGGTGGGGCGGTTGATCTCCTCGCTGGGCAAGTTGGCGGCGGGGGCGGATGTGGAGGGCTTGGGGTTGGGGTTGGGGAGTGCGGGTGCCGGGGCTGCGGGGGGTGCGGTAACTGGTGGTGCTGGGGCGGGGGATGTGGAGATGGAGGATGCGTCTGTGCCTGCTCCTGTTTCTTCTGCAGTAGTTGGGGAGGGGGCAAGTGAGGGGGTCGTTTCTGCTGCGGCGGCGGCGGCGGCGGCGGGGGCTGGGGCTGGGGGTAAAAGTGGGAAGGGGAAGAAGAAGGGTGGGAAGGGGAAGCGGTGATTCTTTCGGTCAATGCTTGCGGACTGAGAATAAGGGGTCTATGTGGATATTTCTGAAGAGCGATGGTTTACTCGTTTGGACTAGGGTTCGCTGGTGTGGTGGCAAGGAAAGAAGGAAGAAATTGAGATACCCGCGTTGATGGTTGTGTCTGTCCTTGGACTTACTGTGGTGGAGGTGGACCGATTGAGATGAGCAGAGGATAGGTCCTAAGGTGTGGCTCTATTCAGAACGACTTCGTACAAACTACAATGCCTTGACTGCGATTCACCAGTGATACTCATAAATATTATCCAACAATGTACATTTCTAGCTAGATACAAAGGTGTAAAAGAAATCCGCCCATCCAACGCCAATCCCATGCGTGTAAAACTCAAAGCTTCATAACACAAAATCCAAACAAGAATTATTCGTAGCCATGGCTGGTGCCGACAACCGGGTATATCGTGGCATCACTCTTCTAAAAGTCCTCGTCAAAGTTGAGACCGCCCGCCGAGGCGCTGGTCTCCTCCTCCTCCTTCTTCTTCGTGCTGGCCATGACACCAGCCTTCTGGTAGTCACCGACGCGCTTCTCGAAGAAGTTGGTCTTGCCGGCCAGGGAGATCGACTCCATGAAGTCGAAGGGGTTGGTGGAGTTGTAGTACTTCTTGTTACCAAGAGCCACCAACAGGCGATCGGCCACGAACTCGATGTACTGGCACATCAGCTTGGCGTTCATGCCGAGCAGGGCAACGGGGAGAGAGTCCGACAGGAACTCCTGCTCGATGCCGACGGCCTCGACGATGATGTCCTCGACCATCTGCTTGCTGGGGCGGTTGTTGAGGTGGGAGAAGAGCAAGCACGCGAAGTCGGTGTGGAGACCCTCGTCACGGGAGATCAACTCGTTGGAGAAGGTAAGACCAGGCATCAGGCCACGCTTCTTGAGCCAGAAGATAGAGGCGAAAGAGCCGGAGAAGAAGATACCCTCGACCGCAGCGAAAGCGACCAGACGCTGCGCGAAAGTGGATTCGCGGTCCTGGATCCACCGGATCGCCCAATCAGCCTTCTTGCGGATGCAAGGAACTGCAGCAGGTTAGCATTCTCGTCCAATCACAATCCCAGCGCGATGCACATACTGTTATCAATGGCGTCGAAGAGGTAGTTGCGCTGCTTAGGCTCCTTGATGTAGGTGTCGATGAGGAGAGAGTAGGTCTCGGAGTGGATGTTCTCCATCATGATCTGGAAACCGTAGAAGCAACGAGCTTCGGGGATCTGAACTTCGCCGCTGAAACGCTCCACCAGGTTCTCATTGACAATGCCGTCGGAAGCGGCGAAGAAAGCAAGGACGTGAGAAATGAAGTAGCGCTCGTCATCGTTAAGGCGGTTGCTCCAGTCGTGAAGATCCTTGGAGAGATCAATTTCCTCGGCGGTCCAGAAAGAGGCCTCGGCCTTCTTGTACATCTGCCAGATCTGTAGGACGCGAAAAGACACGTTAGTGCACTAGTCTCGACGCGGGTGGGGCACCCGAGGGCAGAGCGGGAAAATTCCACTTTACGCGTGACGCGTAGGGGACGTGTCGACTGACCTCGTGGTATTTGATGGGGAAAAGAACGAAACGGTGAGGGTTCTCCTGCAGAAGAGGCTCGTTGGCCTCGAACTCCTTGATACCAGGAGCAACCTTGGGAGCTTCAGCGGGCTTCTCGGCAAGGGTCTTCTCGGCGACGACGTCGGTGGTGGCGGGAGCGTTCTCCTTGCCAGCGGCGTGGAAGTTGAGCTTCTTGACGGGAGAGTCGCTCATCTTGAGGTTCTCAAGCGAGGAAGCAGCCTATTAATCGAGGTATATTAGTCGGGTTGCTCGCGTCGACGCGTTGTCCATGGGGAGGCAAGACGTGACATCACCTACCTGCTTGGAGGGAGTGAGTTGTGCGGACATTGTGAAGCTGGAAGGAGATAGTAGAAAAGTAATTGAAGACAATTGTTCACAGCAACACAGCAACACACCAGACAATTGATCGTGATGGACTGGAGAGAAAGAAAATGAGCTGCGAAGGGGAGGGACAAGCAGACAGAAATACTTGCATGGGACGAGGAGCGTGATCCTTAGCGCGACGGGCTAAGTCACGTCGCACGTGACTTGGCGCGACTTGGGGCCGGGAGGTTGGCTGGAACATATTTGATCCGGACCCATTATGTTGATGCCGTCGCGTCTACACGTCTTTCATTCCATTTTCGCTCTACGGCTGACCCATGAGCCATTTGCTTTGCTCCAGTCAGACCACCGGCCAGTCGTCCTTCCGGTGCTCTAGAACTCCACTGTTCCAGCAGCTGCAAGCCTGCAACAAGTTTTACAGCTCTCTCCACATTCCTGGAAAGGTACAAACTGCGCTGTTCACCACCATCGGCGTCTCTGCCGCCTGTACTCCGTACCCTAGCGCGTTCGTGTTTTGTCGCGCTATTCCATCTCGGGTCTTAATGCTGGTCTCTATCTTATCTGATCAAACTGAATCGATCGCGATCCTCGCTCCTGAATGCGTGCTGCTGTCAATTTCGCTGTCTCGATTGCTGTCTATCAGACATTCCATGGTGTTGCAGACTAGGCAGTCTCCATGAACGCCTCCCATGCCTAGACCCCTCACCGGTCTTCTGTTGTACCTTACAGATGACTGCAGTTGCTTAGGCAGCATTTACGGCATCCTGAGCAATCAAGCTGAGCTCAGCTGCCGATCCCCACTGGCGTAAATCCGAGGCGAAGTTTTCTCAACTTTCATGTCCGTGCTCAGACAGAACGCGACGCGCCGGTCTGTTTCCCAAATCCCCCTGCTCCACCACCACGGAATTACGGGATTTCTCTGGGCCCCTTCGGCACCGCTGCCTATCCTAATGCGGTAGCCTGGCTATATTCTAGATTCCATGGCGAGCTCTGGGGCCGCAATTAGTGGGCTTTGGGCAAAGTTCTGTTTCCGTCCGGTCGGTGATGACGTCCTACATGTCCGAGACGCGTCCGCCGTGTTTTGACTGTTGATGCGTAGGATCACACCCTCGCCTGCTCAAAGGTGCTGTGTAACTGTAGTGCTCTGGATGGGTCAATCAATTGGAGCTGGCTTGGATAAGTACCAAGCTTTGTAATCTACCCAGTTTTAGTTACACTGTATGCCGTGCGATGGAATCCGTGTGTGCACAACGCGTCGCGTTTTGGGCTGTCGATCCGACAGGAACAACATGCGAGCTACGACGATGTCATCTCGGACAATCCTGGTCTATACTGGGACGAACTAAACATTGGGCTACATAAGGGCCCACTTGGGTCCAACCAGGAATACAATGTGTCTAGCCTTCACCTGGAGCTTGTGGTGTCCGTCCCATCTTTGCCCCCTTGCCCACACAGATTTATCGCAAATGGTATCGATTGACTGCCTCTTCTGAACCAACTCAATTTATCTTCTTTAGAGGTCTATGATATCTAACATCACGCGACTAATCAAGGTGAAACGCCTTATGTGCACAACAAGCCGAGCAAGCAGATGCCATTACTCAACCATGTAATCCCTGATTGAATATACCGAAATGCCTCTATAAATGTTTTCGCAAGGTAGGAATGGTAAGGTGAAGTCGCTGGACGAATGCCAATTATTTAGAGTCGAGCCTTAAGTGAGTCAGAGAGGAACCGGTCCTCCAGCCTACGCATGTATTTGTTGGTCTGTTCGGCCAAGCTGAGTGTCAAGATCTAGAGATCAGTTAGCGATTGGTTGCCGGACTTCAAAACCCTCTGCTCTGGACTTACGGTGTGTGGCAGGATACGGGCAAGATGGGCGAAATATCCCTTATAAATTGCAAGAATGCCTTCAGTGCGAATAGTCTGGAACAAGCAATCAAATGCGCCCTTGTACAGGTTGCCGGTCTGATTGTACATTCTCGACATAATAGTGTCTGCAAAAAGAGTCAGTTTGATCACGCTGCTGCGAATACAATATGGGACAAACATACCAGGAGGGTGCATGACACAGCAAACCACGAAGCCGGAAGCCGTGCTGCTGGCCAGGTGCAGAGCGGGCCCGTCTTCCATACCAAGGTGCTTCGTCAAGCGACGCTTGGCGAAGAAGTAAGTCGGCAGCTGAACCGAACTACCGAAACCGGTGCGCACCATCGCTGCGCCTACACCGCGATACAATCCCTTCACTCCCTCGGTTTTATAGATCTTGCTCAGACCGTCGAACGAGTTGCGATAGTTGTGCTGTGTACCGACCGGAAGGAACGGCGAGAAGGATTGTAGACGGGTCTTGACAAGGAAGAATGGCGAGCCAGCTGCGGCGCCGATGATGCCTGACGTGGCACCCGCGAAGACGTTGATTCCCAGAGACTGGACCTGGCTGTCTTTGTAGATCGCATTTGTGATGCCCCCGCGCAGAGGTTCGTAGAATCCGAGACGGCACCCGTTCAACAAGACTTGGTAGATATACTGAGAAGCGCATTAGTCCGATGCGACACCCTGTTGCTCGTCGTGGGCGATACTTACGGCAGAGCCAATACCCCGAAAGAGACCGCGAGGCCCCTCATTCTGCAAGATCACCTTGACACCGTGAAATACACCTCGGTATTTCTTGACCGCGTCGGTCTTGGATTGCAACTCTCCTTGCAATTGTAAACTAGGATATCCATCAAGTTAGCTCTGTGTCTTGGGGAGCGCCGGCTGGCAAGTGAGGACAGGAGCGCATGGATGCAATCATACCGGATCTTGACAGTCTCAAAGCTGTGAGTTACTGTGACCGCACCACATGCTGCAACACCTCCTGCAAGGAAAGCTCTGGATAGAAAGTCGATCGAGTCAGCGCGATCGCGAAAATGACAACTTCGATATGGGTGCGACAAACCCCGTCGTCGTCGACATGGCGGCTCAAGGATCGTCTCCGCTAGCGGAGCAGAGTCAACTGTCCTTTGCGCGTAAAATGCTGGGATCTGAACCGTGGTAAGAAGGCGGAATTGTCTAGCTGTACAACAGGCAAGAAGATCCGGAGAAGGCGAGGCGTGAGATTTGGAGAGTAAGATGTTCAGTTGTCGGTGACACGGTCAGGCATTATTCAGCCGATGGAGGGTTGCAGGCCAACATAAATGAATAATTCATGCAGGCCAGCTCTCCAGCCGGGGGCCGACTTTCTGACGTTCGGCTCGGATTCCGTGACTCTCAATTGGTCCACATGCTGCATTTTCCGCACGGGGCCTCCGACCATCGGCCGATCTGCTTAGGTCAGCTGTTAAGAGCCCCCGATTATAGCCGGCGGGGCGGAACAATGTTATTTCGGGAGAGCTTCAAACGCGAGCAAACAGGCTGGGGAAGGCGTGTTTACCACTGCAATTCCGATAAAGCTCTATTCAGAGCACCTCAGCGTGAGACGATACAAGCTACAGGCGCGCACAGTTCTGCTTGTGTCCCATATTCAAAATAGGCTTTCTTCCTTGTATCTTGTCAACAACGCGATCGTTGCTCACCTAATCGCAAGCATGTCGGATGTACAATCCACACCCGCGGCGCAGCAGCAGCAGACGCAGCAGCCGATGGTCCAGACTCAAAAAGTGTCAGACATCATTCGTAGCTTTCGCCCGACCAAGGTGAGTGATAAGAGCTAGCTATAACTGTACGCGCTGCTTCTCTAATGCATTCTCGTTGTCATAGGCCTTCCGCCCCCCGAAGCAAGACACTGCGACTTATGTGACGTCGTTGGATTTCGATGATCAGGGTGACTACTTGGTGGCTTCCGGTGACGACGACACCATTCAAGTCTTCGACATCAAGGAGGGCAAGTCTACAAAGTCCGTTCCCAGCAAGAAGTATGGGGCTCATCTGGCGCGCTTCACACACCATTCTCGTCAAGTTCTGCATGCTAGCACCAAAGTCGACGGTACGTCTCTTAGCACGGTGTCTCGTGTTTTGATCTGTACTTATCCTTCCAGATTCGCTGCGATTGCTCGACCTACACAATGAAGGCTACGTGCGATATTTCTCCGGTCATACTGATAAGGTGACGTGTTTGGCTCTGTCCCCTGGCGGTGACTCCTTCATATCGTGCTCCAAGGACGACACGATCGCCCTCTGGGATCTCGGCTCCCGAAACGCCCAGGGTAGGCTGAAACTCGCAACACCTTACCTCGTTGCCTTTGACCCATCCGCATCGGTCATTGCGGTTGCTTCGCAGTCTACTTCCTCCGTTCTGCTTTACGATTACCGTAATTACGACAAGTCCCCCTTCTCCACCTTCGATCTTGCCCCTCACGAGGAACGATACACGCCGTCAACGCGCGGCAGGGCATGGACCCGACTTGAGTTCTCGAATGACGGGAAATACCTGCTTGTGGGTACCGATTATCATGGGCATTTCATCCTCGATGCCTTTGAGGGTTCCGTGAAAGCATTCTTGGTTGGTAGGGCTGGATCCCCGGGTCGCGCTGCGCCTGTTTCCACAACCGGGAAGCCTCTTGGACAGGGTGATGCATGCTTCTCGCCAGACGGGCGATATGTGATCGGGGGATCTGGAGATCAACCGGATGTGCTGGTGTGGGACTTGCAGCAGACCCCTGATGCCAATGGCTTACTGCAGCCAATGACGAAGCTGCCTCACCGTGGTCGAGTTGCATTGGTGGAATACAACCCCCGCTATAACATGCTGGCTTCCGCTGACAAGGAGATTGTGTTCTGGCTCCCAGAAGACAGCTCCAGACCATCAGAAAAGTAAATGTCTCTGATGACTGACAACGGCCAGCCGGTGTGCCCTTTGCGAGGCATCATTATGACAGGCCATTCTCACTATCAATCCTCGCACCTGGATCGAAGCGAAGGACACCTAGAAGACCGGTATGACTCTCCTCTTTCATTTATGTGGTGGGATCATTTGTCTAAAGCATTTCGGTATAATCATCTAGTCTTTGCGGCCCTTCTCTTTCCCTATCAAACTCCTCGCTGTATCGCATACCCAAATCGAAGGCCCCTCCAGACTATCGTCTGTCCCTCTATTCCTCTCGACAATAGACTCGATTTGTTTGACCACCGTGCGATTGCTTGATATCGTCATCACACCGGCAGCCCACCCGTACAAGAACACGCTGTGATTGATGTCAGATAGCACCTGCTCGACCTTTTCATAGACAGGCGGAAGTCTGGCGAGATCCTTCGCAGAAGCTATTGTGGGTTTCGCATTAACTGTCACCACGGGAAGTCTCCATTCAGCAGGGATCTCATAATCTGACAGCTTCTGATAGGCCTCCCTGAGGCCCTCAGGAGTACATTCAGCAAAGGAGTCATGACCCATTAAAATTCTCATCCGCTGCTTCTCAGTTTCGGTGCCGATGATGTTGACGATTTCCTGCATTCTCTGGGCGGCTTCTTCGGTGCAGACCAGATCACGGCCTACCATTGCCGGCCACAACTCCGTGGGGAGCAGTGGGCGGCTGTGCTCAACCTCAATCTGACGATTGATGGCCTTGTGATGAATGGGGGAGGTGGAAATATCTTTGTAATGCGACAAGTCCGAGACTGCCGCGAGCAGCAATGTACAGTCCATATTTAGAGTAGACGTGAAATGCTTGAAGGGCTTAGGGAGCAGCCTCTCCAGCGCTTCAGCCTGCGTGGTCTCGCTTTGCGAAGAATATACATTCTCCCCACAAGTCACATCGATCCCATACCCACGTATGACCTTCAGCAGACCATCGATCTCGGGACTCGAGCCTTCCTCTATCTTAGGAATGACGAACCGCAGACGCGGCGTTCTATACCTGACCCTCGTAACATCAGCCGCTTTCCTCATATCACTAGCTAGCTTGACCAGCTCGATCTCATCATCATCATCATCATCATCATCCTCGTCCTCATCATCTGTCCCCGTCCCATTCTCATGATTCCGCAGCACCGTCCTCGGAGCCTCATCCTCCGAATCATCCGCCTCCCACCCTTTCTTCGCCATCTCAAACAACAACCTCGTCTCCGAGATGGTCGACACCTTCACCCACTCATCCCCATCCTCCGCCACAATGTCCACAAACACACTCTTCTTCTTATCCTTGCTGCTCCTTTTCTTTTGTTTCTGCTCCCCGGCCCCATCATGACTTATCCCCGTCCCCTTGCCCGAATTATCAACCTCACCACCCCAATAAAACCGCTTCCCAAACGCCACCAACCCCGAACACGACCCCTTCGCAATCGCCCACACCGCCTCGTAGAACGGCAGATTCGACGACCTCAACGCATGCGTCAACCGCGCCCGCACCTCGTCGTCGCCGTCGCCATGCTTTGCGCCTGCATCATCATGTTCCGGTGCTGCTGCTGCTGCTGCTGCTGTAGCTTCCTGCACCTGCGCATCGAGCTTCTCCAGCATGCGCAGCTCGGAGAGCACGCTCGAGCGCAGCGACCGCACTTCCACGATCTGCGGGTTGCGTTGCGTCTGCGCGAGGAGCGATTGCAGCGCGGTGAGTTCGGCGAGGAGGGTGCGGCATCGGGTGACGAGGGTCGTGGAGATGGTGAGGGTACTGCTGCTGCTGTTGGTGGTGGTGGTGCTGCTTTGGTAGGAGGGGTCGGAGGGGTTGAGTTCACCCATTTTGTTGGGCTGGGGCTCGGGTTCTCTGGTCGATTTGGGGGATTGAGGTTGGGGGGTTTGGCGTGGTAGGTGGTTTTCCCGGGTGTTGGAGGTGAGTTTATTGGGTTTGGTGGGGGGGTTGTTTGGGTTGGGTCTGATTAAGGTCCGCGGCGGCGGCGGCGGGGTGGAGGGGTTCAGGTCTGCGGTGCAATGTATACTCAGGATTTTATCGGCAAGAGGGGATTTGGGGACTCGGTGAGGGCGTCGAGAGAAGGAGGTAGAAGGTCAGCGAAATCTATGTCTGAGTCATGGCTGGAAATGTGAGGTTGTTGGCAGAAGTGAGACAATACTCGCGAGCTGCTCGAGGCTTGGCCATGGCAGATGACGGCTGCTTGGCTCTTTCCAAGCGCGAGCCGCGGTGCGTGTCGATGGGGAATGCCTAGTATTCCAATCATTGTGCCCAATTCAGGCTATCCGGACTGTCGCTGGAGCTGGTTTATACTACCTTACTACTGAGTAAGGCTTTCATTCCTATCAAGCTTCTCCAACATAGACCACATCCTAAAGCACAAGTCTTCATTTTGAACTAGAATCAAACACACTTTATACACTATGTAACAACAAAATACTTCATCCCTCATCAATGAAAAAAGAAATTAAAAAGGCTAATAACGAAACTCACTGGGAATTCACCTTAGCCAAACGCCATGATATGCCTTCAAGCAAATTAAAGCGAAATTGAGCCTCCAATCCTACACGGCAACGGTTGTCGGGATGCAGGGAACTCTCCCCCGGCCACACACATATAACGCCTTCCTACTGCGGCCACGAGCTACCCTGCAACCCTGGTTTGACCACTCAGTGTTTGCCGGTAAGACGCTGTCTTTCACTGGAGTTGCGCGATGACTCGTCCTCATCATCCGACCATCTGTCGCCGTCTTCGCCAACTGCGAAGATGGTCTCTCCGTCCAGAGATTCCCGGGGGCGTGAGGCCGAGGGAACAGGCTTCGGCGGGATAGGCGACAGGTCACCACGCTGTTCATGGCCGACGTGTTCTTCAAGGCCACCGAGAGCGTCTTCCTCATCCAATGCACTGCCGAACGAACGAATCTCGAAACCATCGTCATCTTGGGCAATCTGCAGATTCAGTCAGCGACAATCCTTGACACTCCGCACACAGGAGACTTACCTCATCACTCATCGCAAAGCGGCGGTTGTTCGCAGTGGGTCGCCACAGGTAGGCGACGAACGCAATGTCAAAGAGATAGACAATGTTGAGCCAACCATCCAAGACGAACCATCTGGTCTTCCAGTGCTCAGGAACAAAGCTGGCTTCACTGTGTCCAGCAAAGTTGATCGAGTTGAGGAAGAAGAAGCCGAAAATCACGATGATGCTACCAAGGATGCACCACCACAGTTTCTTGTACATCATGGCCTTCACTTTCTGCTTGCGGTCGATCAAATCCTTCATGGTGGCGTTCAGTGAGTTCAATGTCCAGACGTAGAAAGCAGTCAATGTTCCCGCAAGTGGCAGGACAATGAGCAAAACTAGTGGACCGGCGCTGTCGGGAGTGATAGATAAACTTGCAACAGCATAGATCACAGCGAAGACGAAATGGGTGATGGCGAGAACGCGGACATAGATCATAGTTCGTCCGAGCGAAGGTTTGACAACGCCGTATCCCATGCACACGATGAGAAGGAGGAAGAATGAAAAGGAGTTGCGGCCTGCATTTAGAACGGCTACTATGACCATCAACGCTTTCGCGCCGGCATTCAAGCCGTGCACATTTTGATATTCTGTTCAAGATTAGAGAAGCATCGCAATATATGGGATTCGATCCGGCATACCATAGAATCCCCAGGTCATCGCCTGCTCGACGATCAAGAAGACCAAGATCGCAGTGATGTAATTTTGCACGGGCACTATCCTATGTCAGTCAAGTTCGACTCCCGGGCAGATGTTGACTTACAGATATCGTGACGATTCTGCACATAGAGAAAAGCCCAGAACCTGTCGTCATCATCAGCTGATTGCCTCAATAAGGATATAGTGTCGATGAACATACGCGCCGACCACAGCATAGACAATGGTTAGGCCACCATAGAACGGCAGCTTTGCAATTTGTGCCGCTGGGAGCTCTCCATACGAATTCCTGAATTCCACAACGGCCTTGTAGTCGGTTCCGGAGTATCCGTATGTGCTCACACAATAGAAGCCGGTCTTTTTGATCGGATAATTGATGGCGGTCGGATTGTTGAGATGCACGGCTTGAGTGATGATGGAGAACTTGGCGGCTTCGGTAGCGTTCGCAGCGAGGATAAACGAGCCAATCTGATCTTCCTTGCACAGATCTGCTTGAACACTGGCTTCGTCGCAGATAGTTTCGATCACCTAGAAAGCATTGGTTGATCAGAGGATATTCACTCGAAAGCCACTCCTCGAGACATACATCGGAGTCGCCGGGCACAGGCCGCCCGATGAGGTTCTCATCAGTCCATTCGAAAATCACCAGGCTGACAATGGGATCACTGTCGCCAGCACTCGAGTCTTGGACAAACTTCGTCAGGATAAAGGGGTCTACGCTTCCACCCCATGCTTTGCGGCTGTACATTCCCGAGCATCGCTGCCGACTGGCTTCATCTTGTGTCTAGAAAGCAGCCAATGTCAAAGGTGAGCGATGGAGACTGTGTAGGACGAGGACAAACGCACCAATGCAACTTCATTGGCAAGAACATGTCCCGCAAATAAGGCTGTCAAGCCGAGAGTCTGAAGCCACCCTCTCATTCTGACCATAAATAGGAGCTAACCGGTGGGTTACTGCCAATACACAGAGCTCCGGATTCGCCGAGCGCAGAAGATGGGGTACGGGTTTAAAGCATATGAAGGTACAAGGGTGTGTGAAGAAGGCAGACTGTCAGAAATCAAGAGAGAGGGAGAAAGAAAGACTCCCAAGGACAACCGACAGTTGGTTGCGTATAGCTTTCGGAGAGAATGTGTACTGTCCAGCGATCGCACGAATTCGTGGCTACAACCTGAAACCGGGGAAGCCGCGCGTGTTGACGGTCCCGCCGATTGAGGATTATCTAAGCCCGTGGTGCTGCCACTGAAGAATTTCTGCCTAGGTTTTCCCAATCGGCTTCCCGCTGCCCTGCTTTGCTTGCTTGCTTGTCAATCAATCGCCACATTTGAACCCGATCGTCTCACTCACTCACTAGGCTAAACAATTTTACAACATGCCAGGCAAGGAGATTCCAGATCGCTGCATGAATTGCCGCGAGGCGCAACCCGCCTTCATTCTGCGCAGCCGTCATGTCTGCCAGTAAGTCTTCTGGATCGCATCTGGTTTGGGAGTGGCGCCGCCCGCAGTGACTGACAGAAAGTGCCCCTCTTCTAGGGACTGCTATATACGCTTTGTCAAGTACAAGCCCTTCAAACGCACGGAGAACTATCGCCTTAGGAGGAATATGCCCCAGGATGGGCCCTGCAAACTCTTACTTCCTCTCTCCTACGGCCTGTCATCTACAGTCATGCTGCACATGTTGCATGAACAAGTCGAAACCATGCGACTCAAGCCGCATGGCCCCAAGGGATATGAGCTTCTCGTCCTAACCATCGATCCGTCAACCATAAACCCTTCGATTCCTCCGCACAATGAAGCCTTCAGTCTGGCCGAGAAGCGATTCCCTCACTGCTCCTTCACGACTGTTCCTTTCCACAGCATTTTTGATTACGACCCCAGCATTAGCGAAGTCATGTCACTGTATGCGCACGCGAATTTCGAGGATCAAACTTCATTGTCGAACCAGGAGCGCCTTGAAGCTTTTCGCTCGTCGATCACAAGCGCAACCTCCAAAGCGGACGTCGACAACATCCTTATCAATCGACTTATCGTCGCATTCGCAAAGAAAATGGAGTGCCGAGGCATAGTATGGGGAGATTCGGACAGCAAGTTGGCTGCCAAGACTCTTGCGAATGTTGCAAAGGGCCGCGGCTCCGCGGTGACCTGGCAGGTCTGCGATGGGATATCTCCATCCGGACTCGAGTACAACTTTCCTCTTCGGGACCTGTTCACTGTTGAATTGCGCAACTATGCTAGCTTCATCCCAGAACTTTCTGATCTCATTATTCCCCATCAAACGGTTTCGGAGAACACGCTCACGAAGAACCTGTCAATCGACGAGCTGATGGTTCGTTACGTGCTCACGCAGGGTGAGAAGTACCCTGGTGTGATGTTGAATGTGACCAGAACAGCAAGCAAACTACAGTCTCCCAGCGCTTCCCCGGCCGAACAGCAATGCAGCCTTTGCGGAGCTCTCATGTTCAAGACGAATGCGACATCACCACAGGCCACAGGCCAGCACTCGGACAGCTTATCTTCCCAGATATGCTATGCATGTGCTCGATCTCGACCTGATCTAAGCTGCTAAGAGTTGGCAGTGCAGACATTAAATATGATTGTGCGCGATATCTAACATTATACTAATCTTGCGAATATGGGATTTCAGTCTCTCTCTGTATCCTTCATGCGGGCTAGCACGCGGCTCATTCTCAGCGCCTAGCGGATCGCGTGTTGTCGACGACGCCTCTTTCGAGATCGTCATCGCCGGGGGCTGCGCCGCCAAACCATCTTCTCTGCGACCGATTCCTTTGTGGATGTCTTGCTGGTTCGGGCACCGCGGGACCGTCAGTCCTAGAGTGCTTCCTGCTCCGATGTCTCCTCGGTTCCTCTATGGCGCTCTTGTCGTATCGGTCGAATTCTTCGGGGAGACTGGCGTCTTCGGGTGCATCGTGTCTTCCGCCATGCTTTGAGAGCGCCTTGGCCCCTTTCTCTCGCAGATGCTTCTCTAGGAGCACGGCATTCCTTGTGTTGCACTTGTAGACGGCATCTGCGATGTCACCCACGAACGGCACAAGTCCTATGAAGAAATCGATCACCACATTGATCATCATCATCATGCGCAGGCTTGCCGGAAGACCTCCATCGATGCCCTCGCAGGTCCGAACGACCATCAAGGCGAGTGCTGCATCGGCAGCATCTCCGGCACTAGTGTACTCGGCGCGTTAGTTTCTGCCTGTCAGCTTCGGTGTCATCACCGAAAGGACTCACAAAGGAATTAGCCCAATCACACTTCCCCATCCAAACCTTATCCCGCACAAATTGAAAAGACTATAGTCTAGTCGATATGCTCTTCTCTTGACTTGCGTCAGGACTTTCTGGTCGTGGTCTGATAATCCCGGCGGTATCGCTTTCCGCCTCTTCTGTGTCTTTTTGCCAAAGGCTCGTCCTAGGCGGGAGGCGGGGACTTCTTCGAAGTATGGATCCTGCCAAGCCGCAAGCTTGTTAGCTCATGGGCTGTGATAGAGTTTTTGGTGCAAGTAGAGAAGGATATTTACCTCCTGGCCAAAGTGGTTTCTGGCCGTTTCGCCTAAGATCCTTTTGCCAACAAGCGATGCAATCTTAGTCGTCATATCTCGTGGTTGTTTCTTTTAATTTCCCAGAAAAGTCTGTGTAGGGGAGTCTTGGTTGCAAAACCTAGAAGGTCTGCCAGCAGAGGGTGTCTCGGGTTATTTGTGAATATTCTTTTATACAATGACCCGCACAGACACAATTTCGCTCTTGTGAAATTTTCCTCGACGTGCTATCATGCTCAGCTGAAGAAGGAGGTCAGCAGGTTTAAAAAGCTTGTTGTAACCAGTCATTGACTTCAACGTCGATCGACGCGAGGCACGAGCAACCTCCGACGTCATCGGCTGTTCTTCGACCCTGTTACGTAATCCCTTTGAATTGCACAACACGGCACTTGTCACCAGCCACACCACCACATGTCATACCGTGGTGTTACTGGGTAGCTGCGCCACAATATTGTGGCGTGTGACCGAATGGCGCGCCCCCCCTCTCCCGTCCGGGCATTATTGATCCCGTCTCGGACTTGTTGGTGCTTACCGAGCTCTCTTCCAACCTGATCAGGCCGTCGTCGGGTGTCGAGCTGAGAAGAGTCACCTTCCCTCTAGTCTATCCTTTATCATTTGCTTCCCTATTAGCTTCATTCCTGGTGATCAAGCCATTGATTCGCCTCTATTCCTGTTTCACTCACTCTCACCAAAGTACGCTTCAGGGGTGGCGCTCTGCCAAGGCACCCTTCCTTGAAGCTGCAGCCGCGCTGTGCTGTCCCCTCCACCTCTCTGTCTAGCGCTCTCTCCGATTCATCTGGAGAGCAATCTATCTATACTTACCTCTGCTGAGATGCTAAATCACGTTTTTCAGTATGACAGAAACAAAAATGCAGTTGGAAGACTGTGAGTTCGGCTGTGACGCGCGGTCTTCTGCGCCGCCTCTGACATGAGTGATGCTGACACGGTGGTTCCCCCCAGGGCTGGATGATTTATGTGTCCGCTTCATCATCAACCTACCACGTGAGGAACTTGAATCCGTTGAACGTATCTGTTTCCAAGTCGAAGAGGCACAATGGTTCTACGAGGACTTCATCCGGCCGCTCGATCCGGCTCTTCCGTCGTTATCCTTGAAAGCATTCGCCTTGCGCATCTTTCAGCACTGTCCTTTGATGTCGCAATGGTCGCACTATCACCACATCACCGCCTTCTCTGAGTTCTTGGCTTATAAAACCCGTGTACCCGTTCGCGGAGCCATCATGCTGAACCAGGACATGGACGAGGTGGTCCTAGTCAAAGGCTGGAAGAAAGGTGCTAACTGGAGTTTTCCGAGAGGCAAAATCAACAAGGGTGAGAAAGACATCGATTGTGCAATCCGTGAAGTCTACGAGGAGACAGGCTATGATATACGCGAGGCGGGGCTCGTTCCGGAAGAGAAGGACGCCAAATACATCGAGATCACCATGAGAGAACAGCACATGAGGCTGTACGTCTTCCGCGGAGTGCCACAGGATGCCCACTTCGAGCCTCGTACTCGGAAAGAGATCAGCAAGATCGAGTGGTACAAGCTATCGGAGTTGCCGACACTCAAGAAGAGCAAGCAGCAGGAGCAGGGGCTGGTTGTGGCTAATGCAAACAAGTTCTACATGGTCGCCCCTTTCATGCACCCGCTGAAGAAATGGATTGCTCAGCAGAAGAAAGCTGAGATTAAGTCGCACCCCGGAACCAGGCACCTTGTGCAGACTGAGGGAGAGCTGTCGATGGATGAGGCACCCCAGGCTGTCAATGGCTTCACGCCTAGCCAGCTTCCCGCCCAGCTGGCCACCCCGAGCGATTTGCCGGAACTCGCATCATCTCACGATGCTTCGTCTAATCTCAAGCGCCTTCTGAACATCAACGGCCTTGTTCCTGTCCAGGATAATCCTGCGAATGCAGCCGCCCCTGCAGATAACAGGACTATCACTTCGAAGTCCAATGCCTTGTTAGAACTCCTCAGGAGTGGCTCGTCGCAAGATGCTCTTCCGCATGCCTCTGGACCCGACAAGGCATTGCCGCCACTCGCTATTCCAGATGGTCTGCCACCAATGGGACCCCCTTACCCTGACACGGCCTCTTTCCCTGGATTCCCTCAGCAAGCTCAACATTTGCGAGGCCCTGTGCCCATGAATCCTGTGCAATTCCCGCAGACTCCAGTATCTCGTGCACCGGTCTTGAACATTGGTGTACCACCGCTTGCTCGACCAGCTCATGTGGGTCATGCAGGTGCACCACCTAGTCATCATGGAATGCCGCCGCTGTTTGAGCAGATGCTCTCGAATCCTCCAAGGTACGATCCTGTGCAAGCAAGCTTGCCCACGGCGCCGCAACCTGGCCCGGCTCCGTACCAACGAACGGGAGATCCCCAATTCTCTCATTCAGCCCATGCGCCAAATATCCAGGGAGCGACTGTGCCTCCTGCAAGCAAGCTTCCACCGCCAAAGCTTACGACCCACTCTCTTGCCTTGTTGAACGTGTTCAAAGACGACTCTCGCAGGACGCCCAAAACATCTAATGCGAGCCTAGTCCCACCTGCGGAGAAGGTTGCGCATCCTGGCAGGCGGCCCTCGCAGCACCAGGATCAACTCCTAGGTTTGCTGAGAGGGTCTTCTGTCCCTCCAACCCCGGGGCCAGCGGAATTGCCAGCCCAATCTGTCTCTCCGCCCAGGAAACAGATTCTGCAACGACCACGTGGGGAGCACAGCCCCGCCCGGCATCCGGCAGCTCATCGGAGAGTCCCATCGGCCACGAAAGACCTGCGGCAGTCTTCCGCAGTGCCCAGTCCTTTGTCAGGTATGCCTCAGCCTATGGCATCTTCCAAGCCCCCCCCTAAACGAGGAGTCAATGGATCGAATCGCCGAAACAAGAAACTCGAGCAGGCGCAAACGCTCGCGTCGCCTATTACGATATTGCCCAGGCCACAATCTGCAAAGAAGGAACCGGGCTCGCTGCCGGCATCCTCACAGTCATCCCGGGCTCCTTCGCGCAACCGTGCGGCAAAGTCAGGCACTGCGGAGTCGGCGAAACCATTCCAGCCTCAAATTCTCCGCCGCTCCGATAACCCGAACATTGTGGATCTGTTGCCCTTGAAAGCTCAGGTGAACGAGCAAGACCAGCAGCAAGCCGGCACTCAGCCTGCCATTCCCAGGCGGGAGTCGCAGCCTCAAGTGAACTTTGACCGCCGTCCAAGTCAGACGCCTGCCCAACGAGAAGCCTTGCTGTCCCTCTTCGGGAAAGCACCTGCGTCACCAGGAGTTTCACCTGCCGAGCTTAGCACATCAGCACCCAAGACCGCGGGTGCCTCTGGTGTCGTTAGCCCACTCACGCCATTGAACATTACTGCCGCGTCCCCGTTTGGAAGTGGAGCGGACGATGGCCAATTCTCTCTTTCGAGCCGGGTCGCTTCGCCTGATAACAAGGCATTCTTACTTGGTTTTCTTGAAGGTGTTGCCAAGGGCAAAAAATAACCTCACTCAGCTCACTGAACCCCGATGAGGGTTAGGATCGATTAGATAGTTTTAGGACTCAATTTAGCGACTGCCAACGTCAAAGATTTTGAGTTATTCTGCTGCTTAATATGAAACGTGCTTATTCTCCGATTGTAATCGACCACTGTCTGCAGTGTTAATCATGTATGATTCCCAATCAGTGATGATAACTGGCATGCGGGCCGTTCAGCTGCGTAATACCGCGGAATTATGTCATGGCTCTTGATTGTTTTGCCTCCCCATACCGCCTAATCCGCGGATATCAGCAGCCTACCGTATCTACACATTTCTAAGCCGAGCAAGGACCCCAAGTCAGCGTCACCTCGCAAAGAGAAGAATGATGTTGTGCAGTCCCTCACGCACCGTGTGCGCGCGCTGCATCAGCCGCGGCCGACACTTCTCCACGACCGTCCATCAAAGTGCTCAACCGCGCCGCGACCATGGGACTCCCGCTCCCCCGCCGGAAGCCGGCTATACTCGACTCACGAACAGAGGCCTCATCTCCGTGACGGGGCCCGACAGCACCTCATACCTGCAGGGCCTGGTCACCCAGAACATGGTCAAACAGAGCGCCGAGGGCAAGGGCTCGTACGTCGCATTCCTCAACTCGCAAGGCCGCATCCTGAACGACGCCTTCATCTACCCGGCTCCCGAGACCACCGGATCCTCCTCCGCCGACCCGGGCTGGCTCATCGAAGCGGACGCCGCCGAGCTCCCCGCGCTCTTGAAGCACCTCAAACGCCACAAACTCCGCGCCAAGCTGCAGCTGCGCGCACTCGACCCCACCGAACGCACCGTCTGGGCCTCGTGGAAGAGCCACAACATTCAGCACGGCGACGGCCGCTGGGCCGCACACAGCATGGGCGGTTCGGCCTCCGAGGAGGAGGGAGGAGCCGGATGGGGCGCTGCGGGCGCCAATATCACAGGCTGCGTGGACACCCGAGCCCCGGGATTCGGGCTGCGACTCGTCACGCCGGGCGACGCGGACCTGCGCACGCATCTCGCGCGCCAGCTCGAGGAGGCGGACGCCCAAGAAGCCAGCCTGAGGTCCTACACGGTGCGGCGCATGCTGCGCGGCGTCGCCGAGGGCCAGACGGAGATCCTGCGGGCCGCCTCGCTGCCCCTCGAATGCAATATGGACCTGGCCCAGGCCATCGATTTCCGGAAGGGCTGCTACGTCGGCCAGGAGCTGACCATCCGCACCCGCCACACCGGGGTGGTGCGCAAGCGGATCCTGCCGGTGCAGTTGTATGCCGATAGCTTACCGTCGGGAGTCACGGGGGGCCCGGTTTATGATCCCGCGGTGGACGAGGGGCTGCTGGCGCCCCCCGCCGGCGTGCAGGGTTTGGATATCTCCAGGGTCGGCCCGTCGAAGGGCCGCAGCGCTGGGAAGTTCCTGGCTAGCGTGGGGAATGTCGGACTGGCGCTGTGTCGGTTGGAGATGATGACGGATGTTGCTCTCTCGGCGGACGGGGCCGCGCAGTTTACCCCGGATCGGGAGTTCAAAATTAGCTGGGATGCGGCGGCGGTGGAGGGGGGTGGGTTAGAGGGGGCGGAGGGGGACAAGATTCGGACTGTCAAGGTTAAGGCGTTCGTGCCGCCGTGGACGAGGGAGTATATCGCTTCCGGCACGCAGCAGGCTCGTGCTCGGGATCCGATTCGCGAGGGCCAGAGGGCGAGGGAGCTTGCTGAGCGGTTGGCGGCGGAGGAGGAGGAGGAGGAAGAGGACGCTCGACTGCATGAGTAGTTCCACTTGTCCGTGGGTTTTAGATATACAGTAAGTGGATGTATGATAAAATGATCATGTGTAATTTAGATAGAAGGCTACTTCAAGCGGATCAACTTGTTTGTAAGGGTGTCGTAATTCTTTAGTATGGGTATCTCTATGCTACAGCAGGAAAACTTTCTATATACAACAAGACCAGGCGATTGCCGGGGTCCACCGACAGCGGCCGAGATGCGACCAACCTTAGGAGGCTTGGGCGGCCGCGGCCTCTGCAGCATCTGCGGCTTCGTCTTCCTTTCGCAGTTGCTCTTCCAGAGCTTTGCGTTCTTTCTCCCGCTGGGCGTTCCGCAATCGCATCAAGGTCAACTCTTCCAGACTCGGGGCACTCGATCCGTTGGGAGCGCCAGCGGTAGGGGCAGGCTTCGGGGAGCTGGCGGCCGCGGAGGCAAAGGAACCGAAGGAGGGCGCCTTTGCGGGACCTTTGGCAGCACTGGCAGTGCCTGCCGCTTTCAATCCGGCGAAGTTGAACGACGGTTTGGGGGTTGCTGCTGGTGTAGGAGCGCTGTCTGCTGCTGAGCCGGGAGCGGACGATGAGGTGCCGTTCGAAGCCTCCACGCCGAGCTCAGGCTGAGCGCCCGATGCCCAGAAGACCGACTCAACGACCGACCAGTCACTGCCGGCATCGTTGCTTGCTTTCTTCTTCTCACCATCCAGAACAGCAGCGTGAGCGCTGACAATGGAGGCGAAGATGACCACCCCGGTCGCGACGGTCTTCTTCTCGCGCTTGTCGCCCAGCCGCTGCCTCTTGTCCTTGAGAAGCAGCACATTCTCGACCTTGCCAAACGGCGCAAAGAGCGCCCTCAAGCGCTCCGCATCCAGATCCAAGCCGCGGCCCTCACGCACCCAACGCACCTTCACCCCGCGCTCCAGCTCGGGGACATTCGTGCCCCCGCCTTCCCGCGACCGGTCGACCTTCTGCGAGCTCCGATCGGCCGCCTTCCTAGTTTCCTCCTCCTCCAGCCGCATCAGCTTCTCCTCCTCCTCCATCTCCAGCTTGATCTTCTCCTCTGCCTCGCGTCGCCTGCGCCGCCCATCCTCCGCAATCCGATCGATCTCCCTCTGCAACTTTGCTTCTGCATCATCATCCCCATCCGCCGTCGTCCCCATCCACGACCTCTTCACCCCCCGCTGCTGCTGCTGCTGCTGCTGCCCTGCGGCGCCCGCGCGCTCCCTCGCCTCCAGATCCTCGCGCATCTTCCGCTTGGCCGAATCCATCATCTCGCGCTCGCGCTGCTTGCGCTGGCGCGCCTCGCGCGCGTTGTCGTAGAGCTGCCGCACGGCCGGGTCGGAGAGGACATCGTAGGCGATCTGCAGGAGGTGGAACTTGTCGATGTCGGCCGGCGTCGGGTTGGCGATCTTGTCCGGGTGGTACTTCAGGGCGGTGCGGCGGTAGGCGCGTCGGATCTCGGTCTCGGCTGCCGCCGGGGAGATGTCCAGGAGCGCGTAGAAGTCCTCGGTTGAGGCCGCGTGGGCTTTGAGGTCGTCCTTGGAGGAGGACATTGTGGTGGTTTGGTTTTTTTGGCGGGAAAAGTGAGAGGTAGTGAGGTTTAGAGAGAGTGTAAGTGTAGAAGATCAAAGTTGAGTGAAAGGGTAGGTAGGTAGGTAGGGTGCGACGGATTGTTGCGCGTCGTCGGGCGTGAGGAGCCGCTGGTTGGAGGTGGTTGAAGGTTGGAGAAGGAAAGATGATGGTCGATTGTTTGGCGGAGCGGAAGTCGTTGGCGGTGGCGGAAAGTCAAGCTGCCATTAGTTAGTAGTTAATGCTATCAGCTTGCTCCGCGATACATACCTACCTAGTTGTATCTTAAGCGTCACATGGTCTTGGTAAACAGCTTTCTCAGTCAACTCTTGTCGTCCTTTGGCTGTCAGAATTGCTCCACTGACTGATTGTACTTGCGTCCCATCCACTCGAGTCGTTACAAGGTTTGTATCGTCTTTAGTATGTTCTTTTTGTTACGGTTGCACGGTTATATGTTGTCGGGTATGCTACCGGAAGTCCGCAGTGCAGGAGACTCGTCCAGAGCCTCCAAATTACTCGTGGTGATAAGGAGGGTTTAATGAATTTGAATTACATACTTGAAGCTAGAGGAGGTCTTGCTTGTCAATCCTTCAGTGCTGAGGTACCTTCTCGTGATTACCTCTCTGGGTAAAATGCTGCATGCCCGGCTCCTTCCTGTTCCAGATGTTCTGCTCGACCGGCGCGATGCTTCAGACTACAAGCATTCGACATGATCGTTTTCTACCATATAAAATGCCGTCCACCTATACATCCAATCTATAGAGGAGCGCGCATATGCTCTCTCATCTGCTCTGAGATACTCGCCGTTCAGCAGCTCTAGTTTTGCTCTCCAGAATGGCTGACAGCACTATACCATCACCTTCGCAGTTGGCGCTCGCGCTGGCCCTCGTCAAACACAAGCCAGTCGGAACCACCATGAAAGGTAGCCATAGATGTTCCCTGGTTGAGTCAGCGATATGAGGTGTACTAAGCAACAATTAGATTACTTTACTCGCATACGACAATTCATCAAAGCAGGGACGCCGACAGACCGGCCCACAAGCCGAGATCAGTTCTTCGACAGTGTCGCATTCTGGCAAAAAGCATACGAGAAATCCGAGGCCGAACAGAGCAAACTCCTTGACCGGATATATGAGCTGGAACAACGTAGCGAAGTGCTTACCGCCAAATTGCATGGCTCGAATGCTGTCCCCAAAGACTTGGTACAAGGATCCACGAAGCGGAAGGCAACCTTAGATGCTAGTATGGCTGGCACTACTACTTCAAGGAAAAAGTCCAAACAACAGACACAGACACAGAGCAGAGCTAGCATGCTGACTGAGAATCTCTCCAATGGGCTGGACGGTCAGCTACCTGAATATCTTGAAGAGCGTAAGCCTACTCCTGTCATACCGTTGAGAAAAGATTCCGGAAGCTGAGAAAGATTCGTGCAGCTACAGCATCATTTATGAGGAGGTTCTACGCTCTGCAGAAGATGCTGCAGCGAAGTCCCAATACTCCAGCTATTGTGCTTGCTGCAGGTGAACTGTGCTCCGTCGCAGAAAACGATATACTCCGTGCAGTCCAACGGCAAGCTGGTTCCAGTTCAGAAGGGAGAGATGCGTCCGTTGTCAAGAATCCAAGTGTATCAGCGATTTTGAACAGCATATACAGCGCCCACCAGCTACTGCTGAGAGCATTGAAGAAGGTCCCTTCAAATGAATCAGCATTGCAAGGCCGTGGCCAGATCATTTTCCACATTGTCCGACTGTCTGAGACAGTTATCAAAGCGTTGGGTACCCATTGCCGATTCAATGCTAAGCAGCAACTTTCAACTGTGGCCTCAGCGACCAAAACAAGGTCCTCTGCGAGGTTGAAAAGGTCTAAGACAGGGCATTCGAACGATGAGATACCATCAAGCACGAACGATGAGGTTGCCCAGCTGATGAGTCTGCTACTTTGCAGAATGGCTCTTTCATTGGATAGAAATTGCTCAAAGACCTCAGACCTACGAAACGGTTTCAGCTACGTGTTGCTCAGTCGTGTTGGCGAGTTACTTTGTTTGTTCGTCTTCAAAGACCTCCATCTACGATCCGATCTGGAAGGAGACCCTACTACTAATCTGTCACTCCCACATGGCCTGAAGGATGCGCAGCTTGACGAGGAATCCGTCCTAGCTGCCGAGATAGAGGCCAAACATCTCATTTCACCCCTTGAAAGATTGCTCACCGTACTGAACCCACCGTTGTTGCCTGAGGATCTCAACTGTGCGGTAGGAATCAAAGGAAGGCTACAAAGCACTCTTCTGCAAGCGGTATTTGGTCAAGACTCAAGATTCGGCGAAGCTTTGCGCCCTCTCCGCCATGACGATACTTTGACCATCTCCCTCAACACGACGCCTCTCCCTGAGCAATCTGTATCGGAATGGTTTGTTCAGGAAACTTGGAGACTTCTCGGTTGGGACTTGGTGGCAGGTTCATCATTGGGTGGATAATGTCCCTGGTGTGGACTGTAGGATCCACCCCTGCTGTCAGGTACCCAAGGTAACATACAGCTACTATATCTTACGCAATATAGCTTGTGGCACATATAGATACTGACTCAAGACGCACGTATACATATTCAGATTATTTGAAATATTCCAGGTAAAAGAAAACCCCATTTCATTGCTGCAGAGATGTTTGAAACTCATTTTAACTTCAGAATGCGAGCCGCGTTCTCTCCCAAGACCCCTGCAACGGTCTCACCCTCCCCTTCGAAGGCAGCATGGATAGCCTTATAGTTCGTGGTTACGCTCGGCCATTCCTCGTCATCCTTGCCAAGCGGGGGGAAGAACGGATGATCAGTTCCTGTTCAAAGTCAGCAACGATGAGTGACCTGCGAATCTTTCAGGATCCATACCGAAGAGTAGACGATCCGCACCACCAGCGGCAGTTACCGCGGCTTTCAAGCCCGCGGTACCGTAGACCACCGCATCCAGATAAATGTTGGTATTGAGAACATCCCAGACACTTCTTTGCGGACCGGGCACATCGCCTCCGTTCGCCACGAACTTGCGCTCATGCAGGATGCAGCTCTCGATGCGCCCCGCAAGGAAGGGCAGCGTGCCGCCGGAGTGTGCCAACAGGATCTTTAGCCCGGGGAACCGATCGAAAACCCCGGCTAGAAACATCCGCGTCACGGCGATGGTCGTCTCCAGCGGGAACCCCAGGGCGAGGGGCAGGACATGGCCGTAGCGGTTGATCGCCTCGGGGCCGCCGAAGGCCTCGTCGGGGAGTCCGTAGTGCGGATGCAGAAACAGGAGGGAGTCGGTCTCCTGCAACGCCTTCCACACGGGGTCGAGTCGGCTATCATCCAGCCCCTTTCCCAAGCCGGTCGTGCCCATGATCACGCCCCGCAGATGCGGCAGGGTCTTCAGTCGTCGAATCTCCCGGACGACCACCTCCGCGCTCGGCGCACTGAGCGGCAGCGCCCCGAAGGCATACAGCGTCTCCTTCTCGTGCAGCGCCCGCGTGTTCTCCGGGTCCGCGGCGCGGTTCACCCCCGCGCAGGTCGCCTCCAGGTCGTCGTTGATCCGCTCCGCCCACGTCTGCGCCTCCTCGGGCGCCAGGAAATCCAGCCACGGGTTGGCCAGCGAGATCACGCTGCTGTTGATGCCGTGGCGGCGCATGAAGGCTAGCTTGACCTCGATGTTCGAGTAGGATGCGTCCACGGGTCGGCCGCGCTGGTCCAGCGGGATGGAGGCGTCGTCGTCTGAGGACAGGATGATCAGCCGCGGCGGAGCGTTGGCGTCCGCCGGGTCGTGCACGTACGGTACCGTTTTGCGAGCGCGGAGCATTTGCATGTACGCGGGTGGGTAGACGTGCGTGTGGATGTCGACGATGAGAGGCGCCATGTTTATGTTTGTGTGCAGGCTGGTCGAGCTGGGGGTTGAGTTGGATGGAGTCAGTAGTGGTTGGTTAGAAGGGGAGATTGGAAGTAATGGCTGGCAATGGGGGGTGGGATGGAGGGGTAGAGGTGCAAAAGTGAGGGGAAAGACGCACATGGCTAAGTTGATACCTCAGGGCAGTTGAATACCTCATCCTGCATGAAGATGACTTATCAGATACTGCAGCCAGCAGCCAGCAATCATCGCCTTGATCTCTCCTGCAATAGTAATCTGTTCAATCTGTTCAGAGGATTGATTATCGTGTGTCTGTACTTTAGCACGCACTTCAGATCTCAGGGACTATCTATCTATCTTATCTTGGAATTAAGCACATACTTATCTCCATATCGCACCCCTCTCTCCCTCCCACGATCAACTGTCAGGCCTTATCTTTCCCCCGCCCATTTCCACCAAGTTGTAGGGGACTGCTTGTGTACAGTGCAGTGACCCCCGATATGGTTTCCCCATGTGGTGCCATGCAGGCTCAGGCCCATTCATTCATTGTTTCTTTGCTCCTGCAGTGCTCTCCGCCCCCTCCCTTCCTTGGTTCTGCGAGCGGATAAGAACAGTAGTGATCTCACTGCTTCCCTCCGCATGACTTTCGTGTTCACCCGCCACGTCTTCTGCGATATCTACACCCGATATTAAACGATTCATACTCGACCTGCCTACATTGCTAACGCATCTATCTCTCTCTCAGCTGAAATCTCCTAGGAACTCTACGTGTGCGATCAGGATGGAAGGTAACCTGCCGCAACAGCAGTGCCACCCTGTAACCACGGCCATCGAGAAAGATGACCTCGTGATTCCAGTGAGTAGCCACTTGCTTTCTTTCCTTGAGGATTCCTTGCGCAACGAGTATGTGGGCCTCAGGTACATTAATCCTCGCTGACGGAGGGTCGCCCATTTCCTTTGTATTTGTAGATCATCGACTTCGGGCCCTTCCTGCACGGGACCCCCGCCGACAAACATGAAGTCGCCATGTCGGTCGTGCACGCCTTCAAGACCTCCGGGTTCCTCTATCTCAGCAATCATGGCGTGCCCCCATCCGTGGTTAGCCACGTCTTTGGCACCTCCGCCCGGTTCTTCGCGCGGCCCCAGGATCAGAAAGACAGCCTGTGCTGGACGACCCCACAAGCGAACCGTGGGTACGTGAAGACGGGCCAAGAGAAGCTCAGCACCGTGGAGGAGGTCGACGATGACGTCGCCGCCGCGTCGCGCAGCAGCATCCCCGACCTCAAAGAGACGATGGAGATCGGCCGGGAAGGCGTGGAGGGGCTCCCGAATCGCTGGCCCGAGCATCTCGACGACCAGGGGAAGGAGTTCAAGGCGGTGATGCTGTCGTTCTTCGAGATGTGCAAGGCGCTGCACACCGAGGTCATGCGGGCCATCGCGCTGGGCATGCACCTGCCGGAGCACTACTTCGACCCGTTCGTCGACGCCGGCGACAACAACCTCCGCCTGCTGCACTACCCGGCCGTCGACAAGCGCGTCTTCCGCCACAACCCCCTGCAGGTCCGCGCCGGCGAGCACAGCGACTACGGCTCCATCACCCTGCTCTTCCAGGACGGCCGCGGCGGCCTCCAGGTCCGCAGCCCCCGCGGCACCTTCGTCGACGCCACCCCCATCGCCGATACCGTGGTCGTCAACGCCGGTGACCTGCTGGCCCGCTGGTCCAATGACACGATCAAGAGCACGAGGCATCGCGTCGTCGAGCCTCCCAAGGCCGTCGACGAAGACGAGAATGACGACGAGGACGGCTCCGGCGTGTATCCGGACCGTTACAGCATCGCGTACTTCTGCAACCCCAATAATGACCAGATGATCGAGGCCATCCCCGGAACCTACGGAGAGGATGTCCGCCCGCTCAAGTACTCTGGGATCACCGCTGGGGACTACCTCGTGCAGCGACTGACCGCAACCTACTAATATTTCTCCTCATGATGACACTGGGCGTTCGGAAGGAGTATTGGATCTTTGGCTTTCCCATCAGTTTTGACATCGTAACACCGTGAAGCAGGATGATAAATACCGCATCGTTGCATTGGACGTTTTGAACGGAAGCTTTGTTATTGAGGGCTTGTATTCGAGAGCTCGCTTGGCATTCATTCTATTTCTAAGATCTAGCATTTCATCTCATAGTATCTACGCGAAAGTCTTCGTCTATGTGCAATAGCCGCCTCTCCCCTACTACTAATATGTGCATGGAACCGCGCTCACTCTGCCTCCGTCGGTTATCGTGATGTTGCCGTTGAGATATGCGCCTGACGGGCCGGCCATCCACAGAATCAAACTGGCCATATCCTGTTCGCTGCCTGCACGTGTAAGGGGGATCATGTCGCGGGGGAAAGAGCCGTCGGAGATTCCCTTGTCGCCGTCCTGGAAGTTCTTGGTCGACATCTCCGAGAGATACAGTCCCGGCGCAATGCCATTCACCCGGATGTCGTACGACGATAGCGTGGTGGCGAGGACCTTGATCAGCTGGTTCGTCGACGCCTTGGAGAGGTTGTAGGCGACGCTGAACGGCACCCGACGGTTGAAGCCCGCGATCGAGCTGGTGATGATGACCTGGGCGGTTGGGGCCGACGCCTTGTTCTTCTGCGGCGCCGGGCGGCGCTGGTTGGCCGCCTCCAGCAGCGGCAGGAAAGCGAGGACTGTAAAATAGGCGCCCGTGACGTTGACCTCGAACACCTTCGAGAACTCCTCCATGGACGCGGACCACAGCTGGTCGCGCACCTCGGATAGGCTGGGAGCTGATCCGTCCGGCTTGGGCCCGGGCGGGCGGTTCACCGGACCCATGATCCCGCTGTTCGCGATCAGCAGATCAACATGACCCGTCTGCGCGGCAATGGCCTCGTAGGCCCCCTGGAGGGACTCCTTGGACGAGATGTCGGCCTGGATGGGGACGATGGCCTCCGGCTTGGAGCTCTGGGCCGCCGTCTCCTGCAGGGCCTCTGAGCGGCGACCGATGATGAAGACCTTGGATGCGCCGTTCTCGGCAAGCGTGAGAGCCATGATCCGGCCCAATCCTAGCAGGAGAAGGAGAATAGCACCGGTGAGTGGCAACGTCCTAGACACATCCTTCCTAGGGGCACATGCGGAGGAGCTGGAGGGGACTCACCACTACCACCCCCCGTGATGACGGCCACTAGGCCCTCGACGGAGAATAACTCCGCAACTCGAAGATGGGACATGTTGCAGTGACTGGATTCTGGGAGATAGCAATTGGTAGTACAACTGGCTGGCTGGTTGCGAAAGGGGTTGCAGAAGTAGTGGACAGTGAGTGAGGTGAGTAAAGACACATACCAAAGACGATGCGGGGTAAGTTGTCAGTTACTCCTAGGAGCTGGAGTTGTTCTCGGCCGGATCCGATCACGTCACACAGCCTATTGTTCCTAGCGATCGTTCATTGTCCTTCTGCCGTTTGCAACCATCGGCATCGATGCCATTGTCGAACCACAACTGCTCAGCTGGCCATGGACTCCCCAGTCCTGAGCCGTGGGCTGTCAGGAACAGCCTTGGCGGGGAGAAGGACAAGCAAAAAAAAAAAAAA